TTGGTTGCAAGCAGTTTCTCATCCTTCCCATTTTTTTTTTTTTTTTGCGCTGGTTGAAACGGAAGGGAAAGAAGGGCAAGGAATCTTTCACAATAGACAAAAGCGACATTTTGGTGCTCAATCTATGTTACTGAAGTCAACAGAATCTAGGTTCGTTTCTAAGGTCTGAAGCTAGTGCCTGCGTTCCTACTAACATTTTGTTTCCTAGAAATTATTTTCGGAGCAGGGTAATTTGGAAAATAGTGGAATTCAAAGTTCAAATTCTGAGAAAAGTCGGGTTTAGAGGATGCTGAACCGAAATTTGGATTTCACAAAATAAGGCTGCAGAGGCCTTGAACGGGACGCTACAAACTCCAAAACATCACTTATACATCGATATCTCAAACGGATGGCCATATTCTTGTAAAAGAAGGGTGCGATCAAGCGAGGAATGTGACGTCATGATTCTCCTAGAGCAGTTGAGAATGAGGGAAAGCAGCTTTCTCTCCTCCTCGCTTCGGTTCACCTGTTCGAGGGGACGAAGCGAAGAGGAGAGGAAATGAGAATCGTGACGTGAGATGTCTCGTCGGCCTTTGTTCAATCATGCACTTCTTTTCCAAAAATACGACCATCTGTTAGAGCAGTGTTTCTCAAATGGGGATCCGCGAAGCCCTGCCTTTTCAGTCAAGCCCTGCAATTAAAGTTGTATTTTTTCACATTGATGAGCAACGTTCCAATTTTTTGGTGAGTTTCTCGGGGGTACGTCAATGAGAGAAGTCTACTTCACACTAGCCCTTAGTTATATTCATTTAATAAATCATTATCATAATTGACCTACACCTCTCCCTTCCCCTGACCACGAATTGGGTCCTCCATCGTCTCCGCCGATCCACAAGGGGTCTGCCAAACATGAATGGTTGAGAACCGCTGTTAGAGATATCGCTGTATGAATGATGTTTTGGGGTTTTGCAGTGTCCCGCCTATTACTCCAGCCTTATTTTGTGAGCTCGAAATCTTGGTTCAGCATTCCTTTAACCCGGTTTTCAAGAAACGTCTTCTGGTGCAAATATTGGGAACTCTCGGTTTTATCCGAAAACAAGGCCGGCACCTTTCCTCCTTCGATGCAGTCGGTTCCAGGTTAAGAAGAGCGAGTCTTTCCCACAATGGCTTTCTACTGTTCATGGTCGGTGGTTTCATCCTGTCCAGATTCGCTCTTTTCAAATGGAAAAAGTGGAGGGCTTTGTGGGTGGACCCGCTTAACCTGCAATAGACAATAGTGGATCTAGGCACGCTGCCCGGCTCACATCGGCATCCTCGTACGTGCGCCTTGTGGCGTCTTCCACTTTGCCACATACTCTCGTCGAGCTGCGGCAGTCGTTTGGGCCTGGTCGGGGTCCACTGTCAAGGACATAGTGAGCTGGTCTGGGTTTCTAGGTGGTATCGCGTAGACACTGCGAGAATGTTTGTGCTGTGTGCTGACTTTCATAGAGCGAAGAAGAAAATCCTCCGAGGTCTTATTCTTGTCTGTTCTTAAAAGTGACCTTTTAAAATTTTAAATTAATTTATAGATAGTGTACTACCATCCATGAAGCCAGGGCAGGAGTGGTACACCACATGACACTGCTGGAATGTACACTATAGTCGGTGACAGGTCAAGAAGGAAGTAGAAAAAGGTGGGAGGAGCTTCCACTTCCTTCTTGACCTGTCAACGACTAAAGATGAGCACTTTTTTAAATTTTGCTCGATAAAGATATTCGTGCGCACCAATTTTTACCGCTTGCAAAGCGGTAAAAAAGAAAGCAAAAACCTTGTTTTATGCACAGCCCCCCTCTTTACTAAGGCCTGCATTTAAAACTACTTCCCATTTTTATCGCTGGGGGCTAGGATTTCGGACACTGGTCTATAATATATGCAGGGAGCTCGTTCCATACTTCTATACTTCTTACAAAAAGAAAAGAGTGTTTGAAATAATTTGTCAAGTAGGGATTATTTCTTTTCTGTATTTTGTTTTTTTGGGTGTTTTAAGGTAGTAATTGATTTCTGACGCTAGTTGGGAATGACCTGGGTGGAGTGCAAGAAAATGTGACTAAAGTAGGCGCTCATTCTTGCCACGGTTAGAGGCAGTATCGCGTGCATTCTTTCCACTTCTGTGTTTTGTTTCTTTTGTTATTGTGGAGGCTCAGCCCAGTTGGCTGCGTGCCATCTTCACGCCCCTTTGGCAGAAAGCCTGTCTGGCCACCGATGACGGTTGTCTTTTTATAATCCCCCATTGATCCTAGAACGCATGACCTTTTAAAAGTTTGTCTCGCAACGGTGTCTTTGCTCATTGCAAAGACACTGTTGCGAGACAAACTTCCAGACTGCCAGTGAAGCTACAAAAGCTACGGCTGACCTAGCAGGAGGAGGCAGTCCGTTGAACCTTTATGTTAGGAGGAGTCATAATAAAACAGAATAACCAGTGTTGGTACTTTGTTTCCAGACACTGGTTTTTTACAAGCCCTTTTTTTTTTGGGGGGGGGGGGCATGAGTTTTGTTTCTTTAAGCATTTATTTTCTTCAATATTTATCTTCCCAATGAACAGAGGGGGAGCAACCTGCCCCATATCGTATGCTACTGGGCAGTGCTATAAAAGTTATCCTCAAAAAGTGACTCAGCTAAAGCTACTTTAGCTGCAGTGTAATTAGATTTCTATTATGGTACATGTTGGACATTACATGTTTGATAAAAGTGTGTACTTACTCACAAGAAGTAACTAAGTTATGCTTAAATTACTTGGAGGTGTGCTGCAATTGCTGGAAGGTGGCAGAGTTCCCTTTTCATCCATCATTCTGCTCACAGTAGAGTTCTAGGCAGCGGCAATGCATAGCGCTGACCCAGAAATGAGATTGATGCGAATTTGTGCATTTGTTAGAAGGATATTGCGACGTAGCACAATTAACTAAGTTGCAAGTTACTCGAAAAATGTGACCAATTTACATTTGTCGAAATTTCGTAGTAACTTGTGAAGTTTTTAGCTGCCTAGATTGAAACTAATTACAACCACAAACACTTTCGATTAGCTGGTTTACGACTTTACTGCTGGGGTTGGTGCACTTTTGTCGTTCATGTGTCAGCGTAAAGGGGCACTAGAGTGGTCTTCGAGATTTTAAGGTGATACCTCAGTCTATGTACCCTAAGCATCCTAGAAAACCCAAAATTATGATCCTGGGAAATTATGAAAGCTGTGACCCTAAGAAAACATAACCAAATGTGGCACTGTGCGCTTTTTTTTTTTTTTTTTAGATACACCATTAAGTACTGAGCGTGCGTCCATGTCCCAATAAACAGCCACTTGCTACCTTCAAAACATTTGAAAACTAAGCAAAGGGACACATTGAGAGCCCACCCTTACTTTGAACCCACCTAGCTAACTGAGGTGATTCTCCTCATCAGCCGCTTCTCGAAACACTCTGATGCAAAGCAGTGAAGCCCGCCCATCATGTGCCCCTTCCGCATTTTTGCTAATGAGGTCGGTTCATACAGGCATCTCAGCACTGAGACAACGCAAAGTCAGCACTGGGCCTTTAGTCCTAACAAGCACCCACTGCTCAGTTTTCAAGATTTTCTCCCAAGTTTTAAGTGAGCACTTGCTCAGTATTTAGCGGTATCTCAAAAAAAGAGACGTGTCGCGTTGTTTGGTCATGCTTTTAATATGGAAAACGGCAACATGTGGTCATAATTCTAAGTTTTCTAGGGCGTCTAGGGTGTGTGCATCTAGGTATCGCCATAAAAAGACATCCGAGGCACACACTCAATATTAGAAATAAAAACAAAATATAATACTCACTTTTTGTGACTTCTAAAAAGCTGCAAATACGTTGATTAAAAATAAAAAGTTGCAAAGCCAAGTGTCTTTTGGCAACTCCTCTCCTCTATATTTCTTCTTCCTCCCCAGCCGCTTCAGTGTCAAACAGTCGCATTTTTTTACTTTATTAAAAATATATGTGACACTAGCAAAATGTTGATTGGGTAGTCTCCTGGCACCATAATAAATCGCGTGACAAAAAATGAAAAAAAAAATTTGGGGGGGTGTTAGTGTCTTTTTATTTGCAGCAGTTCAATGTTCACTTTAAAAATATTTTACAATATTCTAATTGAATTTCAGTGTTATATTACTCGAGGTAAAAATTAATATTTGAAAACATTCCAGTGAAGTCTCTATTGCTCGATTAATCCGGTGTGATTGATCTTGGTCGGTCCAGCGGATGAATAGCTGACATCTTTTTTAATGATAGTGTTAAATTTGCCATGAGAGAAGAAATAAAAATATTCCAATCTACAGCGTGTCACCTCAAAAAATCTATGGGTGTTTTCTTTTGCTGCAAAAATAAAGAATGCATCGCCGCAAGCGATATGTTCAACCTCCGCCCAAACGTATAGCTTGCAGTCCCAATTAGATGTTGAAGTTTCAGAACAAACCGTTATATTATTCGAAAGTTATAAGTGATTTTCTGAAAATTTCAATGACTGAATGGAACCCGTTCTCGGTAACTGACGCCATGCAGGTGCCAGTTACAGCCATTTTTCGATCGAAATTTTCAGAAAATCACTTATAACTTATGAATATGAAAACGGTTAGGTAGTTCTGAGACTGGCATCTGGTTCGGAGCTGCAGTTGCGTACCGCACAAAAAGAAACAAAGACAATCACACCTTTTAAAATACATTGACATGGGGAATTATTAACTGCAGATCATGAGCAATTTAGTATGTATCGTACAATGGCTCTTTTAAATATAAAAAGGGAAATGTTGGCTCGTGCCGTTTTGGCTACGATGAAGATATACCAGTTGAACTTGGTTTTTTTTGTAATGACTGCATCTTAAACTGTAGTTTCCCAGATTTTTGCGGTAGGTATATTAGAAAGTTATTGGTTATGTATAATTTCATTGTCGATGCATGGTTGTTTTTTTTTTTTTTTGCTGTAAAAAAATTTGAGGGGGCAGCTTAAACATAAACTTGAAAAACGTTCCCTTCCCTTAGGTGGGACCGGAGCAGCGCGAGCCCCAGGAGCTGGAGCGCTACCTGTCGCACCTGGGGCTGTCCCCCCCGAGCCCAGCCCCTTCCCGGTCGCCCACTTCGGGCCCCAACGCCGTGCCGGCCGTGGTAGGCACCGCCATGGGGCCCGACCAGGTGGCGCGGCTGGCGGGCTTCCTGGAGGCCTGCCAGGCCCACTTCCCTGACCACCCCGTCGTGGTCTACGCGCTCGACCTCGGCACCGTGGACCTGCTCCAGGCGAGTCTTCGGTCACCGGCTCGTCGGGCGAGCCGCGGGTGTCGTGTCCAGAGGACGTATCCGACCGGCGTGTCGGGAGTCCCGACAACAAAAGCGATCCCAAGGTGGTGACGTGTGACGTCGCAAAAGCCGGAGTGTCGCGCTGTCGGATCTCACCCTCCCACCGGCAAGTGCTAGAAGTTCCGGCAAAAAGTTGGAGCGAAGGCGAGTGTCGCTGTCGTCACGGCGTGCCAAGCCCTGCCTGCTGATAGTTGATCTGGAGAGCAATCTGCAGCAGAGCGGGCATCTGCCACTTAAACCGCCGCTGCCAGGACACTGCTGAAATAGTGACCTTCGACATCACCAAAATAAAATCGAGAGACACGTATTGGGATGCGTGCACCGGCCGGAGACGTTTACGATAATCGTGGGGTCCTGCGCGGGAGCATCCGACCATCCGTCAATTTTAGCAAATGCGAGTTACAGCTAGGGTTCCGTGTTTTCGGAATATGCCGACGAACCCCGAAGTAGACTTGGTGTCGCAAATACCGCAAATCCTTCGGTTGAGGCATACGCAGATAAGAAGCGTTCCGGGACTACCTGATAGATGGCACCAGTGTGCTCCCTCGTCGTGAAGCAGTCGCGAGCGACTTCGACACATTTGTTCGCAAGTTGCAAACTAGCCTCAACCCCCGAGCTGGTTTTATTAAAGGGCAACTCCGGTCCATACTTTCGATTTTGGGATTATGACTGTTTTAGTGCAGTCAGGGTCCCTGAATTGCAAGGTGTAATTTTTTTTCTCGTTATTGTGCGCAGTTTTAAAGATATCAACGTCTCAAAGTTTTGTTTGGGGCGCGGCCAACAAAACCGAAACTAGCCGCTCGAGGCCCCGGCAACGCTGGAAATTAGCCGCCATGTGAACGTGACGTCAGGATCGTTCTCGTTCAACGAGTATGCAGGCTGAGCGGCACCTACCTCTGTTGCGCTAGCCGTCTAAAGATAGGAGGTAAGCTGATTTTGTTTTAATTCTGTATACGTGGTAGTTACCCAGCATATGTAGCAAGAGTTAGTGCGTACACCCAAAAGCTAGCGACTGAAAACCCCGTGAACTCGTACGGTGCTGTACTCGGCGGCCGCTGCCGTGCGTCTGCTATGCCGTACTTGTCGCTTGTATACCCAAAAGCTAGCGACTGGAAGACGAGTGAACTCGTTCGGTGCCGTACTCTGTGGCTGTCGCCGTGTGTATAGTCTTCCATACTCATTGCAAGGCCTAAATTGCCATCTGGGCTCCGTGGATGGAGCGGCGTTGCTCTACGCCGTGCTGCCAGTGACGTACAGTACTGGGGGCCCTCTGGCTTTCGCACTGCGGGTCAGTCCCAGACATAGTTTTGAGGCTCTCTGGCGCGGGCCGCGGCGCCTGAACACACGTGTGCTGAGCTGTACACGTCTGTTTTAGAGCACAGCTCTTAGGGGCCCATTTCAGGCTTGAGCAGCGTCGCCATCGGCGTAAAGGCCCGTTCACACTCTTGCGACCGAGTACGACCGAGTACGACTGAGAGAGACGAGGATCTCTTAAAACTTCTTAAATGATTTAGAATGAGGGAACACACTGGTATTGTGGCGCCATCTATGCGGTGACCCTGGAACTGCATTTCACAAAAGCGAAGGTTTTGCGGGATTTCCGAGGTCAAATGTGCGTAATAACCATAGAAAGGCTCGTTTATAACATTGACAAAAGTTTTTCGAGCCAAGAAAGAAAGGATAATGCGCGAGAAATAAAAAAAAATATGCCGGACCGCCGAGTTTACACTGCTTCCCAATAGATGGCGCCAGTGTGTTCTCTGGTTTAAGAAGTTTTAAGGAACCTAGGTTTAAGATGTCGCAAGAGTGTGAACGGGCTTTAACTGCGCAGTGCATTATGGGAATGTCCCATAATGCACCGCGCGAGCCCCCCCCCCCCGAGGTCACGTGACCCCTCAAGGTACAACGTGACCCCCCTGAGGTCACGTGACCCCCCTCCCCCGAGGTCACGTGATGCCCCCCCCCCCGAGGTCACCAGCATCCGCATCGTCATCGTCACTGATGACGTCATCAGTGACGTCACTTATGACGTTATCGTCACGTGACCCCCCCCCCCCCCCCCCCCCCCCCCCGAGGTCACTTGACTCACCCCCCCAGTACCCTTCCTTCCTCCTCCTCAAGAGCTGCACTCTAATTCGGCTTTACAGGGAGTTGTAAACGGCTTTCACTTTTTTTTTCATTCTTTTTTCCTCGGGCGCGTAACAGCCGAAGTCCAAAGTCCACTCGACGAACAGCATTCACCCACATCTTCTCCGATTTCCGGTTCATTGGAAACTTGTGAAAAAACACCTCAGTGTTGCGCAGCGGGTTGTTTGAGCAGCCCATAGCGCTACAAGTTGCACCCGCCATCTTTCGAGGAACAGCTGGGCTGTCTTGGGCACACCGAGTTGCTCGCTAAAATGAGTCTTGGTCCTCACAAGCAAATAAACAAAAGGCTATATCGAAGCTACTCGGGCTACAGATAAAAGCAATGGCTAAACACGCCAATCACAAGCCGAAGTAGCGGTGGTAGCGGCTCAAAGAAGCGCACTCCGCGCAATGCCCGGACCGGAGGAAGAAAAGAGAACGGTACTGTCGTCACGGCCCAATGTTGCTTTAGCGATCGGCAACCCGTTGGCTGCCCGCTAAAGAGCAGCGGCTCGTGGCGGGTCGCATTTTTATTATCGGCATTAGTTGAGAATGAGGCGTCCCACGGACGTAATATTTTGGCTGGGGTCGTATTTTGTGTTACTACAGCGATACCAGTAATTTATTTCATTTTGAGTTTTGGCCGGAGTTGCCCTTTAAAATCGGGGGAAATCAAAGATCTCGGAATTGTTGCTGTTTATGAATGAGAAAACCTTGAGCTCCGCAAGAAGAGAGCTTTCTCTGCAGTTCTTTTTTCTGTTGACCTGGAACAGAGCCTGCGCTGTTTAGGAGGCTTTTTTTTGTTTTTGGAAACCACTCTCTTCCTTCTCTTACCGGTGCTGGATGTTTGCCACGTATTTGAGTTGCAAGCATGTTCCCTGGAGCCGGGGGAACCCTGATAAGGTACATGTAGCAGAGCGCGTTGGATGGAGTACAGTTCACACGGAGAGAATAAAAACACAGAAAATATATGAGGGACAGGCACACACAGTTCTTTCAACCAGCAATGGGCATCATTGAAATGTAGTTGCTCGTTGAAAGAACTGTGTGTGTCTTTCCCTCGTATATTTTCTCTGTTTTTATTCTTTCCGTGTGAACTGAACCCAGATAAACCCTGGTATTTTTTGTCTGGCACCGAAAATAGATATTGAAAAACACCATATCTATGGAGAAAAAAAAAAACCCCAAAAAACGGCCCCAAATTTTAGGAAAAATAAACCCCAAAAGCACGGAACACCGGTTACGATTCCCAACATCCGCTTTGCAGAACATGATTCGCGCAGTCTCGTCAAGACGACTGTAGAACAACTTGGAAAGGCGTCTCCGGGAGTGTCATTGCATCCATGTACGCCCGTTCCGGTGCTTCTCTCTTAAAATCTTTTTCGGGTCTGTTTTCATTTCTGTAGGCCCAGAACCTGTGTAACTCGAGCAACTGCACGCTGCGCACGCTGAACTTCGACTTCTACCCGGCGCACGTCAGCAACCTCAAGATATATGCCTACAGACCCATCATCATTCAGGTGGGTGACCTTTCCTTGATTCGACAGACAATTGCTATCTATTGTGGTTTCGAAGGACTCCTGGCAGGGGAAACCACAGCCTGCCTGATTCTGCTCACGGTTGGTGCTTACGTAATAAAGGTGGTCAGGTTTCCCAAACGTTTTGTCTGCTAAAAGAGCACTTCCGAAGGGTTGGCTCCTAGCAGCCACTTTGCTCAAGTTATTGCTTCGGTCGTGTGAGGGGGTAGGGTGATAAAGACGAGAGCAGAGTGTGGCAAATTATAAGCTCTACATCGGTAGTCCTAAGAGAGAGAATAAGAAAAAGAGCGACAAAAAACTGGAGAAAGGAAGCCGATGATAAGTTAGGCATGTTCGTTTTGCAGTAATGAGTTCAAGTTGTTTGAGTACTCAATAACTTTATTAGGCATTGTGTGATGCTGGTGCTTTCATGCGAAATAAAGCTAGAAAAACACTCGATACAGACCTTGCTAGTGATGTGCTCCTGATTCTTTGTGTATATAAGAGTGTCACATGCAATGTGGTCCCATCGGAGCCACCGATGTCTGCGTCTGTGCCCTTCCGTTCCGAAGCAGGAGCAATGCATGGGACCTTTCCCTCTAAATTATTATATTAACTTTATGGTTGGGGGTCCACTGAGTTACCAGCTCAATTCAATAAAAGTTATAAATCTCTTCACCGGCTTGGGCCTAATTTCAGACTGACTGAATCGGACATTCGTGCACCTGTTAAAAAATGTCCCACATTTTTAACTTGCATGTAGTTTTCTTTTTCGGTGCAGTCAGCGGGTCTTCTATACCCGCTAGGTGTTTTGAGAGCTATCAAGTTTATGTGACATTGTTACAAATTCCCATGTGCTTGAATTGTCGTCCTAAACGCTAACTGCCAGTATCACGAGGAAGTTAGCAGTTGTAATGGGAGTGTCCCACGCTGTCGGCTCTCCCATTGTGACAGTAATAGGTTGCACACCGGTCAAGTTTGCGAGTTAAAACAAAGCAATATATTATAATTGACAGTTTTTTTTGTTTTTTTTTTCTCTACCTTTGTTAGGGGAATATTGGTAGCTCTAGCTTAGCCAGAAGATGTCTCTGCAGACATGCCCGTTCTCCGTTGTGCCACTGGTGTTCTCCCATTTTCGTGCCAACCATCCCAACGAATGACTGAACTCTCCATGTGTATGGCTTTGGGTATTTCATGCTACTGCAGAACCCCAATGTTTTGGGACCCCCTCGTTTTCGTGAATTTTATTTATACCGCCTAATGACGCCGCGGTTCGAGGCTGTAACTTTTTGCGACCCCAAAGGCACGTAATGGTCGTGAATGCATTTTATGGTTGAATATACAAATGCAGACAATCCCCATTTACTGCTCCAAGAAATCGGTGCTTAAAAGGGTTTCTTGAAGCCACAGTCAGATTGCTCATACAGCATACAAAAGACGCGGTGTTTACTGCAGACACGTTGACAGAACTGTCCTCACACGCACCTTAAAGAGAGGCTGAAGCACTTTTCAAGAGATCCGACTTAGGAGTGAACTTTTATAGCTTTTTGTCCCATGAATTCTGTTATTGTTCTTATCTTGGTCTTAAGTAATCTTTACTAACATTTATTTTGAAAAATATGCGCAGCGATTGTCGCCGAGCATGCGGCGATCCTCTCCGCCTCCTGCTATCTGTCCAGACAGTCGTGACGTCACCCGAGCCAGCTCAGTGGCGAGCGAGGGTCATCTGACCCCGCTGATGACGTCACCTTTGCTAGTTTTTCTCCCTGCTCTCACGCTTTCCTACCGTCGGCGCACCGCAACGGGCGGGTCAGCGTCAAAAGTTTAATTGATAGGTGCAACACTCCTACTAATAAGGTTGAAATAAACCTTAAGACATGATTTTAAGGTGTCTACATTACAAATTTTACTGTTTGAATTCAAGAAAATCTTGAGCTTCCCTTTGCACATGTTTAAAGCGTTTTGCTTTATACTTTGCTCCAAACATGTCTGCGGACAGTGTGACCAATCTGACTGCTATACAAGAAATGTCTCGGTCTGCAGAGAGTTTTTGTGCAACCTGTGTGGTGGGAACAAGAAAGGAACATGCCTCGGGTGGGCAGTTTCTGTGCGACCAATAGACGGAATGGCCACACAAGGAAGGAACACGCTTCAGACGGCGTCTGCTGACTCGTGCGGTGAGCGTGCCCTAGACCAAAGGGTAATGGGGGGATCCGACCGGGCTGGCAGGAGCTGCTGCGCCAGGCGGGGGCGGTGCTGTGGCTGGAGCCGGACTACCAGCTGACGGCGGCACCGGACCCCCGGCGGGTGGTGGGGCGGGCCCTGCGGGAGGGTCTGGCGGCCCCCTGGTCCCCCGAGCCTCAGCCCACCTCGGCCCTGACCCACCTGGGCATGTTCGAGTACCTCGGGGCCCCCCGGGAGGCCTTCTTCTTCCACCGCATGGTCGACCCCTCCGTCATGCTGCTCTTCGACTCGCCCCAGGTGCGGCGGGTCGATCCCCCGACTTTGACCCTTCGACGGTTTTTGCCGTACAGTGGAGATTTGACCTTCAGTGTTTCGATTTGACGCTTCAAACCTGAGCAGGTTGCAAGCACTGCGTGTGCTCCCGCTAGATAATTAAGAAAAAGCCCGTGCCTCGACGCTTTCTTTATACTATTCCTCTAGAAGCAAAACTCAACCTCTGGAAAGCATCTTTTGGGGGAAAAAAAGAAACTCGACCGTCAGAGTTCAAGGGCAGTGCTGGAGAAAACTGTTCACGCGGTTGTGGCACTATCGTCGCTGACAAGGGGAGAAGGGCAGGGAGGAGCTTCAGTCGTCCAACGCGACGCTGGGCGATGCGTCTCGTGAACCTCGCGCACGCAGTCACAGCATGGCAGATGGCACGGAACAAGTGCTGGAGGCCAGGCGTTGGAAAGACACGCCGTTCTCACTTTGTCAGGGACTGTGGTTTAGTAGCCTTTTAAGTGTAGCTTTTCTACAGCTCTGGTGTGGACACTGAATGTCCGTGGGACGCTCCTAACCAATATTTTTCGGCCCTCTCCAAACGGCCCTCTTTCAGTCCCATTTTCTGCATAGAACCTCTTTGTAGTAAAGTAAGTTTATTCAAGAAAAAAGTCGATATAATTAACTTCGGTGCCTCAAAAGCTGTGCCACTGTTGCGAGTGTACTTTTCTTTCCTATATCCTGTTGTCATTTCATCGGTCTCGACTATGGCGATGTTGCACCGTGCTGATCGGCGGACGCAATGCAGGTGCGGGGGCGGCTGATGCTTCCCTGGGTGCGGTGCGCCCTGGTGGCAGAGTGCATCACCCCCGTTGGGGCACAGAGCACGGGTTGCCGCTTCGACAAGAAGCCCCTCTACCGCTACTCTGGCTGCCACAGGTGGATGCATTTCCCCTCTTCCCCCTTTGCCTTTCGGAGTTGGCTCGTTGCGGGATGTCGCCGAGAGGCGACGCGGCGACCGAAACGCAGCGCCGAAATGGCAACAAACTGCGTCACGAGAGCCACCGTGCAACGCTTTGCGTTGTTGCCGTCCTGACGGTCGGTTGTAGAAAACGGCATCGCGGAGTTGCGACGTCACTAGCGAGAATTTGATGCGGCAAAATAAGAATGCGGTGAATACACTAGTGAGGGACGCATTCCAGGTACCATAGTTCCGCTTGCGTGTTTACTGCTGGTACTGTTACATTTGCTTCAAACTTTCTTGCTAGTAAATCATAGGTAGGGTTCTGTGTTTTTGGATAAATCTGAAAAACACTAACTGGTAAATTTTTTGTCAATTGGGTTTATCTGACAAACTCCGAATATTGAACTGGCAATCAAAAAATAAGAAGCAAAAAAGTCGGTGTCTTACAAATAAACTTTACAAGAGCACAGGGTTAGTGGACCTGAGGAAATGCCACTTCAGTTTCCTTTGAAATCTCGAACTACTGACAAAAGTGGTTTGTCTTTTAGCTCGTCAAGGTTCCTTCAGGTCAAGGAATCGTGGCACCCGAACTTTATTTATTTTGGTTTTTAATTTTTAAATATAGGAAACGCAATAAAATAAACCCAGAATTTCAGGAAATTAGGACTCTAACAAAAATAAACTCCGATAAACCACGAATGTCTAGCGAAAAATAAACTCCGAAGAACACCCTTTGAATTTTGCGAAACATATACTCCGAAAACACGAAATCGTGATCATAGTTGAATTTGACTAGCCCCTTAGCCGTTTTGGACGAGCCTAGCTCAACAGCATGGAGCCATCCCCAAACCGTTCAGTACGAGTATAGTTTGTCTGCTTTCCCCGGCTCACGCACTCAACCGTTTTAGAGGAACCAGGCTCGCTCACTGCTTAGTTTGCGGCCCTGCCAACAAGTTGCAGCACCAAATATTTTTAAAGTTTGCTCCCATTTTGTCTGTGGCTGAAAGCTTTATTTTGAAGGCAATAAATGTAATTTTCGAGACAATTAAGCAGCGGAGTGTTACAGATTCCCCAAAACTAAAAGCGGTTAAAGGGCGATTCACACACTTACATTGAGCCTGACCGAGTGCGAGGGTTGCTATGGCAACAAGTGCGTCGGCTCCAACAAAGCGGGTAAAGCCGTTTTTTTTAAGCCGACGCAGCTGTTGCCACAGCAACCCTCGCACTCAGTTGGACTCAACGCAAGTGTGAATCGCCCTTGAGGGGCTAGGCTACCCTCTGTGCAGCGAAGCTGTTGGCCAGGCGTGTCAAAGGGCTGCAACTTAGAGGGTGGAAAGCGAAAGCTCATGCTGTAGTGTAGGTCACGAAATTAAATTACACCCCCGCCATGTTTAATCGATACTGTGCTGTGCATACTGAAAGGTCAGTGCTTGTATAGTGCACTGACCAATGTTATGTCCTCTACAGTTATGAAAAGACGTATTTCAAGGTGGGCCAACTGCATGTTCTATCAGTAACAGCGCATTAAATTATTAAATTAATCATTCTTTTTATGTTTGGTTACCAGGCAGTTGTGACTAGAAATGTGCAATGTCAGTTACTATATGGCATCATAATGTGTCAGTCTTGGTTGCTGATAACGACAGGTAAGAAGTCTGATGCCTGTGTGCGGTAATTTTTTGGGGCGAGTTTGGTAAGCTCTATGTTAGTGACCTGTTCCACAACCCTTTTGCGCTCGTTGCTCAAACTGCGAGGGTAGCAGACAACGGTGACCCTGTCTAGCGAGAGCCATCCCTGATTACGCACCTGTTTCCCCGTATCATCTGCAGGTATGATATGTCTGCACTGAACGTCATCCTGGGGCTCCTGTACAGCAACAACCAGCAACCGTACGTCTTTCCGGACGAAGACCACTTCTTCAAGAGGCTACCCGACGGCACGGACCTGCCACCGGCGCCCTCGTTGTCGGATGGCAACACCACGGTGCGGCACCCACCGACGCCGCTGCCCGCGAGATGACTGCCGCCGCAGCCATTCCAAACAGCGCCAGTCGCCCGCCACCGCAGAAACGCTTCCATCCGGAATGGGACGTGTTACCCAACGGACACTTCGGTGTTTCTTTCATGCAACGCTGCCAGGCTTTGTCCCCGAGTTCCGTCTGAACAATATGCACAAATAAGCGGTGATCGGTGCTGCGACGCATCTCAAGAAACCCAAATTCGCCCCGCGCTGCCCAAATTTCTTCAGTTGTTTCGCACGTTACAAGTTGTGTTTTGCGTGGTGCGCATTTGAAATGGGCGCTGGCCCGTTACTCGTCTGCTTGAGAGCCAAGTCTCTTTTGAGGGCTTTCGGGCCGACCGCTGCACTGCGTTCGCTTAGTGTGAGGCGTCTCAGCGTAAAGAGATTTTTGTTTTGCAGCTTGTGTTTTTTTTATTTACCCCGCGTTCTTGCCTTCTTCGCTGCAGTCACCGTTAGTCACCAGTTCTTGCCTAGCGTAGCCCCGATGCCTGGTTTTGACAGTGGGCGAGCCCACGCACCCTCCGTCGAACAAACGTCTAGCGACTTGTACGGCAGAGTCGTCGCTGCCTTTTGCCAACGCCCGATCAAATCGGTCAGAAGGCGACGACTGCCCCCGTTCCAGAAACCTAACTTAGTCGTTTGCTCTCTCTCGTTTAGGGTAGGCAACCTATCTGTGTCCTCGATAGTTTAGTTGCTAGGAGCAGAGTCACGGACTAGTCAGTGCAACCCCAATTGCCTTTGTTTGAGTTGTGCCCCTTGTTTTGTTTTGTCGCGTTACCGGTTTGTGTTTGCTTTTCGAGACTGTGAAGCTTGAAATTCGTTGGAAGTAGACTCTCGTTCCTGCTAAGGAAGAGCATCCCCAACGTATACTAAACAAAGCTTCGGACTTCCATGCTGGCTGTTTGACACACTTGAAACGGTCATTCTCTTTCAATTTGGCCCCAAGCCCGTAGCTTACCGAGTTTTGCCGGTCCTCCGACACGTTTGTACTCGGCAGGAATTGTCCCGCCCCGGTCGAACAATGTTTCGCGACAGCACAACTGAAAGTATAGAGACGCATTGGTGGGAAGTTGCTTTCAGCTTGGGTCGCACAAACACTCACTCAGCCACGAGGGCTCTCGGAGCTAGGTGCATGCAACTTTCTTGGTGTAGAAAGCGGAGCTAAAGTTTTGGGTTTTTGTTAGCTGTTTTTCCTTTCGTATTTGAAGCAGAACACTTGGCGAAAGGTCCGTCCTGAGGACACATTCCAAGTAGTCGGCAGGTTTAGCAGTTCTGTCTGCGATTTATCTCTTTTTTTTCTTTACTCAGAGTTGAGAGTTACTATTAGCATTAGAGCCTTCATGGGTCTGTTCTACTAGCTTTGATTGAATTCATGTGGAGTATCGCAGATATTTGCCATTGCCACTAAAACGAGATAGTACATTGCAGTGACACCGAATGCTTTCTTTGTGTCCTTTTGTTAACATTGATCTGTGTTGCACCCAGTGTCTTCACTGGATTGAGATCAAAGCATGCGAAAATGCCTGGCACCATTCGAGAGTTCAGTTTTCTCTACAATGCTAACGTATTTCATATAAAAAAAAATATCGCGCACCAGACAATGAGCTAGACTTTTATACACACACTTTTTAATAGTACAGATGGTACATTTCGTTTTATTAAAATAAATGTGATGTTTTCTAATGGAAACTTTCTGCGTGTGTGTGGGTCAATGTCTTGTTCTCTGGCGTGTCATCTGTGCAAGGCTGACTTGCTTTCGGAGGGGTGTCATTCCTGTAGTTCTGCATGGTAGTTTCATCTGACACACACTGCGCAACTCGCTTGGTGTGAGCTAAACATTGGTGCTTCACATCTTTCTAAGGCAAAGTATTAGCAAGCATAAAATTTTACTGACTAAGCTGATGTGCAAGAATAACAGCTTGCAACAAAGTACTGCTGTGAAAAGAAAAAATATTGCTTGTTCGTGCTCTGTTTTGCAGTGTACATCTCCCTTGGAACTTTGGTGAGAATTCGTGCTGGGGAAACTTTGCCCTGTGTTTTGCTCTCGGAGAGTGTTTTGCATTGTGGTCGACTGCTTGTGCCAGAGCAGACAGTGACATAAAGAAGCATCAGCTGCAACTCAACTTCAGTACGCTTTCGTTCGGAATGGAGACGAGTTGGCGCTTCAGCAAGCAATCGGCTCGTTGGTGGCCAAGATGACGATGGCGGTTGCGCCAGAACAATGTCGACGGAGTAAAACGTAAGCAAAGGTTTCTGTGTTTAAAGTCCCCGCTTCTGCTTCTTGTAAGTACCGTCGGTGGTGGAGCAACCTACGATGTCTCGGATCTGGCAACACCGAAAGTAACATGAATAAAAAAATTGCCTACGTGCAGTTAGATGGAGTAAATAGTAGAAGAGGTTCACCAGCGTGGCTGCAGACAGCTTATCAGGAGGACCAATAGTCACAGATCTTGCTACATGTATGGTGCGAGTGGATCGTTGGCTGTTCGAAGGGACCTGCGCAAATCGGTTTCTGAATGTATCGAGTCAAGGTTTTGTACAGGGGTGGCCAAAGAATGTGCACTAAGTGTATCTCAAAATATCGCTGTACAAACTTGCCCGTGAAAAACATTGGAAATCAAAACTGGAAACGCCCGCCTACGGTGTCCGTCCGCTAACAAAAGATGTCCGGTGGCGCTGGTTGGCTAGACCCCTCTATACTAAAAGTAGCGCCATTGATTGATCCTCCGACACGCTCTCACTGTCCAGAAAAAATCCTCCTCCTGCTCTTCACAGTTCTCGCCACTACCATTGATTGGCTGAGCATCCATTCGGTTTTGGTTCGCCATTTTCACCCGCCCGTGTCACGGCTTCGCATTCTCCGGCGGCGTGCGTACGTATAGTACATACTACAATGCCGACGTCGTCGAACTCCGCTATGACGTGGCGTTACTAAACCTCTTACAGGTGTTTACAAAATGCTCAGTCACAATTTTTCCATCTTGTTGTCACCTCAGCGTGTAAAGGCAAAAACAGAAAGACGCAAGCAGTCACGATATTTGCTGTCGAGTTTTGGAAGTGAGCGAGTCGGTAAAAAGGAAACTACGGTGTGCTTTGCTTTGTTCGCGGCGCAAGATCATGGGTCTAGCGTAAAAATTGTGCACCGAACTGCTGGATGATTGTGTTGCACGTGAAACGTTCCAGTATCGATTTAGAATGTTACCAAGCCCGGTGCCTACGCTCTTGGCGCTTTTCATTGGATGACGCGCGGCATGTAAACTCGATAGCAGTTCCTGGAGGGGAGATACTGGCGCTAGTTGAGTTTTAAAGCCTGCCGGTTTTCCCGAACTTACCAAGCCCGCAGGAATTGGCCAATTGGCGCTGATCACGGGACCTTTCCACCAGCCAATCGGCATTGAGCTTCGCAGTCAATTTTTTGGGCTTCACTAAATCTGGCAACCTCCCCCTGATGGGCCAAAGAATGTTTCACGTTAAAAGTTTGTGCCAACTTTGGCTCAGACGTTTTGTATAGCGTAGTGCTAGGGCAAGCCAACTCCAGGCGTTGGGCAAGCTGACATCGGCGGCTTTGCACGATGCCCGTGCGAAATGCTCCAGATAGCAGCATTGCAGTGCCACCGTCTTTCTTGTCGCACAAGCAAACAGGTAGAGGACCAAGATGCAAGGGCATGTATTTGTACGGATTATTCGAAACAAACGTCGCCCCTGTCAAGTTTTGTGGCAATACGTTGGGCAGTCCAATTCTCATTCAGGCCCATGGCGGTGCCTCGCATACCTGCTTATACAGACGCAAGTATGACACCGGCGTGACGGACGCGGCCTGCAGTGCATGTGGAGGTTGTTGATTGTGCAATTAACCGAAGGAATCTTTTAGCACACTGTATATTATTCAGTGACAATGATGATGATGATGATGATACCCACAGATGCTCCAAGTTCACCTCCTCGAGTTGGTCTTGGAATAAAAAAAAGTCGTCGAACTATCACACTGATAAAACCCCGAACACGAGGAAACGGAGACACGTTATCCGTTCCCGTTTTCAACACGACCGTGCACCAGCTTGCCCGAACACCAACTATTGTTCCGGTCGCTGAACTAGTTTGAGCACCTGCCTTTTTGGTGGCATAACTTGGTCAACGTGCGGCACACATGAGATCCGTAATCTTTTCCCTCGCAGTCCGACGAAGTCTCGCCAGCATGTCCGAGGCCGTGGCGCTGGATTTTATAGGTCGCCCACCGGAGGCCAGTGTAGGCCAGAGACCAGACCTGAGTGCGGCGTCTGTAACCAGCAGAGACTCGTGCCCTGGCCAACAAAATGCGAGTCCCAGCCGTTCGTGCCCAATCTGTGGTGACCTCTGGTAGAAGACGTGGAGAATCCACCACAATGGCCTTGTCATTCTCGTGCACGGATTGTCGCGTCCATGCTTTCCACTCAACGGAACGTTGGGCGCCTTAGAAGAAGTCTGCCGCTGCCTTGCGCTTAAGGGGCAGCCGCAGCAGGTTGTCCGTGAGCGAGGAGGCCTCTTCAGGGTTGCCGTCTTTCCGCGTTGATCTCCTCGACGAGGCGGGGGAGGGCAGCAGCGGGGAGGGAGTGGGCGTGGCCGCCAAACCGCCGTCTTTGTCCCGAACCGGGGTGTGGCCCGGGGTGTAGCTGGCCCTGAGGGCCCGGTCGACGCCCTTCGAGATGCCCAGCTTGGCCGAGGCTAGGTGGCGCGCTGCAGGGGACATGGTGCCCAGCCGCGCCAGCGGTGTCTTGGGAGAGGGGGAAGCGCCGGGGCTGCAAAGTCAAAGAGTTTGACATGTCGGCATTCTCACGAGGCAATGCTCCCAACCGTGAAAAAAACGAGACTATGCCCCGTTCCACCTTACGTCCAAAATTGGCAGATGCTACGAGCCGTCCTAGCCGGTCCACCTCCCTGAGTGTATCACGTGATACATTCTGCCCATCACTGCAGCTCTTCTCCAAGGTCACATAACACTCCCGCGGCCTTGGATTGACTTTGATGGCTCACAGGATCTACCGAAGTCGGTCGTAAGGTGAAATGGAGTATAGAACTGGAGTTGGTCACATTATTTCAAGCTTATATTAGGCGAGAATGGTAACCTACGCATCCGAAAAGTTTGTGAGGTTTTAGACGCACGACGGTCGATGCATTCATAGCCTGCTGCATGCCACTCTAAATACAACGATTACGGGGATGGCTACGAGCAGCTATCAAAGGCAGCACCTTTGGAGCATGGCTCACTCATTAGCTAGGGGGTCAGTTCTGGATCTCAGAAAGAGTCTTCTTTTGCATTTAGGAGTTCTAATAAAGAAACCATTTGCTGTGAGAAGCGCAAGGAATTTGGAACCAATGTTATTGCAGACACAGCTTACATCTTGACAAAACACAGTTTTATACATCTCTAAACAGCAGCATGACCATTTCCAATGCTAGCATTGCAGACGGTTCAGCAGCAAACTAGAACAAAGACAGACCTCACACTCGGGTACTATCATTATCATCACCACCGCAACAAAAAAATGGGGAGGTCTAAGGCTCCTGAATCGCAGCAACCGAGCCGTAGGTTTTGATCCGGATCAATCCCAGTCTTTCGTGTCACGGCGACTGAAAACTCCAATAGACCTTTAGCCAAATTAGCCGAGCATCAAGGAGAATGCTGGGAACGTAGGTGTGCATGCCGAACGTGCCCGCCTTAGTTTACGAGTATAAGGCACCAACGAAGGCACGTGCGAAGTTCCATTAGTTCTAGATTTTTGCTTCCAAACAGATACTAGTCACCTCTTCAGATGCCTGCACGTGCAGCATGCGTAACCACATTTGCAGCAAGCTCTTTGGTGCTCGGGTAATTTAGCGAAAGGTAAGCCAGATGTTTCATCCACTACGATCACGTTGCTATTGCAACTCCTCGTGCTGATTGAGGGTCGATTTTGTTTCCCACATATTGTTTGAGTATTCGCATACTAATTCATTTGTTTACACCTTTTTTTTCAACTCGAACAGTATGGTAGCTGCATTTTCCTTTTACGCATACTTCTGCTCTTATGTTCGTTCAAGTTTTCCACCCCCTCCTACTTGGGCCTTACACGGCTTGTAGTATCTTCTAAAACAGTGCTTCTCAAATCAGGGTCTACAGACCCCCTGGCATATCTGAAGGCCTCCTCAGGGTCCATGAAGCCCTCGACCGTCAGTCGAGCCGAACAATAAAACTTTTCTTTTTACTGAGGCTGGCTGTCCCACAAAGCTAAATATACCGAACATGTGGGCCGAGTGAGGAGGGTTGATTATTCTCCGTTTCACGGCTTCAAAGTTGGTTTGTACACACTTAGTATTCTCCATTTACTCTTGTCATAGTAATTGTTCGATACCGCCCAATAGATTAACTCCCCGTTCACTTGTGTTGGTGGAATGGACCCCCCAAACTCTGGTGGTTGAGAACCACTGCTCTAAAATGAAACTGCAGATGAACCTGCCGCCGTGGGGCTTCTCACCTGAGGAAGGAAGAGCGCATCTGGTCGAGGGCGGCCGAGCGTCGGGCGGCGCTTCGCCGGGCAACCCCATCTGCCAGCGACAGGGCCAGCCGCTCCCTGGACCGGGGCTCTGGGATGCGGAACTGGGGGCCCCCGGGGTGGCGGGGCAGCGGGGTGTCACTGCCGTCCAGCAGGAAGGGCGTCCCCTCGATTTCGCCCCACGTCAGCAGGGGCGACTCCGACACCCCTGAGGGAAGAGAGGGTGGACACGGTCGTCAACAGAGCCCCTCGATCCGTTAGTGGTCATCACGAGTAGCGGCAGACGCGATAATAGACGACGGGCGTGCCCCGTGTCACGGTAAACGAATATAAAACTGAAAATACAGTACTTTCTCGTTATAATGATATCGCTTTTATCGAAGTTCAATGTGGTCTCAACCGAAATACATGCATTTTGAACTGGATTATTCAAAGTGCGTCGGCTGCTCACCACGCTTATTGTGAAGGCAGAGGTGCCGAAAGCACGCAGGTCTACACAAAGGCCTTCTTCACCGAGGCAAACAGCAAACAAGAAAACAGCAAACAGGTGACAGAGAGCAAAGCGTTAACGAAGCCAGGGAGCAGCATCCACGTTTTGAAGCTACACACGGTGCCCGCCGTGCCCGCAGCCGAAGCGGCCCGGCTCTAGTCAAAATCAGGTCAAGTAAGGGAAGGAGCCCAGAGGAAATCGTCCTCGGAAGCCCACGACGCACGCTACTGCGCCCACATGCCTGCAGCGTAAACATTCATTCGCGAGTCGTACAAGAGCATTTACCGAAAGTCACTTCAATCAGTGAGGTCGAAAAAAGTGACCGGCCCAAGTCCGAAATCGCCGAGAAATTTGAAATTTGTGGGAACCACGTGGTTCCCTACATCCCTATCTAGGCCTAGCTCATGTAGGCTGAGGGACGTTGCCATGTCGGGGCAAGTCCCGGATGCGAGGCCGTATTAACCTTTGGGATGGCTCTCCCTCGCCCTTTTCGTATAATTTGCCACGGGCACATCCTTTGGAACCTTGAACGCGTCCACCCTCCGGGGAGCAAACCTACTTCCGACCACCCCAAACACGTCCATTCCCGCAGAATATTTGACAACCAAAACCAACGGCCAGGGCCGTTGGTTTTGGCCGTCATGCCGTCGAGCAGAGCCTCTCTGGGGGAGGCTCTGCTCGACGGAGCCCCGCTTTCTTGTCGGGACTTTCCGCCTTCCTCGATGCTGCTAATAAAAGCAGCGCAGACTCCGAGTGGTGATGCTGTCTATAGAGCCAGCGCCGTTAACTCGGACTTTGTTGGCCTTCGGGCAAATGTGTTGGCACTTCAGTCAATAAACACGTCATTATACGGACCCAGGAAACCTACTGTGTTTCTGCCTGGTACCCCACAAAGGAAGATCTCACATCTGAAATCAACTGTTCGACACTGTCGACCATCTTGAAGAACAAGCAAGACGTACTGGACGGGTTTGAGAAGAGTGTCGCCATGCAAGAGAAAGTGCGCCCGCGACTCGAAGATGAAATATTGCCAACAGCTTTGCACACTCGTTAGATTTTCTTGCGCACTCATGCTTGCCGAGCCAGCACACGACTCCCAGAGATGCAACGACCTCTACAAGAGTGTGTGCGAACAGATTGGTGAGACCACCGAGGATAACTTCAATCTGTCCGCACTTGTCGATGCAGACATTCCTGTCGCCACGGATGCGGAGATCGTAGCCAAGGTAAATACGAAGCGACGTTGGAGAGGCACCTTGGGAAACACCGACGACTGCAGAGACGCAAAACATTCTACGGCTTCTTCGAGACAAAGTGGAGTGCAGCGGAATGACTGCGCTCCTGCGATGCCTGAAGCAGTTTAAGCAGGACTGATGCCCGGATAAAATTATAGGCAAACTCCACTAAATTTTTTTTGACTCCACCAAAGCTGCCACGAGCTGTTCATAGCCAAGGTTTGTTCGATTAAATAAATAAGGTCAGAGCGTTTCGCAAGGTTCCCATCCACCTTCAAGAGCGAGAGCCAAATAAACAGCGACAACGGTCGCTGTTTATTTGGCTCTTGCTTTTATTGAATTACCGCTTATATCAAATTATTTTTGATGTCCCGTCAACTTTGGGATAATAAGAGACTGCTGTAAATGTTTAATGAGGCACACTTGTGCCTACTAACAGAAACTGACCATGTACTTCCCATCCGCGACAGAAGGGCGACTGCCCCAAAGCAGCGCGTTACCACTCCTTTTATACGTGCGGTACCTTCAAGAACGTTCCAAACCAGAATACCTGATGACAACCAAGAGTGGGTTAGAACTTTCCAGAAGAGTACCGATTAATAAAAGGAAGCGGGGATCGAACTCTGCTGCTCCTCCACGTGGCAGTTGCGCGTGTTGCCAACTCCGCCACGCACACGGCACCCAGCTCATGAAAGCAAATGGCGACGCAGCACACGCTCCCGGCTCGTGTTTTAACAATAAAGCAGGCATTCATACTTTGTTTCTGTTTGCCCACACTTTTTCGGATTAAAACCATGGCTGTCGGGACTTGTAAGAAATGCTAAGCGTAAATTTTATCGGGGGGCATTGGTTGTCAAATGGCTGCGGTCGTTACGGTTCCAAACAGAAAGCGCGGATGAATGTCCACTGGCAACTAAACGCAACGCCGGTCTGAAACTTGCTGCTCAAAAGTTAAGAGAAGCGGTGGGCCTCACCTTTTGGTGCAGTGCACATCAATAGCGAAAGTAAGAGCAAATGAGCACTTGAGACTCCCAGAAGCCTCGGCGTTGTAGCCGACATTTCGCAAAGAGCTAGGCCTCACTGCGAAATGTTAACTGACATTTTGAGGCATCGAGGAGATATCTTTTCCGAGTTTGTCCGTTTTTCAAATAATTATTATTTTATAAATCTTGTGTAGTCTCAAGGCCTGTGCAGACATTTGCAACTTCTTAAGACCGAGTGCCTTGAAACCTCTTAAAATCTCTTACAACGAGAGGACACACTAGTACCATCTATTGGGTAGCAGTGGAAGCTTGGCAGTCCCACATATTTTCTATTTCTCTCGCATATCCTCCTTTCTTTCTTGGCTCGAAAACCTCTTGTCAGTGTTATAAACGAGCCTTTTTCTTAGGTATTATGCACATTTTACCTCGGAAATCCCGCAAAATCTTCGCTCTTGTGAAATGCAGCTTTAGGGTCACCGCATAGATGGCGCCAGCGTGCCAGTGTGATCTCTCATCCTAAGAAATTTTAAGAGGTTTCAAGGCACTCGGTTCTAAGGAGTCGCAAGTGTGTGAACAGGCCTTGATGGGCATGTTTGAGCAATCGTCGTTGCAGAATGTGATTGCACTCTATGAACCGTAACAATAAACAAACGGCCGAAATAATTATCAGCTTAACTTGCAAGCATAAACGTCACGAGCCTGCCCCTTGTTTGCTGGCTTTGTCAGACGAGCGGCGCCTTCGGCTCAACATCTGCCATATCCATCAATGCTGCTGTGCCAGCATTTGAATCGCAGCAGGCAACACCACGACACAACTGTGACGTCGTCGGGCAGAAGTCGAGGAACCCAGCAGGAAGACGCGGTGAATGCGCCGGGCGGTAACACGTTGCAAGCAGCGTAACAAAGATGTACGGTGCCTACCTGGGGCGGGGGAGGGCGTTGCGACGAAGCCGAAGCCGCCCACCTTGGGCGACTCCTGGCCCTGCAACTCGCGTCCGTCCACGCCCACCTTTCCCTCCAGGGCCTTGGCCTGCACGCCGGCCGCCTGGGCCAGCGTCTCCCGGTTGACCCGCTCGTCGAAGGGGGCCCGCTCCAGCCGCGTGTGCTCGTGGGCGATGGCCCGGCCGGGGCCCCGCTCTCGCCGCTCCTCCTCCGTCAGTGGCACCCCTGCGACCCGGACAGACTCGTGTGAATCCACAACCCGCCGAACGACCCTTCGCTACGACTTTTGGCATTGCTTCGGACGGCATAGGGTTAATACAATAATCAAGAGGAAAAGGTCCCACACCTTCCGGCCGTGTCGGAATGGCGGGGTATAGACGTGGACATCGGTGGTCCCAGTAGGTGGTCCCGCTGGGCTCACATCGCTAGCAACGACTGAATATACACAAAGAAGCAGAGAAACATCACTTTTAAGCTTTTCTACCTTACTTAGCAAAAAAACACCGACATATAATGTATGTAAAAGAAAAAATAACTGGATGAGCACTCGAACAATTACAACTCGTCTCAGCAAAATAAACACGCACGACCTTTCATCTACCTTTTTTTCTCCGCTTTTCTTTTTCTTGTTCTTTCTCTCGGGACCACCGATGTCAGCGTCTTCCTTTTGCCATGTTCTGCTCCCTCGTTTACTCCTAAATAGAGCAAAACCGATTTCACGGCGGCGCCGCCAAAGCGCCGTTGAGAAATCGGTTTTGCTCTATTTGTCACCAGGCTAGTCTGTCCAGAATGCTCCGCGCACGCTCGCCACATTTGCGCAGTAGCATTCGGAGTCCCAGACCGATGGCCGCCGCCGGTTGCGATGGCTACGACGAGGCGCTAGACCATAAAGAGCCGGCTCTTAGACAATGTGATGTAACCACGACACGTGCATGCGCGCGCCCGCGTTACGTCGGATTAAATGGAGATCTTTAGCGTAAGAAGAGCTTGAGTCACTAATGAGGCGAGAACGGCAGAGAGGGGCTTCAGTTGCCCTGCCTCCAGCACGAGTTTCCTAGTTTCGACAACGTGTCTTGTGCACCTCGAGTGGCTCTCCCACTGTCAGCAACCGCTATAGTGTTCCAAGCTTTATGAGAAACAAAACTGGCGGAACCTGTGGAACCAAGCCGCCAAGCACGGCAGAAATGCATGTGCGCGAGCCCGGGAAAGAGACGGAAAAACTATGGAGCCGTTGCGAAAGCCTCGGTCCCTTCCGAGCCTAGTTCAAGGTCGTGGCCACCCGTACGAGAAGTGCGGTACAGAGGCAAAGAGTCGAAAAAGAAGGAGGGCAAAGGCAAATGAATACACATATACCCATGAGTGTTAAACGGAAGCCCCATTTCGTAGCAGCTGAGAGAACATTAGCCGAGAATGTACCAGCGGGGTTCTACCGTGTTTTGCCCATTTGTTATTGGCTTTTCTTCTTTATTTCTTTTTGGCTCGCGCATGTATTTCTGCGTAGGAGTCACCAGGCCACGGCAGTTTCTGAACGCAAAATATCCCTCTGAGATTAAGAAACTGGTCCAAGATGCAGTAAAAACTTCGGCCTTGGCCACTGAGGCACTCGTTATTCTAAGTATGTAGTCTTCCCAAAAAAATGTACAGCGTTTTTTTTCAATGCAAGAATAAACTATGGATCGCTGCACAAATGTAGCGCTAGCAGCCTGGACCGTTTGAGAACGAACTACTATCAAAAGTTACAATTTTCTAAAACTTTCAATGGGAAATAAGGCCCGTTTCCAGTAGTTTGCGCCATTCAGCTCCATGTATTTGTGGGCTTCATCAGCTACCAGTCTCCCAATTAAAATTTCTGAAAATTGCTTATACTGTAACTTGAACATATAACAGTTGGTTCTCAAACTTCAGCATCTCGTCCAGACACCTAGCACTACTGAAATGAGTGATAAGGCGCAGGCAAGCTGGTTTACATTCATGATTTAAGCAACTCTGAGACAGGGGAAACAAGGACAAACACGACGAAGTCTCAAATCTTGCACTGTTTTGTATTCCCAATTCCATAAGACCAATCAACTCCTCAGAATTTTAAAACGACAACCCATTCTCAAGAGGTTAACACTAAGGCATTTTTGCAGGCAATCTGGCAAAACTTGCTGCCAAGTGCCATTCTCATTTATCACAATACGAGAAGGGAAGCTGCAGTTTGTGGTCTTTCACTAGGAACTTTACAGATGAGGCTGCTCTTATTCTACCACTGATCCTACTAACAACCGACTGAAGCTCACATTCTTTAAGCAATCTAATCACACTCCTCTTAATTTTCTGGATATCCTCAACACACGGCTGGAACAGACTTCGTCGCGTTTGTCCCCCTTCTTTCCAGTCTCAGGGTTGTCTCAAATCATGAATGCCAGCACTATATTTGGGCAAAAAGTTTTCATTCGATGATGCGTAATTTATTTAGGCAGAGAAAAAAAAAAAAAATTTCGTGAATTTTTGGGGGGGGTTACGGGTTCACTGAGAAGCCTCACGTTGACCATGAGGGAGAGCACGTCGGACCAGACAAAGCCGGCTTTGCTCCAGGCCGCGACGGAATGCTTGCACTTACCCTCAGGGATGTACATGAGGGAGTTGCGGTTGGTGTACTTCCAGGTGACGGGGGCATTGGTACCGTCCCCCGGCCCCTCGATGGCAAGGGAACCCTCTGCCCCCCGGAGCATCCTGTCGAGCGGTGCGGCGAGGGCCCCTTCGTCTTTGTGCATCCAACCGTGCCTCTCCTGGTGCCTGCGGTCCGCCTCCACCACCATGGACCCGAACGAGGCGTTGTCCTCACTCGTGTGGCCGTGCAGGAAGGAGTCCAATGATTGCTTCCGCCTCCCCTGCTGCGCCTCGTCCTCCTCCGACGCGGCACTGCCCTCGACCCCTGCAAAGGAGATGAGGGTCTCTTTCCTCGTTCGCTCAGCGTACCACGGGGCACCCCACAGTCTGAGGGACGCCGCAATGAGGCGCTAAGGGCGTCATAAGGGGTCGCTTAACACGGCACCGTTTGCCTACATGTTACGAAAGCTTATGTCGAGAGTCACTAAAAAATGTAAGCAAAACACTCCTGAAAAAAAATGGACCCTAATTCGTACACTCGCGATCGCCTACTGCCAAGTTCTTGCAATCTCTTATGACAAGAGAACGCTGGCACCATCTATGAGATTGTCCTGAAACTGCATTTCACTAGAGCGAAGGCTTTGAGACATGTGCAGAATCAAAACTATGTATTGCCTATGAGAAATGGTTCTTTATAACATAGTCAAAGCCTTTTCAAGCCAATGAAGAAAGAATGATGCGCAAAAACATAGGAAATATACGGGAACTGCGAGTTTACCACAGCTACTCGATAGATGGCGCTAGTATGTCCTCTCGTTGTAAGAGGTCCCAAGAGGTTAAAAGGCACTAGGTCACAAGCAGTCGCAGGCATGTGGACCAGCCTTAAAGGGACATTGACAGGGTTTTTATGCTCACCAAGGTTTTTATTCGTACATGACATATGAGAGCCCAACTACCCAGAACACAATTTGCATCTCGAAATTCGTTTTCTTTTCATTTGAAAATTGCCGATCGAGAACTGGCCGGTTTGAGTCACGCTCACCCTCTTCCCCGTAGTCACGTGCAGTTTTTTATGGTTTAGACACACACACCAAGTATAATCAAAGTCGTGGGTCATCGAAAGCACACACTCAACATTAAAGATTAAAACAAATACGATACCCATTTTTTTGTGGCTTCTAGAAAGCCGCAAATATGTTGATTGAAAAAAAAAAAAAAAAAAGTTGCATAGAAAAATGAAAGCAGTCTGTGCATCCACTGCGTAATTCTCAACATGGTGTCGTATCGCAGGAGTAGCGAGCTGGACGGCTGAGCAAAGCGATGGTGGCGAACAACGGGCATGGGACCTTTACTTCAGAACTGTTTTTCGCGGTATCGGAGAATCTGTCTAGCTTAAAAAGAGAAATCGTTTACCGAATAAAACAATTAGGATTTATTCCGTACAGCAAGCCCGACCACCAAGCTGTTCGCACAAAGACGTTGCCGAGTCGTCGCCCCTTCTCCTGACTGAAGACATCCCTCATCTTACGAACGTGAATTGGTAAGAGCTTGAAAAACGCGCAAACGTCAAGCGCTAAGTGCTTGACTCTTTTGTTTTCTGTGTGACGTTCGACGTGCGCGTTTTTCGTCTGCTTTGCATGACCAGAAAAATGAAAGAAGTTTTTGAGCTACCTAGTCCAAAACCATCACCTGAATGCTGGTGGCTTCCTAACTTCCAAAATACTACTACTAATAATAATACGTTTATTCCCTATCAAAGCAAATGGTGGAGGTTGGAAAAATAATTCGGAAAAATCAGCTTGACAAGCTCTCCACTCCCCAGAAATTATACAAGCTCGTTCCTCCAGATTCACTCTAGTTAATTAAGAAAAGTCAATTTTGTTTGCTACTGAAAGCAAACCTGTTTTTGCCCTCGTCTTTTTCTAGTTTTCCAAGCCATCCAAATGAGGTCACAGGTGAGAAGCAAGGTGCGCGGCTGGCAATCAGGTACGCTTGCGCCCACATTGCTCGCATCTAACAGTGAGCAAACAGGGATTTTCGTGCTATCTGGAGTTAATAATAATCTCAATCTGCACAAAGTATGACCTCAACCTACGTGATGAACTACATATAAGGAAAAAGCAACTTCTAACGTGAAGGTCAATGCAAGTTCCACTTTTATGTGCATGTGCAGAAACTAGAAACGACCCGACGCCACCTGGGGGAAAAAGCGTGTAACATTTATTGGGAATACTATTTCAATCGAGCAATAAATAAATAATTAAAAGCACATGTTTGCTTCTGTATTGTGCAAACATTTAAACTACCGTATAAACTATGATTTAAATTATTTTTCTTTCAAAAAGTTGCAAATTCTGCGTTGGACTTCGGAGAGACTGTTTCACAAGTCGAATTGCTTCGCATTTTGAGAGAATTCTGAAGGCGAAGCAGTGGAAGTCGGGTGCGCCGAGGGTTCACGTCTTCCCTAATTGCAATATCAGTTCTCGGCCAGCTCGCTCGCATACATGCTTTGACTTCACCAAAAGTCATCCCAACCAAACGAAAAAGCAATGTGTTATTCATACGTTGCATGACAAAGTGGGCTGACACGGCATTTACTCATAATGTGACACCTGAGACTGTGGTGCAGAAAAATTAAGAAACTTTCAAGCCGAAGAAAAAGACAACAGTAGGAAAACGTCTTAATGTCTCCTACTGTTGTCTTTTTAAAGTTTCTTTATTCTTCCACACCATAATTTCAGGTGTTACATTATGATTAACCGTCTCCAGCTCGCCTGCACGCTCACCATTTTTTCGTCAACGGTACTTACGCATAAAATTTTTACACAAACACGACCCATAATTTAGTGAGCAAGAAAAAATTATTTGCGCCTCAAAATCTACTTATCGGTTATGTATAATGACGACAAACTTTGCATATTTGAGAAGTAAGAAGTTCTCTAAGGCATGTCTGCATTTACGAAAATAATACAATTTTATTTAAAAAGTAGCTTTTACAACCGCCGAAACATGGCTTCAATATGCTTATAGCACGAGCATCTCGGAATAGAAAATATATCTTACCTGCAGCAGAACCCCCAGCAGTGCTGCAGCCAGACTCGGACGGGGCAGGTGTCACACTAGTGGGAAGGTGCGGCGTCTCAAAGGTTGATGGTGTAGATACTAGAAAAACATGAAACAAAAAATATTTAACAGTTCTTTTTCTTTTTTTTTTTCTAAGGTCACAAAGTTGCCGAAATAACTTGCAACATGGTCTTTTTTCATTTTTGTCTATAGAGCCACAAGCACGTTGAGAGCAGGATTCAGCCTTTTGACAAAATGAATCCTACCATTTTCGGCAGGCAACAACTGTGTGATGCCAAAGTTTGTGCTGTAGGCCGGACGTCACTAGCTCAATTCCCACTCCCGATTAACGTAGAATACCGCACATCCGCCCATTCCCAAATTTGTAAGATCTGAGAATATATGCACAGTATGTTTATATGTAAAACTGATGACCGGACAAGCGCCCATCCCCTATTTTTTCACGATTATCTCCAAATTTTGAGCTTGCCAGGCATGTTACGGTATGTATTTTGATGCTAGCTGGAGTTGAACTGGCAAACAATAGTGCCATACTGTGTGAAGCGCATGAAAGATACCGGGCCCCTATAATTGCCAAACACAAAGTTGGAGCTGAGAGTTTGCGGAGTGATTGGACTTCGGGAACAAAAATTATAGTCGCAAGAGTCCCATTGGCGAGTTCCGTTTGACGAGTCTAAGTCTAGGGCCCTAATTAGGAGTCATTGTCCTCCAGCTAAACTGGCCCTCTGAGGCATACACGCAAGTTGCCATGTTGCAGGCAGACAAACTTTTCCGTTCATAAGTATTTATTTAGAGTAAAGCTATACGCACTCCGGAGCGCACTTTGGATGGAAATGGCTATACGCACTCCGCGGAGAGCTCATGCCGCTCGGGCCACCCTTTTCGAACGGCGCGTGTATCACTGGGAGCTCGTTAACACAGCCCCCCCGCCTGCGTTCACGCCGCTTCGCGGCGGCAGTATGCGGCTGCTAATAACAAAACTTAACCAGTACACGCCGCTTCGCGGCGTCCAGCCAGCAACCCAAGCCCCGCTGTCCCCGATCGCACCTCCGGAAAGGGAGTCGTATACCATTTAGTTCTGCAAAGATTCGTCAACAACATTCGGTTTTTTTAGTATTCATCGCAAAAAAGAAATGTCGTAAATATCGCCAAATGCCTCAACAAAACAAAATGTTCGAGAAAAAAAGGAAAACAAAAGTAGGCCCACCACGGATCAAACCCGCGTCCACTTGCGTATAAAGCGGACACCTTAACCCCTAGGCTATGCCATTGCTCAGAAACCTCGTTGTGACCATTTGTTTTATACGAGTTTAGCGGAGTGCGTATAGCCATTTCCGTCCGAAGTGCACTCCAGAGTGCGTATAGCTTTACTCATTTATTTAAGGAATGCAACCTTTGATACATGGTACAGGGGGGAAAAAATGAAGCAATCATGACTAACAGCTGATGCAAGTTGCCAACGCATTACTTGGAATACATTTGCTCAAAGTTATGTATGGAGTAAAGCTTTACCCACTAACAGCATAATGCAAATACAGATTGATATTGTGCGAGTACTTTTTCCATAAAGTATTTATGCGACAAGTGATCCATCACCTATCAACCAACATTACTAATGTGACAGGTCATGTGAATACTTCCTCTAGAGAGTGTTCATGTGACATAATTTAAAGGCAATGCAACATGCAACCCCTCATTTATCGTGCGATCTGTCACATGTGACACATACTGTTTATGCAGCCAGTGAATGAAGTGTGCGAGCAGTGGCCGAAACTGCAGTCGGAGTTTCACCTAACACCCAACAATTGTCCACGCTGCAGTTCCTTCATGAGTACTTTCTGGAGAAAGTACTCATGTTGCATCAATAGTAGATCGTACAAAAAAATCGTCATTGTTGTGGTCAACAAATCGATGTAAAACTATACAGCATGCCTCTTTGTTGTTCGTCGACACACCCGTTTAAAGGAGTAAACCTAATACCGTAAAAGCACCGTCAGAGGCAAAACATTTAACGCTCCTGTCGTCCAGTCAAAATTATATCATAATAACGTAACGAACTGGAACAAATACGGCGGAATGACGTCACGGACATGACACAGACGGGTGACGTTCCAAGCAGCACTGTTTTCGGTACTTGGTGTGCCGAGACTCGCACACACTTACGCGCGTGGAGGCCACTTCTGGGACCGCCTCGGTGCTGGTACTTCTCCTGCAGTTCCCTCAACTTGGTGATGTTGTTCGCCTCGAGTGCGTCCAGGTATTCGTTTTGGGCCCGCAGCTTGGGCACGTCCGGGAAAAAGTCCCGCTCGATGATCTTCCCGATCGCCTAGAAATGTGCCACAGATATGAATAACGAGTGACCGCGCTAAAGTACGGAGGTTCGTCAGAGAATACTAGTGACCAAACTCACCGCCGTGTAGGCGTCTTCGTCCAGGACGACCTGCGTACGACCCTTGGACGGATTGTTACCAGATCCCACCACGGCGACAGTTGTGCACGACTTGGTCTTCAGCGTCCCTGAGCTTGCCAAGCTCAACACCGGCGATTCTTCGCCCATTTTGACTCCCGTGCAGGGAAATTTAGCGGCAAAGTTCGACAATTCAACAACGGAAGCGAAAAACAACGCAACCTTCCGCCATCTTGACTTCCTTGATGACGATGAAGGTGGTGCTGTGCTCATTGGTTTGTTTTTAAGCTACATAAGCTACCGCTTCGTAAACACCACTGAAAAAAAAAATAATATACCGTCGTCTAAAATACAGTAAAAGCTTAACTGCGAAATGAAAGTGAAGCTTTACTGAAAACTAAACCTGTAAAAGTTATGTCTAGTAGCTCTAGTTCTGACTCGTGTTCTGGCATGTTTCACCTACCAACTTGCGTGCGCCTTCATTCTTCTGCCAGTAACATAAATGTAATGGACAATTCATTAAAGCCTCTAATATAACACACTGCGAGTAACTTGCTTTATAAGAACTCATTTTGCGTGTGCTATAAAAAGACACAAAGCAGTTGGACTAGTTACGGTTTCGGTTTAGTTACCGGAAGATATAAACCAATATTTTTAAATAACAATAATAAAGCTGGGAGAGTTTAAGCTAAATTAATTGACGCAAATAAAGTGCCCACTGTCTGAACTTTCCAGCGACGCAATAAACGACAGCCAGCTTATCTCTTATCGTTCAGCGCTTTCAGGTGCGGCGCTTGATGAAGTACGCGAGGCGCGCGATATCGAAACCACGTGCCCGACACCTGCTAGAGGAACGGCTCGTCTCGTCAGAAGCCCCTTCAAAAGGCAACCGAAATGCTGACTCGTTCTTGAACCCGTTTTGACCAAACTCGGATTAAATTAACCACATTTATATATGGATTCCACCGGAGCCACGAGCTTACTTCTGAACCTCCTGCAGATATCGGACAGCGGTGAGTTCAAATTCGATTGGAGGAAAGATGAAGATATTGTGCGTTCTAATCTTTATTCTAATAACGATCTTGCTTTTTTTCTTTGTTAATATAATTTGGGGTTTTCGATCAGCATTTCCGACGGGAAGTTTCGCGCACAGCGGCGGATTTGAGGTGGCGGGCCAGAGGGGTTTTATCGACAGTGCCGGTAAGAATTATTTTACGTTATTATGTTTTGTCGTTGTTATTATCATCGTGATTGGTGTGAACAGTTCAAATACGTGATTGAAAAATACTATAAGGTCCAGGCCTGTACGTATTCATAAGGTTACTAAAAGCCTTTAAAATCATACGTACATACTTAAAATATCTGAAATACGTATCTATCACGCCGCCAAAACGCCTGTTTTGAGGGCACAAATATGATTAAAGTCTTACCAGTGTTCACTCAGTAAAGGAGTCTTTGCGCATATCCACACGGAAAGCGAACTGTTGTTGTAGTTTTTTATTTCACAACTAAGATTTCAAAAATGTGTGCTTAAAGCCTTTAAAATCATACGTACATATTTAAAATATCTGAAATACGTATCTATCATGCCGCCAAAACGCCTGTTTTGGGGGCACAAATATAATTAACGTCTTGCCAGTGTTCACTCAGTAAAGGAGTCTTTGCGCATATCCACACGGAAAGCGAACTGTTGTTATTTTTTATTTCACAACTAAGATTTCTAAAATGTGTGCTTAGTGCATATCCAAACTCACTATAGGCTATTTTTCAACAAATATTAATTTACAATTTTGCAGATAAAGTGGAACAGTTTCTCGTCGCGAGCTTGGAAAACGTAGGTAAGAAAACGGAACATGTGGGTCGGCTTCACCGCTTTGCACCGGAGTGCTTGGAGAAGCGGCTGAAAAGGGGGAGCATGTCCGGGATGGAATATGTTCTTTGCTCATATTTCGAATGTTTCAAAAGAAGTGGGTGGGCGCTTGATGATTGTGGTACATGCTCGCTATATTTTTACGCTATATCCAAATTAAAAGCATCCTTCCAAGCACCGCATTTCTCTGACTCGATAAACTCTAGCGAATGGTTTACTGCAGGCTCCTTTATGACTCCCTTCATGAGGGAGGCACATCAGCAGTGGACCAACCCCGAGGTCATTCGGTCCTTGGACTGCAAGCTCAGCGCTTCGCTCACAAACCACGTTGCCAGCAGAGCCAGCATCCAGCAGGTCTTGAAAGTTGCACTTTCATGTTAGGAATAATAGCGAGATAATAATTATAGCAACAAACATATATGCATATCAATGCATCACATCTTAATTGCAATTCTGCTCAGAAAAAAAAAAAAAAAGCTTTGGTTTACAATTGGGATTTGAAAAGCATGCTATATGTTGTTGGCAGGGGAGGTCTCTGATCCAGACAGCATGTGCCACCTATGCCGCCCCACAGCTTGTGAGCCTCCAGGATCAAATTTATGATGAAAAGCTGAACGGTCATCAGGTGAGAGACATCCGAGATTAGTACAGCGTGCTTTGGCTCTGATTGTCCTTGCCTGCAGAAGTTTAAAATATGGTAGGATAATTGCTAATAGTCGGGAAGGACAGGCACCTGACGTGCGAGTACATCTAGAATGTCTCGGTGACTTGTTTGAAAATTCACTTTTTTAATGAACTGTTTGGAGAACCTTCCTGGATATTATGGCCCAGCCTAGGTGATAGCACAAGTACACGCTAACCCAAGTAAAAAAAAATGTATATTAAATTTTTGCTGCAAAGATTTGATTTAATTTCGATGGTTATAACATACGTACAAGCTACGACTTGCAATATCGGTCACAACAAACATAGTGCCTAAGTGATCCTAGTGAAGTTTCAGTGCAGCTCAAGTAATGTATTCACGCAGTTTGTCAAGACATCGCTGCCTAACATATGTACCTGCACAACAGTTATCGTCTAATTTTGAAAATTTAAATGTAGTAGATATCAACATCCACCAAGTTTCTTTTTTATTTTTCGTTGCCTCTGTATTCTTTATCCATCGGTTTATTTGCAGATGACTGTGTCGTCTACAAGGAAACAACCAATGATTCTGATATTCATTCCCTTCAGTCAGACCTTCACAGCATTTCACGGTGGTGCGACACACGGCATATGAAGCTCAACATTAACAAATGCAAATCCATGAGAGTATCACATCAAATTAACACCTGTCATTTTTACAATATTGGTAGCATTGTCCTGGAATCTGTATTAACATATCTCGGTGTCCATATAACAAATAACCTCTCCTGAGATACATTCAACATGTAATCAATAATGATAAATACATGTTGGGCTATCTTAAAAGAAACTTCTCTCTTGCTTCCGCCTCTTTAAAACTACTTTTTGCAAAAACGATTGGGCCGAAGTAAACTTCAATATGCCGCAGCTTTCTGGGACCCTAGTATATAACACTTACATCACCACTTGAAGCCCTTCAAAACAGGTCTGCTCGATTCATACTACATAACTATCACCATACATCCAGCGTATCAACTATGGAATCTAATCTGCTTACCTCACCTCCCTCTCTGCAGGAAAGTGTCACACTTATGCTTATTTCACAAGATTTATTTTCTTAACACGTCAATGTGTCAGCTTTTATTAATACAACCACCTTAAATCTCATCGCGTGTCGACCACCGTGGCTGCCTTCCCGCAGCTGTAGTTGAGATAGCCAAGAGATGCTGCGTATAATTATTTTAGAGATGCTGTGTATAATTATTTTTTTTTTGTATCCTGTTTAACTCGCTTGTGAAGTCAATTTGTTTTGCTTGTACATTGTTGCTTTGTCCACCCTTCTGCAATGCCTTCGGGCCCTGAAGGGTATCAATAAATAAATATACCACGTGCACTATCCCGCTCCAAAAGTGTGCTTTTCCCCTAAGCACGCAGCCGCGCTGTGGCGAAGCGAGATTCGCTTCTCCGCAGTGCACCGGTGCTCGACGAGAAGCGCACTCAACGGGGCTAACTGACTCGCCGTGAAACTCTCATCGAAAATTATGAATAATTACAGTTCATTTCCAAGCGAATATCCATTACTATTGTTTTAACTACCATTCTGAAATTCGAATATTCACACTACCATAAAAATTTGGCTTTTGACAAGCACAAACTACTGCATGATTACAATGATTTCTAATTTAGGAAGATATGTCAAGTCCCGTTTGGCTTCATAATAGTACAGAGTTTACGGTCGTTGCAGGTAAAAATTACAACCACCGGAATGCCTATTGATGAATAATATTACTCAGATAATGAGCGTAGGCTTATGCACCACTCTGCATACAGGCTGTGATGTACGGCGTTCTGTGTGGCTTCCTGGGCATACCGGAGACCCAAGCCGCCATCTCCTTTCTTTTCGGAACTCTTCGGACGATGGTCGCCAGTGCAGTGCGGCTGGGCATGACCGGAACACTCGAGGTTTGTACCAGAGCTGCCTGAAAAGGTCGCATCCATCTTTTCTCAAAGTAGAGGATATATATGGTTGATTTCGTTGTCAAATATACTTTTGCTTCGCGCACAGATGTCCAATGATGCCGATGGAACTGCACTAGCTGTACTATCGGCATCGAAACATAAGAGACTTAAGCATATGCACGCAATGATATGAGAATACAATGAGCTTCCGAAAAGTTAAGCCGACTGCAGGCTGCCTTCGGTGCTGATGCTACTTTTCATCATCTTCCGTACAAGGGACAACGAATCCAGTACAAACTGCAAGCACGGATCCCAGACATTGTGGAAAGGTGAGGTCTAATGTCAAATTGTTGTTTATAACATATCTTGAAGATGATCTAAATTAAGAAATCTCTGCATGTGCAAAAGTATAAGGTAGTAACAGCCGACAGTAGCATACAGGAGGGAATCTTTAGGATCTACATTCACCAACACATAAAACAGGTTTCATTCCACAGACTTGGAAGATAATTGAAGGCCTTTGTAAAGTTAAAGTTTTTTTTTTACAGGCAAATTTATAATTTCACTGTGTACTATCACAACTAATAATTATGGTGCCGAGGCTGTCAATTATGTATAAGTCTGCTAAAGTGGCTTAGGTTGACAACATCCTTTAACACTGGCTAGAGATTTAACTTCTGAACTACTCAAGTGATTGGGATGAAATTTGCAGGGGAGATTTAGCATCAGATGTGAGTGTACTGGGCAAACGTTCAGCTCTCTAGGACAATTTAATGAACCTGCATAAGAAGTTGTGTCACTGTTTGTTAAGAAATCTATATGCAAATGAAGCTATTAAGCCATTTTGACTGCTTGAATATAAAGTGGAGGATGTGGGGCTTTGGGCTATCTAGTTTTTATAACTCAAATGTAAATATTTCAGGAAGAGTTATTACCTCAAAATATGATATGCATATTTGTCCTATGTCACTTTCTGAAAACATAGTTGTTGTTTTTTTTCAAACAAAATAAAGTAGATAGCCCGATTCCCCAGTAAATTTCAGTCCAAAAACATTGTAATTGTGGTATCAGAATACTTTTACCTTCGAACAAGATTCCTTCGTATTAAATTTGCAGCAAAAAGTGGAACTGAGAAAAATGCATTCAAACATTGAACTCCTTTACTTTGTTACTGCCTCACAATGTGTTGAAAATATTTTATATCAACTTAACTATTTGGCATATGGTTATCAAATTTAGTGTAAAAATGTACAATTAGTTTCTAAAACTAAAAACCTCCAATTTAAAAAAAAAATAAATTAAAAAATTTTTTTTGAAATTTACGCCCATAAATTGAACTGCACAAAAATTATGCAACATTTGACACACTCACTGTCCATATGCTTTGATGCTCTTTAGAGCAGGTTATTGTCAACATTTTGTCCTTCCACACTTCCAGGAACAGGGAGAGGACGCCCTGCACTGCTTGTAACACCTTTCCGTTGGTCGACCTGATGCAGAACTCCCACGACCTCCTCTTCTCTCGAATGTTCTACTCCTGACACAAAGCAAAACATTTTAAGGAGGAAACCAAAAAAATGCTGCACCGAGGCTATGTGGTAGGAGCATTTATTCGCCACAAAAATTGTATGCACAGAGCTTGTCTAGGCCCTCACTCAAAGCCAGCTTTGATGTCGCAAGAGCCACCAACGGCAAGCACTCTAAACATGCATAGGGAACTTGCAACGGCGACGCAGATGCCAGATCAACTGTGTACCAGTATAGTTACGCTCGACAAAAGGATGCGCAACTTTTGAGGCAAACGAAATCTTTAAATGCCGAACAACACCATAAAATTTGCAAGTTTAAGGAGGTTGACAACCTAACAATAGGTAGTTTCAAACTCCTTGCATTCACTTTCTTACAGAGCACATGAAAGTCGTGTAATCGTTGCAGTTTACGGAAAAAGTTTGGCGAATTACAAGAATGTCACAATATTGGATTCCTAAAGAAACATTGACAATCACATATTCGGAACCCAGTGCAAATTGCATTTCTAAGCTCCTTAACCATGACACTTATCATATGCTGATCTTCCGTAGATTGCTGCGACAAGCTATCAGTATGCTTTGCAAGAAAATAAATGTGGGCAGTCGTATTTTGCCACCTACCTCGGAAAATTAAAACGTTTGTGGTGTCATCTGCGTGTGGCGTTATTAAACGGAGCTTGAGAACGTTGTTTAGTGGTCGATTCGTCTCTTTTACACCTTGCATCGCCGTTGCAAAAACGTTGCACACGACAGTTGCTCTCTCTCTCTTTTTCTCCCTCTATAAATTACGGTCAAAATATACATTCCTTTGTGTTGTACTGAAGCTAATGACTGGGTTACAACAGTCTACTCAAGACCACATGCAACGTTAGTGCGCTAGAAAGAGCCATCTAGGTTGAAAAATAAGCTTCCTATATATTGATAAGGGCTTACGGTGTCAGGCTAGCACACAATTGACAGCAAAAGCGCTCGAGGTCTATTGGTTATGCACAACACATTCACATGGTAAGATTGTAACGGCACTGGAAAGGCAAAATCGACACGGGGTAAAAGAAATATGAATCGGTCACAATTCACAGAAAGATTGGCATGATTGTGATTAAAACTGAGACCTTGCCACAACAAACTTGAACGAAGGATCCAAGTGCATTTGTAAAATGAAATACAAAAGGAAAAAGGAAAAATGTCTTTGGCAAATGATTGTTCAGCACCCCGGGTGCCATGCCGGCCTCCGGAGGCATTGTGTGTGATAGGGCATAGCACAAACAGGTCTCACTACACTTTAACATTACATCTCATACATTTTCTGCCAAACTGCAAAAAAGAAAACACTAGATATATGAGGAACAATTTGCCTGACTAATTGCTTTCCTTGTTTTTTTTCTTCAATCAGATCATTTGTGACAGCAGCCAATAAAGGCAATCCCCCAATTAAAAAAAAAAAAAATTAATAAAGTTTTATCGATTTTTTTTCTTCAAAATAGTAACTTTACATTTTGAGACTTCTGTCATACAATAAAAGTGCTGAGCTAGTTTGCGAACCTAGAGCTTGTTTTTAAGTGCATAAAGGCTTTCGTGCCTTGCTCTAGCCCCTTGAAAACAGGCATGTGCTGTGGAAGTTGAACATTAGTGTGCAGTACCCAGTACCCGAATAAGGGCGCGCACATTCTTTGTATTAAGCACAAACAAAATCCTGACATTGGTTTTGGCTCGGTTACAGAAGAAACAGTTTTTGCAAGTTGTAGAACTAAACACCCAAACAAAGTTTCAGTAGCTTTGCAAACCTTTGGGTACAATAACACCAGCTACTTCAACCTTAAAAATGTTTGCTTAAAAAAGTAATTCCCTTTGCAAAGATGCTAACAAAATGAATTTGGGCAACCTTACTTTGAAAAGCAGTTTCAAAAGTGGCACTATCTTCCAAGGGTGTCAGAAAATATGTAGGAAATTGAAAATTTAAAAGAATGATTTTATCACATAGACACAAGACGCAGCCTAAAAGCGCCATAGGGGTGGGTTTCATACATCGAGTAAGTATGAGAGAACAATGAAGCCACTTTTCAACATGATCAGCACTGTAGCTAATGATTTGCAATCTTGGTCCTCAAGAAACAGGCATTCAATCAATTGAGTTTGAAGGGAATAAGTCACAGAATAATAAGATAGTAGTAAAGAGGGTTAAAATATGCAATTCTTCGTGGTGCATAAGGAAAGGCATGCGAGTCGGCCCCAGTTCTCAATGTTTAGCATGCTTTGGACACCATCAACCTCATTCTGTAAACGTCCGATGGCAAGAAACATGGCAACAAAAAACAGTTGCATGAAACATTTCAAAATGACAACCACTTTCAGGCAACATGACAGCAAAATTAATTGTCCGCGGACTTTCTGCACGCGAAAAGCCATTTTGCTACATATAAAAATAGTAAAAAGACACCCTGGTAAAAGTCCTGCAGTCACTGGCAAAAGCAAAACCAGCTCTGAATGTCATCAACCTTCCATGTATTGCCAGCTTGATCAGTTGAGTTAAGAAGCAAATGAGATTCCAAAAAGCAATGTTAGCATTGCAGAAATTAGCAGACAGTATGAGACTGTTTGATACTAGTGCCAGGGTTAAATCACAAAAGACTATCTGTCACTATGCAATGACTAGAAACAAAAACATGACACACAAAAGAAGGTGAAAGTTTGGCAGAGCAGTTTAAAAATATGACAACCAGTGTGGCAAGCTGACTTGCTTACGCCACTGGCGAGAACAGCTGGTCAGAGGACTATATTCTATGTCAAAAAAGCCTAAGTAAAAAAAATGGGGAAATAAACAAGGTCAAGGCATCTGTTTATGAGAAAGAGCTCGCGTGGAGGTAACGTCTTGCTTTCGTGTAACCGTGTCTTGTATGTACGTCAGCAAAAAAAAAAATTATGGATTCCTCGTCTGCACAAACCAAAAAGAAAGAAGAAAAGGATGCGCACAACTGGGGGAACACCTGTGCTTAGCTGCAGCGACTGACGTAGGCGGGGTATTTCCCAACTGCGGGAGACTGAAAGGATCGCCTGCTCCTGTCCGACAGCTCTAGTGAGCTTCAAAACTGTGCCACACTTCTCTACTACTCAACAGCGATGCACTAAGAAGCTAGGGTTTCGGAGCGCACGGATAGATTGTGCTGTCCCAAGCATGCTCATTGTATACAAGATGTCTGCTGAATAACAGCGTGGCAACGCGACACAAAGCGTACACCGCAGCAGGCGTTAGTCTAAACGTAGGATTGGTTCTCACTCGTGGTCAAGACAGAACCATGTACATTACGCAAGTTATAGCGGCTACCGTAACAGTAGGTCTTCAAATAGCCATGTGCACTCGTGCAAATGGCGTTTTCCATCATGTTGAGTACCTATCTGCGATTGCTTGAATGGACGAGCAAATGAAGGAAAGAGTGACGAGACGGGTCGTGCGTGCAATTGGGACTTAGGTGGCTGGAAAGAAGACGCTGATTGTAGGCAGCATACACTTTCCCTCGTTGCGATTCTGGTGCGGAGAGCCGCGCTGTTTTTAATGAATAGCGGCATTTGTTCATTGAATTAGCTAGCAAAGAGAACCTCACTTTTAAAGGGACCACGAAAGGATTGTCTTGCTTTGACTTTCTAGTGCTCAAGATATAAATTCTTATTCATATTGTACAACACTCACAAAAGTTTGCTTTTGTCTGCAAGTATTTCTTTTTTTATTCTAAAAAGCGTTTCCTAGACTTCCATTGGTGTTCCCCCTTCTACTCGTGTTCCTCCTGCACATACAGTCACCTGTAAGAGGTGACCAGTGAAACCAACGAAGGAAGGGTCATCTCAAGCCTGGAGGTGGATAACCAGATTAATTCCTGCAATAGGCCTAGGAAGCTGTAGCTGAACAGGATAAAGGAAATTTCACGCAGCCAATGAGCATTTGCGGTACTAAACGCACCACAAAAATCCACAAGGCTGCCTCCGGCGATGTGTGCAAGAAAGGGATCGTACCGTTTACCGCCATTCGCTTCCATCTCGTGGTCCCTTTAAGCGACAAATGTTCGCAGGCCGCTGCAAACACCGCCACACTTGAGCACGAGGTGGAAAAGCCCCTGACTAGCTCGTGCTCGTGACGAAAAAGAGACGGAAGCCGGCACTTCCGATCGAGCGGTGCGCTCACTGGTAGCGGTACTTCTTGACGCAGTTGTTGCCGAGGTCCACCACGGCTGCGCGACTGCCGGGCAGTGCTGCCACTCCGCCGGGACGCCCCAGCCTACCGCTCCGGCTCTCGATGGTGAATGCAAGCGCTCCACCGACAGCGTTGAAAAGCAGTACGCTGTTTTTGCTCCTGTCGGACCGCGCGGCCAGCACGCGGCCTTCGGAATCGAAACAGAGTCCGCTGAAGCGGCCCTTGCCCCTGCCCTCCCGGAACATTGTCTCCGCCGGTTTCCCGTCGGAGTCTAAAACATAGATGGTTGATCCGGCAACAAGAATGCGGTCGTCGGGCGCCACCCCGATGGCGCTCGGATTGAAGCCGCTAGAGACAATGCGACCGTCGATCCTCTTTTTGAGTGCCCCGTCGCGGTCGAAGACAAAGACGCAGCGCTCGCTGCTGTCGACCACAAACACGTCCCCCACAGAGTTGACGGCCAGCGTCGTGGGCTCGCGGAGCTCGGCGTGGGTGAACCCGCGCACAACGGTTCCCTCGGCATCGAACTCGGTGACGCGACGCGTCTTCCAGTTGCAAACGAGGAGTGTTCCCTCCGAGGGCGACACGGCCAGTCCCGTGCCGCCCCGTTCCTCTACCCCGACGCCCGCGAGGTGCCGCACAAAGGCGAGCTCGGGCGTCAGTACCTTGATGCGGCAGTTCCCCGTGTCCAGCACATAGACCAATCCTCCCGGTCCGTAGACTGCAGCCACTGGCTGAAGGAAGCAGTCGTCGCCACTCCCGCGGCGCCCGAAGACGACGTCGGGGTCCACGCCGTTGGTGGCGGCGAACTCAAAGGGGCTGCCCTGGAGAGAGCGTCCCAGCACGGCGGCAGCGAGGCTGTAGCGGCCGACCCGCGGAGGCCGGAACGCGAGGACGTACTCTCCGGTGCCGAGGTCGGTCAGCCGCACGTCCAGCTGCTTCTTCTCCCCCTCAGACTCGGTCAACTCGACCGTGACGGGGTCTCCCCCTGTCGTGCGTGGCCTGCCTTCGTAGTCGAACGTCCGGAGCACGGCCGACGCCTCGAGGTGTGCGGGGCAGTCCGCCACAGCCAGGGTGCAGAGCGGCGGGAAGGTGCGGCTCGTCTGCAGGCGGCCGAAGACCCCCAGCGCCTGGGAGACGTCCTCGAGGGCGCCGTTGTGGCCGTAGTCGTAGCGGAGGTACGAGTTCTCACGGGGCTCTGCCAGCAGGCCCAGGGAGCCCATCTTGGAGTCCAGGTCCGAAATCTTCTTGGTGAGGTTACGGACCTCCAACTGCCCGTCCGTGGCACCGCACTCTCGCTCCAGCCGGGACCGCTCTGCCTGGATCAGGTCTAACTGCTCCTGGAGCAGGCCCTTCTTGCCGTCCCAAAGGGCCTGCAGGGCTGCCAGCAGCGTCTTGCGGCGCTGCTCCAGGAGGTCCTGAACCTCTCGGAAGGAGGCCTCCACCTGATCCGTCACTTCCTCCGCAGACTGGTCCAGCTGGGCAATCTCGGTACCCACGGCCTCCACGGCGGCATCCAGCTTGTTCAGGCACAGCTGGGCCTGGAGGGGAGGGGTGGAAAAGTGTCTCGAATATCATTGTACTGCCAGTGTCGCTAGCACGAAAGCAACCTTAGTATCACCTGATTTCTTTTCCCGCCGTAAAAATGCTTGTCTGCATTTAGTTTATAAGCTTCATCATCATAGTCCATTCCTCCGCGAGAAACTCATCCTGGAACCATCATATCACTTGGTTCATCTCTATCACGTTTATAAGATTGGCATACCAAACATTAACACTCCCACATTCAACATCTCATTTATATCTCAAACATCACATGACTGGGACCACCTTCCTACTTCAATTGCTGCATTAGTGATGCTGTTCTTTCAAAGAAACTCTAACAGCACCCTTAGTTGATTTAATTGCCATCTTTCTTCGTGCATTCACTCTCCCCTGTAATGTAATTTGTTCCTCGAGGGTAAATAAGTAACTGCAGGCCGACAGCGAAGAAGGAAACGGTTTTTGGGTCGTTTGCTCAAAATAAGGGGTTGGGTAGCCACCCTTATAAGAGGTTTGAACGACAATCCTAGAGATGAACCCCAAGAAAACAGTATCTATGAAAACCAGTTCAAAGGTAAATAGACAATTCATTTGCCAAAAAAAAAAAAAAAAAAAGACGAATAAAGCAGAGCATTGCGGGCGTCGAAGTCGGCGTGACAGCAGAGTCGAACGCTGGGGCAAAAACTGACTGCGGCTCGCCACGCAGAGCCCCTTATGCACATGCGTGAGCTTCTGGAATAATCGGCGTAGAATGTTCGACACGTAGAACATTCGGACCTCGAACAAGCAACAGGATTCTCGAATTTACCAGAAAACTAAGTTGCAGGAATAACAAAAGATGCGTCGCTCCCAGGAATCGAACCCTGGCTTTTCGCGTGGGAGGGAGGCGCGATAACCGTTAGGCCATGCGCGCGCTGCCTACTTGGCCAGCTGCGCGCACGGCAATATGCACCAAAGGGAGGCTCAGACCCGCTAAAATAGTGCTTCAACTGGGACCCTCTAGGGAAGCCAGTCACTCACCTTGTAGAGGAGTATCTCGGACATGCGCTTGACGGCGATGGAGAAGGGCACGACGGTGTGGTGGGAGTCGGCGTGGGCGTCCCCCAGGCAGACGCCGCAGAAGGCCTGGTCGCAGCTCTCGCAGAAGAGCAGCTCAGGGGCCCCCGGGTGGGTGGCGCACTTGGGCACCACCTCCCGGCGCCGGCTGGCCACCAGGTCCAGCAGCTGGTTCACCAGGAAGCTGGGCGGCAGGGCGCCCACCCCTGGCTCCGGCAGGGGCACCGCCTCGCGGCAGATGGGGCAGCGCAGGCAGCCCCCCTCCCGGGCCCCCGTGGCCACTGCCAGACGCTCCAGGCAGCTGCGGCACACCGTGTGCGAGCACGACAGCAGCTTGGGGCTGCGCTCGCCCCCGTCATACGTGCACAGGCACGTGCTGCACGTCAGGAAGCTCTCGCTGAAGTCCTCGTAGTTGAGCGACACCGTCTCCACCAGCGTTGACGCCGTCATGGTGCCCCCGGCCTCTGGGCCCTGCAGCCTGCGAGACGTGCGGGTTCTATTGGAGCCAGGGGGCGTTTGAAACCCTCAAAGGGGCACTTTCAGATCCTCTTTTTATGGCGCAAACTCAATCTATGCACCTTAAGCATCCTAGGAAACCCAAAATTACAACCACACGCATCCTTTTCTAAGCTTTAAAATTCAACCAAACATCTTGTTTCCGAGATCTCTCAAAAAAGGGTGTGTCGCGGTGTTCGGTCGCAGTTTAAATAGGAAACAAAAGCCATGTATGGTTGTAATTTTGGGTTTTCTATGGTGCTTAGGGCAGATAGATTGAGCTTGCACCATAAAAAGATCTCGAAATCCACTTTAGTGCCCCTTTAAAATAGTGAAAGCCGTTTACAACTTCGCTGTAAAGCAAAGTTGTAAACAGCGAAGCTTTACAGCGAAGCTTTACAGCGAAGCTTTACAGCGAAGCTGTAAACAGCGAAGCTTTACAGCGAAGCTTTACAGCTTCGCTGTAAAGAGAGAATGAACTATTCAATGGAAACGTCAACATAAACTTTCAATTAATCCACCTTCCAAAAAAGGTCTCTGAGCTCAATTCCCAAAGAACATGGAGGCAGCCAATCACGGCGAACAATAGAAGGATTCCAGCCAATGACAAAGCTCAGAATACAATTAGATTTTAAAAAATGTGATGAGCTGTCACAATTGGCGTGACATTTCCCTTGCTCATTGTGACTACACACATTGCATTTTTCAGATCTAATGGTTTTCTGAGCTTCGTCATTCGCTGAGGTCTCTTTGTCATTTTCAATGACTGGCTGTCTCCATGTCCCGCAGGGAAGCGAGTCAAGGGACCTTTTTTCCGAGTTCACTATTGGAACATGACAAAATTCAACTCAACCTTATTCCTCCATATACTGTAAAACCCATTATTTTTGCGCCCCTATTTTTCGCGAATCGGCCACAGACGACATAATCACAGCCACTAAATTTCGCGAATTCCAGACGGCTGATTAGAAACTCTAAAAGACAGAAATGTTTGCGTGCCCTTGAATTTCGTGAATTTTTTAGTTCGCGAAATTCACGAAAATGAAGGGCTCGCAAACATTAAGGGTTTTACAGTAACTGAACTGCATCTGGCAGATTACTCTAGTAATCAATTTTGTAGTTTTCTCACGTTTTCAGAAAGTGAAATTATTTGTGTATACTTTTCTGTATGTTCAATGCTTTCATTTCCTGGAGATTTACACCAATGTGCTCGTTAAGTTCTTCCCACAAGTGTTTGCTGCAACTAGTAGTTTATTATTGCTAAAACAATTTGTACAAAAAGACTGTGGAAAAAAATTTTTTTAATGTTAGTTAGTTATAGTTTGTTAAGTAGAGCATGTCTGGAGTTTATGATCGAAGCATAATAAATAAAAGTTAACTTAATTAGGATAAAATCGCCTTCTTGACAGCTAGTCTGTACCAATTCTAACTAGGGATGCCGCAAACTTTTTTCGAACCGAAGTTTCGATGATCAGGCAGTTCGAAAGGTTCGAAAGATTTCGAATTTTCGAACTTTCTATATCGTAAAATTCGACGGAAGTCAAACTTTCGAACTTGTTAAACTATGAAGTTCGACGCTTTTCGAACCGTCGAACTTATTACGCTAAATTTTTTTATCCTTTTCGAACTTATTACGCTGCAAAATTCGATGCTTGTCGAACTTTCGAATTTGATAGACCAAAAAATTTGACGATTTTGGAACTTTAGAACTTTTTGCACTAAAAAGTTTGAAGTTTTTCGAACTTTCGAATTTTCTACGCTAAGGAATTCAATAATTTTCGAACTTATTTATCAAGAGAATTCAAAAAGTTTCAAACTTTCGAATCCTGAAATCTTGACAGTTTGACGAACTTCGAACTTTTAGGGTCCAAGTTCGACGTTCGTCGAACTTCAAAAGACGGGCGGACGGTTTCATTTGAATTCAAATAGTGAGGTACATTCGTAATTTTTTTTTTCTCAAATTTCTACATGCGGTGCTGCGTCCCTTACGAAAGACAATGCCGTTTATTTCAATGTACTGGTTTTCTTAGCTTTAAAGAAATTAATTCCCGAAGGGGCAAGGAAGGACGATGGTTTTTTGACGATTGTCGTTTGTGCCATATTTGAAGCGCACTATAGCCGAAGCTATTTATGATAGAGATGTTAAACTTTTTAAGAATGATCTATGTATAGCCTAGGTAAGTGTCGTCTTAAGATGTGATTATTGTTATTCAAGATGAGTTTCGAAGAAATGTCCAAACATGTATCTACAAGCAATTATGCCCTAAACTTTTTTTTTTTTTTTTTTGCCCAAGTTGTTTGAGGTATTGCATTTAAATTAACAGTACAGACAGAACACATCATTGCCATCTGCAGAATACAAAATAATGTATTTATTGTTTTTTCACACTAAGAAATAAATTAACTCATGGGAGAATATATCTAATATTGTTCAAATTCAGCACGTCACTAAAAAAAAAAAAACATTTGTTTTTGCGCTTTACGTTTTTGGGACGTGTTTCTTTTAGCCTGTACACATTTTGGTAGGAGAAACTTGTTTCGAAGTTCTGAGCTTCTGAATATGCAAGAATACAACACTTCCGGCGAATTCTTGATAGTTGTTTTTTTCACCAGCTTTTTATCCCCGCATTTATTGTTATGTTTATTCTTATTTATTATTATTTTTTTATCAATGGCACAGTTATTTAGGTCGAAAAGACATAGCTTTGAACTTCCGAACCACTATAGGCATGTGAGAAGTAGTGCCTTCTGACAACGAGTTTCTGACAATGACCATCTGCGAGATCTTTTATGCAGTGAAGAGCGATAGTAGGCTATAGATATGCATAAATACTTTCAGATTAAAATAAGTTTGACCAGGCCCTCTTTCCCCATATTGTTTTCTTTAACAGTCCGAAATATCTGGAAGGGGGAAAGGGGGGCTGGAGCCCCCCCCCCATTTTTCTTCTTCCGACGCCACTTCTATGGTAGAACGCTCCTTGACCTCCAGTTGTGTCGGCTTCTGTGCTTTTTGCGAGGCGTTTCCTTCATCCCGGGAAATAAACCTTCAGGACAATTACAAACTTAATTTACTACGTGCCAGCGTCACTCGGGCGGCGTTCGATCGGATTACTACCAGCGTGCAAGGGGTAGGGAGGTAGTTTGCCAGGTCGCTTCAAGGTTTTTCTGAGCCTCAACATCCTGCCCACCCCTGGCCGTTTCGAACTGGATGAGTATCGTAAAACAGTGCATTCGTGTCATCACTACTGTGTGATGCACGTTAAAGGCCCCCCGGGCTGGCGGTCACAATTACTGATCTATTGTTACACGTCACTCTGCACTGGCAAATATTCCAGCACATCCGGGACACTCATCGTCTCATTAGTTGCCTGACCCAACTTCGCGGAGTCTAAATATCACACCCTAACTTCTCTAAACCTGATTTTGTAAAAACCAGTGAGTCGTGAAAACGTTATTTGAAACTGAAACTGTGGAGGAACATGAAAACCGGACTTCGAACTTTGAAAACTCGGACCTAAAAGAAATTCAAAATCTTTAAAGTTTCTTTTTTTTTTCTTTCTAATAAGCGTTAAAAGAGAATCGAAACCTTCAAACTTTTCTAACTTTATGTAGAAAGAAGTTCGAAATTGTAGAATTTTTCTAACTTTATGTCTATAAAAATTCGAAGTGTTCGAATATTTCAAATTTTATCTCCAAAGAATTTCGAAATCGTCGAATTTTTTCTAATTTCAGATTTCAGGAAATTCGAAATGTTCGAATATCTCAAATTTCAAGTTAGGAAAGTTCGAAATCTCCGAATTTATCGAACCTCAAGTAAAAAGATATTCGAAATATTCAAACCCAAAATTTTAGAAACCGTGAAAGCTTCGAACTTTTCGAAACGAAACTCCACTGTGATCGAAAGTTGCGAATTTTTCGAATTTGAACTTCGGTCGGTACGAAATATTGAAAATTTTCGAATTCGAACCTCAGTTCGCTTTGAAAATATTGAAACCTTTCGAAATCGAACCTAGGGTGGTTCGCGACATCCCCAATTCTAACACACAAAAGCACTGAAAAAGAAAATATTTAAAATCGAACAGCACTGCATTTTCAGGCAATTGTAACTGCAGCAACACAGGAAAATTACTCTCATTAATTTTGTTGCCTCAACCTTTGGGACTGTTCAAACGCTGATAAAGGAAGCTCACACACCTTCTCCACATTTTTTTTATCAACCCAGTATGATAACCTGTACCAGGTAACAATACTGAAATAATAACAAAACTGCCAAATAGCCAATCATATAGCTGCTTGCTACGCTGCCCCAGTTGCCTCCGACCCATTTGTGCCTGGCTGCAATGCCGCCCCTCGGGCTCCTTGAATGGCCACCATTATGCAGCTAGGAACACAGATTAGTGCTTGTTGCGCATGGACTCTATGTACGTTAGCACACAGAGGGTGCTCTACCTGACACATTAAAACGTCTGCTGCACAAGAAACAAAAGAAATACCTCACTTTTCCAGGGTTAATGAGGTGTGTTCATTTATTTATTTCGGGTACCCCACAGTGCCCGTGAGGGCATTGTAACGGTTGAGGGGCAAACGAGTAAATAACCTCACGATAGACCAAAAAAAAGTGTGTCTACAGCCCAACACAGATCTTGAAGAACCAGCATACACCATAACACATATGCTTGTGCGCTAAATCAAAATGACATAAACTGGAACATATGCAGCATTAAATTTAATTGACTGAAAGAACTGCGAGTTCTCTTTTTCCGAGACTAGACCGGTAACGCATTCCAGCGTTGAATGGTTAAACATTCTCTGTTCCGAGCAAGTTTCTGTAGTGCTGTTCTTATTCGGCGTGTCCTTTAATCGCGGTCTGTGCAGTGATAGATGCTGAAGTGCCGAAGAAAGCTACCGACAAGGTTTATATACTTGACATGTCCGCCAACAGTGTTTGTACCCCGTCGCTCTGGTGGGGACCGATGACGGACGTTCGCGCTGCGCGGTTATTGAGAACGGTCCCTTGGCGACGCTCCAGAAAAAGGCGCTCCCGCAATCGCGCATCCAGCACGCGCCAAGCAGCTGCCGACTGTTTGCTTACAAAGGCGTCCCAGGGCGTCCCCATGTTTGCTCCCGCACCTGATTCACCGAGAGCAACGCGGAAGTGGGTCAGCTGACGAGGCGCGTGGTGCGGCTCGCTGGGGATGAGCCAATTTTAAACCCAGAGGCGCGCAACCCGTTTCAAAGCCGCGCGATTGATTGTTATCGGATGCCGCTGCCCTGCGCCATATCGCGCGCTCGCGTGCCGCCAGAGTCGTTGGCGCCGTACCTAGATCTTTTTACACGCTCGACAAAGCGAACTGTAATCTGCGAATGTATGTCTAATGCAAGGACATTTGGAACCTGACTGACTGTAAACATTAAAAAAAATTAAAAAATTCCCCCCCCCCTTTTTTCCCCCCCCACAATCTCGCTATCGTTTTGAACTAGTTAGAAAGCCACCGTGGACAGAAACAGGTTTCTTCTATGTGGCGTGTGATAAGTTCAACAGCCTGGATCTAACGTACTATACGGGTTTCCCTTATCACTTCAAATTCCTGTCGTTTTGTAAAGAAACCTCCGAGCCCAATCCGAACGATTAAGCGGGAATTATGCGAAGCCCCACGTTTAGAACCTGAAACTTGCAAGCGAATATCGGTCTTCAGAATAATTTTCGTGCGTTTTTGCTTACCAACAGTTAAACGGGAAGACGTCGAGACCGAGCGTCCGATTGTTTCAAAATTCAGACCAGCGGCGACACGACCGCTGCAGGTGTTTCGCATCGAGCGTGCACGATCGCGCTACGAGTGCGATGATAGAGGAGAGGCGCCGAGCGCGTCTCCACCACGAGCTCCCGATTTGGAACCTTCTAAAATTGTGGGCGAAGGCACTTCGACGACGACGGCTTTCTCTCCCGGCCTTTTATTTTCTTTCCGGGGCGACGCGCCGGGGCCCCTTTTTTAACCCCGCCAAGCAGGGACACTTTACATAAGTGCCAAAGACCAGTTTTGTCTTGTTTAGTTTTTCTTCGCGCGAGCGCTCGCTACCTCTATGCCGCTACCACCTCGCAACCGCGTCGCGGCAAATCCATTGTTCACGCGAAAACCCGCTTTTTCGTGGGGGACGGTGAACGCAGGCATCGATCGTGTCGCATCGGACCTGTCGGCGGTGTTTAATACACGCCCCAGACGTAAACAGGTCGAAGCAGAGCAGTCGAAGCTGTCTCTGACGGCCTTGTACTACAACGACAAGTTGCGACCATGGTGTGATTCGACAATGCACTCGAAGGACCGAACTCACGCGCTGGCTGCAAACCGCGCGTACGATAGCGAGAAATTTGTCGGCATAAGCACTCCACATATTTCGCGAGAGGAAATGTGACGGCGCGGCCGTCACGTAGGTAGGAGGTACGAATGTTAATACGGCCGAATTTACATAGCGGCGAGCTCGATACCGGATGAAACGCATCACTTGGCAGTGCGTTCGTAAGATATCCCCGTGGCGAGTGAACGGACAGAACTGGTTGTGGCTGTCGCGTACGGAATTATCTCAGTCCGGGGACTGGGTCGGACGGACGAACTTACCCGTTCCCGAAGCCCGTTAAGCTACGAAGCCGTGATCCGTGAGAGCCATAACAACAACGCGCTGCCAGCTGCAGCTGTTCCTTCGATTGCGAAATTGCAGGCGACCGACCGGTCCGCAGTGCTGGTGCTCCCCACTTGCTAACCAGTAGCAGCGGTAGTTCTGAAATTCGCCGCTACCGACAGTAGCGCCAACAGGTAAAAGTATGTAGAGAAGGGACAACTTGAAAATAGCCGCCATTGTATACACCAAATGCATCGAATGCACTGCTACCGTCACTCGCGTTTTTATTTTTTTCATTCTTTTGCAGGAATAAATTATCGATTTTGTTTTTGTGGTTGTGACGGGATGTTTTGAGAGCAGAGAAGGTAGAAAGGATAATTTTGAAACATTTTTCTGAACATCCACCTTGTTGAGAACATCCAAGGAGAACATCCAAGAGGCACGGCTTCACCGCACGGCTCCTGTCTTATGCTGTAAAGCTAGCTTGCCGAGAAGCTCTTGGGCGTTGCATTTACAAAACACTTTTTTGGCGCCTTATTTAGGGTTGGTTAACCTACACGTAGGTTGCATCAGTTTAACAGCTCTAAAAACTGGGCTTACTGCCCGAGAGAAACCTGAAGTGAAACATTTCAAAAGACAGTATTCACTACCTTCGAGCTTGATAAATAGCTTCCTTCCCTCAACCACAACGTAAGCATTGAATTCGGGGTCTGGACGCTGCAGCAGTACATGCTTCTTTTATTTGATATTGCCACTGCTTCGTCTACAAGTGTACATATTTATTGAATCTAATTCATCTTAAGGCAGGAATGACAAATCACCACCTTAGCAACAGCTAGGCGCAACCAGTCTCCATGTATTTTCCGCCGTCGCAAGATGCAAATCTCATTTAATAATTTGGGAAATTTTTTTTTTCATTTATAAGCAAAAAAATTATCTGATGCACTGTGTACGGGTGCAATAAGGAATGCCCTGCCACTTATTTATTAAAAATAAGCAGCAACGTCCTTATTCACTGCACTCTAACCAGATGCTTTCAACTTCCCCATGACCGTTCCACACACCACATCAGCTTTCACCGTACATCAGAGGCAAACTCGCAAAAGGTCCTTTCAATGAAGTCTACGACATCCGGATTTCTTTGCAGACACCAAAACCATTAGTAGAGAGTGGCACAAAAAAATAGCAAAGATCATATTAACTTGGCCCTCATTGAAAAATTGGTCACATAATGTCAGTTGCATTCTCACTGTGCAAATGTGTATTATATATCATAAAGTATCAAATGGTTAACATAACTAGTGAATACTAAACAAACTGCAATATTTCAATTATTGCCAGTACCAATACAACACAAACATATTTCCATAATATAAATAACCACATCCAGCTTGCCCCCTGGAGCATTTGGAAATTCAAGGCATCAGTTATAAGCATTCTCCTATTTTATTTCAAGCCACATGATTTGCTTCCATGAAACTATTCAATATGCCAAAGGCTACATGGATGACTTGTTCCATATGTTTGCTCATGTTTACCAATTGTTTCTCATCTCGTATGGCTAACACTACAGGTGGTTCCATCTTTGGAATGTGCCATCTTTTAATCTGGATGGCTATAGTGGACTGTATAATATGAAAAACTGTCGAGACCAGCTATAACGAATTCGGTTATAACGAAATAGTGGCTTGTAGCAAAGTGATCACGGTTTCCTATTCCCGTTTGCACTTTTCCGATGCATTTGTGTCCATTTTTAGCGAAGAAAATTGAGCGGCCCCTGCGATTTAAAAAAATAATAAAATTCGGAAAATGTATTAAGTCTCGGACCGCTGAACTTTGCTGCCGCGGCCAAGAAGCCACCCCGAACAGGCTGCAGATGCTGGAAAGGCCGCCGGCGGCAGTCTCTGCAACGTCGTCTGCTCCCCGCTCCTTATCTGGGAAGCGGCTTTACTGCATCGCATGCGGAGAAGCCGTTGTGGCATGCCGATAGGGGTGTCCGGAGCACTACCGACAACTTACCGGTAAAGACCCCGTACCGGTAGAGATGACGGAGAGAGCCTAGATTTAAGAGAGGGAGCAGTAAGTATGCCTGCATCCGATTGTCGCGTGGCCAGTGTGGCGAGGAAACTGGGCGAAGAGGCAGACACGTTTGCAGAAGGCGAACGCTTTTGAGTTTTGACTCCTTCCATGCTGCAGCTCGTCTTGCAAATGTGGCCCACAAACCACGTGACTCCGGTCAAGCAGTTGCCACATCTCTTAAATCTAAGCTCTCTATACCTACGACATACAAGCTTGAGTGTGAACTCGGTGCCGTGCACGCTTCCCTTTACTGCCTTTACTTTGTGATCCGTGCTGGCGTCTGGTCCGTGGCTCTTGCGCAAAAGTCTACTTCGCTCAAGCACCGATTCGGCGAATCATCGCCACTCAACGATGGAGAGTTCCGGCACCGCCGGCACCTCGACGGGGAAGACGAAGGCAATCTACTTGAATCAAAAGCGTGCTATCCTCGACGGAGTGCGCATAGGCATTCTTTACGTTAATTAACGTAAAGAATGCCGTCCACCGCCGGCGTCCTCCGTAGGGCCGTCGCAGCTGTCGACACGGTCCGTACGTAGCAGGATTTTTTTTTTTTTTTTCTATCAGAGCTTCTCGCGGTTGGCGAGAAGCGGATCCGATCTGGCGGAGGAAATGAGCAGGGAAGCCTCGACCGCTTTCTGCAGGCTCGATAAACATGTGCCTGTGACAGCCCCGGTTATGCATATATATTTTTTTTCATCTTATTTGTAAGAGTTTCAATATAACGAAGAAGCAAATATAGCGAAGCGATTTCCGACGATTTTGTTATAACCGGTCTCGACAGTACCCACATCAGTCACCATTGTGGCACTTATGAACTAGGATCCCCGAAAGCTTTCCCTCATCCTTTTTTCATTTTGAGCAATTAATGGGATTTGAACCCAGCCTTGCATACTATATTTTGGAACAAGGTAGTCATAGGGAGGGACTAGACAAACAGCAGCTGCACCAAGTGCTCGCATTTCATCTGGTAAGGCTGTCCAACTTAGAACTTAAACAGATGAAGAGAGCGCGATTCATCCATCGAGGTTGAAAAACTGAGAAGATAAAGGGAGTGCTTCGGAATTCTCCGCTAAAGTTGCCTTCTTGCTGCTTGAGAAGCAAGATTTATTACAAGTGGATTGTGGATCTACGTGTATAATGCCGTTTTGCATGCATATTGAGCCACACTGCTTTCTGAAAGAGACATATGGCAGCTCCTCGGGCACTGGGGGGGCCACTCAGCCACACCTCCCTTTGCACTGTCTCAAGCCCCCCCCCCAAAAAAAACCCGTGGAACACACCCAGGGTCGTGGACACTCCAGCAGGTTGCAAGAAGCTGTATTGTTGATTCAATATTTCGTAACAGTGCAGCTACTGGGGTTGATCCAGTTGCTTCATTCTATTTTTGGCTACTGATTAGGACTTATCACACTGTAACACTGTATAACGGCGCTCTTAACAGCTGTTCTTGGTTTACTGTAATTCAGCCCTGGTGCCTCTCATTCACCTGCTTCAAGCTCACGGTTCTATCTGCTAGAATGGTGGAAAGCGGCCGGCGCTTTGGAGGCTCTTTGGCTTGATCGACAGGGACGGCAGGACGTCCATGCCCCGCCTCCAGCACATGCTTGTTGCCTTCAACCATGCTCTGGCAGCGTGTGCACGCTTCAAGCTCGCAAGACGCTGAAGTAAGCTCGTGCTGGAGGTGCGACAAACGAAATTGCTACCCTATACCATGACACAACTCATTGTGGCATGTCATTAAAAAAAAATGGCTTTCTAGAACTTTCTGAAGTCAGGACAATGATGGTCAGATCCTAACAGGATTTTTCCTTGGCCCGTATACTAGCTGTGACAACAGAACTCGGGCTTGTTTCTTGCCCAACTTGCTACAGATGTTTGTAAACGTTTGAGGTCTCTTTGCCACAGGCAGGATACAATGATATAAAAATGATTGATACAAGCAGTAAACTGAATTAGCTTTATAAGAAACATAACGAGTCTTTAATGGTTAGGCGCTTATGAACATGAAACGCGGCTCTGTCACTTGAGACGCCTTCACATTTTTCGTTGACTATGCCAGTTGTACGAGCACTGTCCAGTGTTCACGTGGAGTTATCACGTTGGTAAGGGTGCTTTAGCCACAAACGGGAGCAATGCTTGGTGCGACTCGTCTTTCTCCTTTCGTGTTACGCACCCACGATTGAGATGGCCGTCATCAAAATTCAAAGTCTTTAGTTCTTGGAAGTGCTTCATCGGCCAGCAGCGAATGCGGTCATCTCACCCATACCGTGGAACTCAGAAGAGCTGACAAAGGCAGCTTCTAGAGACGAAACCACCTAAAAATTGTCTCAAAAACAAGTAATTTGTGTTTGGGGGAAAAGTAAAAACAAAAACCCAAGCACCAGCTGGTTTGAATTTTAGCCGCTGACATGAAGATTATGATTGTCGGCTTTGTCGACTGCTGTCTTGCTATGATACACCACTCATTATGCCAATATCAAGGTCAGTGAAAAGTAATTCACAATCACGGTGTCTGTTTCTTGCATTCAACCATCACCCGCTAGCTTGCCCTTCAATTACTCTTTGCGTCGCAGCAGCAGTTCAACGTCTGAAACACACTTCAAGGTCAAAATCCCATTGTTTGACAACAGATTCCTGTCTCTTCAGGTGCGGATGTAACGTCGCAGACGCAGTGCCGCAGATGTAACGACACGGATGTGACACCGCAAACGTAACGCTGGAGATCTAATGCCGTGCTTGTTACAATCGTGGTGCTACCACGTTTAGCTGCAGTCCCTCGGGATCTCAAGCGTGGCGCGGTGGCGGTCGTCAGGACTGAGGCGTTCGTTGCGAAGACGGGTCACGACGGGAGAGTCGGGCGGTGACGATGTTGCGCTCTATGAGACTGCAGTAGGTGCCGTTTGCATCGATCAGCTCTGCGTGGGAACCCTGCTCGACGATGACACCCCGGTCCATGACGGCAATGCGGTCAGCGGTCTTGATTGCCGACAGCCTGTGGCTCACGAGGATGCAGGAACGGCCTCGGAGGTTTTCTTTCACCCCTTCCAGGATGGACTGCAAGAAGAGAACCCCACTGCCTATTCCGTTCGCAAGTGATGTTGAAAAAGGAACGTCGAGAACCAAGTTTGATCGCCCAACCTTAAAGGCTGCTTCACACACTCGCGTTTGCTCAAGACCGAGTTCTTGTGGTCTCTTCACCGAGAGAACACAATGGCTTGCTGGCGCCATCTATAAGGTTGCCCTGGAACTGCGTTTCACTAGAGCGCAGGTTCTACGAGATCTAACGTATGTATTGTCTATGAGAAATGGTTGTTGATAACGTTGTAAGAAGTGTTTTGAGCCAATAAAGAAAAAATGATGCACTAAAAGAATAGGAAATATATAGTGAGTGTTACATGACTACCCGATAATGCTGCTAGTGTGTTCTCTCGTCGTAAGAGGTCACAAGAGGTTTTAATGCACTTGGTTGCAAACAGTAGAGTGTGCGTGAACCAGTCCCTCCATTTGCCAACAATGGTGACGCGCACGTCGCATCGTTTGGCACGGGGCCCTTACCTGCTCGTGCTCAGCGTCCAGCGCCGTGGTGGCCTCGTCCAGGATGAGGACCGCAGGCTCGCGCAGCAGGGCCCGGGCCAGGGCTATGCGCTGCTTCTGCCCTTCCGAGAGGTGCGTCATGGCTGTGCCGCCCAGCGGAGTGTCGTAGCCCTGCACGCGGAACATGCATCAAGAAAACTACCCCCAAAAACGACCACAAAAAGTGTTTTGCGATGCGACAGCTGCTGCATCGTTGAGAGATGCGCTTTAGGGGACGTGCTTTTTTTCTATGTGGTTTAGGATGTTTCCTTTAGGAGCTTCTATTTTACTATGATAGTGATAGAAGATGTGCTTTAGAAGATATGAAAAAGAGGGAGAAATAGCCCAAAGCACGTCTTTCCATAGATGAAGCAGTTGCAAGAGGGGCGACGACGCTCTAGCTCTCTTCTCGCAATCACATGGGTTTTTGCCTACAAATGCCGCTGGATTTTGCTGGAAAAAAACACTAACAGGTACCACTGCAAGACAAAACAAAAACGGCAAGCTCGTTTCATTGAACACAACTGTATAAACACCGCTGCTGTGGTGATACAAAATGCACCGTGTGTTGCTGCATGGCGACGTTTGCACCTCTTGCGGTCCCAGTTCTGACAGCATTATTTTGGCAAGTCCGTGTTTCCGAAGTTCTCTTCCCCCCTTGCCTCCTGAATGCTCTCCCACCGTATTTGCGAATGCGCTCACTCAACACCTCCTGAGGGCTCTTTCTGAGCACTACTTGGGCGTAAAATATTTTTTATAAATAAACAAATGAACGGAGTGCAATAAAACTTTTCACAAATGTGTCTCTAGATGGCTCATTTATCAGACTAATTTCACGACTGTGGGTATCAGGTAAATATCTAAGCCTAAAAAATCCTGTTTTCTTCCTATGCACAAGGTGGAAAACGGTAAGAACTGTCTGGTTGACACTGCTACTCATAGATGGCAAAACATAAAGCCCAAACACAAAAGCAGATCCAGCAGATCCGAGCCTGTGTGGTCCCACGTCTGTGAGTGGCATCATCAACCAGACGGTTTTTATAGTTTTCCTCTCTGTGCATATGAAAAAAAAAAAAAAAAAATTGTAGAGCCCGTTCACTTTACGTGAAGATGGAGGACCAGCGAAGCTGTTGTCTTTACGGCATCTAGGACGATACCTAGAGGATGATGTCTAGGACGACCTCAAGAACGACTTCTAGGACGACGTCTAGGACGACCTCTAGGACGACGCCTAGGACAACCTCTCGGACGACCTCAAGGACGACTTCTAGGATGACCTCAAGGATGATGCCTAGAGGACGACTTCTAGGATGACCTCAAGGACGACCTCAAGGACAACGTCTAGGACGACGCCTAGGACGACCTCTCGGACGACTTCTAGGATGACCTTAAGGACGACCTCGAGGACAACGTTTAGGACGACGCTTAGGACGACTTCTAGGATGACCTCAAGGACGATGCCTAGAGATGATAACAATGAATCAGGGCCTCACTGTCTAATAATGCCAAGGAAGGGTGACTCACGCCCCTGTTTTTTTTAAATTTATTCATACTTCACCCCTCTTTTGGTTTTTATTTATTCATACTAGCCACAACCAATTCGGAGTTTTCTGTCGACATGTGAGAACGCATTTTTCCCCAGACCCTAGCGTATAGCAGCTTCACTGTAAAAAACAGCATTTTTTAGGTCTATATTTTTTTCCCAAGACCCGCACTCACGAAATTTGAGTGTGTTAAATGCGCCACCTAAAGACATTTTTGTTAAAAGTTGCAGAGCACTCCTTTCGTTAGTCTATTAATACAAACAATTTTACGCCCGAAAAGCACACAGAAACGCCCTGTAGGTAACAAGGCCGCAATGCTAGATTTTCGCAGTCACCCACCAGTGCCAGAAAGAGGCACAGATTGCACGTGTGTGCTGCAGCTGCGGTTGGCTGGGTCCCGTGTCCAATCAGTGAGGAAAAAGTCCCAGCGAAATGCAGACGCAGCACTCATGTGACGGTCTTCCATGACAGGAGTTCATTCCAAGCAGAGGCTAGGAGCCAGCAATATAACACACCCCATGTTAAGCAGGAGAGAGTGTCGACCATAACACCTTGCTGGAAGCAGGAGGTAAACACGGGAGCAGAGCATGGAAAATCGTAAGCGCCGACGGCAGTGCTCTCGAGAGAAAGAATGACAGAGAGCGACAGAAGAGTGGAGAAAGAAAGCAGACAATAGGTTGGGTGTGCTCGTTCTGCAGCGACCACTTGCCTTGTTTAAGAGCTTGTCAATTAAATTTTTTTTTTATAATCTGCGACGCCGGTGCTTTTTACTAAGCAAATACAAAATAAAGCTAGAAAAATTACAGGCACGTTCATTTGCCTGAACGCAATGAAATGCGGTACCTTTACAGGAACGTCGTTAGTGAAAACAATTAGGAAAGGAAATGATATGGTGGTGAAATGGTTGTAATATGCCGTGCACACATCGAAGAAGACATCAAGGACTTTGTCTAGGACGACGTCAAGGATGGCGTCGTGGACTTCTACAACGACCTCTAGGACAACCTCAAGGACACTGTCTGAGAAGACATCGAGGACGAAGTCAAGGACGGAATTTAGGACGACGTCGAGGATGACGTCCTAGAGGACGGCGTCAAAAAAGACCTCTAGAACGACCTCAAAGACGACGTCTGGGACAACCTCTAGGATGACCTCAAGGACGACGTCAAGAACGTCAGCCTCAGCTGCCGAGGCTTACAAGCTTACGTGACCGGCGCTTACGTTAATGGAGATTATGCAACCGGTACTTACGTGACATTGATTACACAACCCTGAGCTTCAGCCACGGGTGTTACAACCATTATAGAACAAGACCTTGAGGACATTACCATGAGGACATGACCTTGAGTGTGGTTGGGTCTATAAATCTACCACTTTAAAAACAATAGGTACAGATTTTGCTAGCAATGTTTTCCCACTTCTTTATGTGCATTAAAACATCGTCAGTAATCTGGGCCCATCAGGACCACCGAGGTCAGTGTCTATGCCCTGCCATTCCGAAGCAGCCACGATGCGTAACCTTTCCCAATAGTTATTATATTAACTCTATGGCTAGAAGTCATACATTTTTTTTCCGGGTCCTTTCTGCCCGCGTCAGGTCGCACGGGTTTGCAAACGACCATAGAGTGAGCGTGCGCAACCCACCAGCGGCAGCTGGGTGACGAAGTCGTGGACCTGGGCCACCTTGGCGGCCTGCTCCACCTGCTGGAAGCTGACTGGTGAAGTGGCCACGTCTAGCCCGTATGTGATGTTGTCCCAAATGCTGCGCTCCAGGAGCCCCAGCTGGGAGCTGCTGGCTACCACGTGCTGCCGCAGGTAGCCCACGTTCACTGCCCGCACGTCCAGGCCGTCCAGCGACTGGTCGGAGGGAGAGCCGATCAACGAGGTTATAGTGGGGTGTCTGTATTCTCCATATATAGAGCAAACTCTACACCAACTCATGTTTACAAAGAAGCCGGAGTGCACCTAGCGGTACATAACTGGAGTGGAATATGCGGGATGGGGTATGGGCAAGAAACGCACAGTCCTGCATCAACAAATCATTGGAATGTGATGTTGTCGGCGTCAATGTGAAACCCCGTGCTCTTTTTCTTGTTAAAGTTGTTGATACTCGGTCTTCCTAGCAATGTCTTCCGGAAGAGCTGGTGTCGGCAGACCATCACCCGAAGGCATGTGACTTGCACACTGTGCAAGGAATCGTCGCGGAGGTTACCAACGCGACCGTTGAAGACGACGACGACGAAGATGATGACATGCAAGGACTCGGAGACGTCTGCGGTTGTCGTTGTGCGCTCGCTGCAGGCAACACGTTCGAAGCATTGGATGCTCTTCGGGCTTCCGTTGCAAACATCACGCTAAACAACCAAAGTGACTTTTTGTTTCTAGCTTTCAGAAAAATTTGTTTATGAACATTGAAATAAAAAAGTTGAGTGCAAAGTGACCAAATATTTCAAGGTTGCAGAACAAAAGCAAGTTTCTCATCAGGTCTGCATCTTTATGGCTTTTGGAGCCCTTTTTCGCTAATACAATTTTTGGGTAATACGTTAGTTGTTTTTTTTTCGGTTCCCGTGAAAATTACATTAACGATATTCCACCGTATAACAAATCGTTTCTGCTGTCCCTGCCATTTTGGCAGTTGCTGAAGCCATAGAGTTATTACAGTGTAGACCACATATAATGTATGTTACGGGAGTCGCAAAAATCCGCACTACAAGCGGTACCGCGCTATAACCAAAACATCAATTTTTCAAGCCAAAATACATGCCATGAGACAACTTACCTTTGTAAAACAATTTATGTTATGTTAGATGAAAAATAAAGCTTAGTTTGAGGAAAGTCTTTATTTCACCAGACTAGTACACTTCTTTCTCAAGTGTGTCACACATTTTGAAAGAAATGAGCGACTATTGCCTGGCGCAGCCTTTTATAGCCGATTCACATGACGGGCTGATCCGCAGACGGATTGATCACGTGACGACATGTCCGCGGTTCGTTCGTTTCCCAAGCGCATCCACACGAAGGAGACGACGAGCAGACGCCAGCGAGGACGGACCCAACCTGTTCGCCACCCCACAGTGCCGCGAAACTCCAACGTGGCACCGTTGTCCAAGAAAGAAATCTACGTTTGCTACCGCGATAAAGATCGTACGCCGCTGTTACGTACAGATCGAGACAAAACACCGGGACAGGCTTCGCACCAAGTGCCACTAACTTTACTAACCCAAAGCATGACAATGACACAGGCATGGTCCTGCTCGAGAAAGCTTCGTCGTAAACGCGACGAAGTTCTGGGCTCGTGGAGGGGCGTTTGAAGATGCCTTCACACACTCCGCACTCGTGCACAACACTCAAGCACACCACATCCACAAGAGGTGTCTTGCTCAGTGAAATCATGATTGGACGTGCAAGAATTATCGCGGCGTGCTAGGCGAGTTTTGACGGGAGCTTCTTGACACGGACCCGGAGGAGTACCGAAACCTGTGTCGCGTCAGCCGGACAAAGTTTCCGGAGTTTTTTTCACTCGTGGAACCAAGAATCGCGCGACAAAATGAACCAACAAACGCACAAAACACAACGATGCGCCATTTTTGTTTTGAACGCCCAGAAGCAAAAAACCAAGAAAACGAAGAAAACCATGTACCGTTGCCAGACTAAACGCTTTCCAAGTCAATTTCCCGCCAAACGTCTGCGAGCGAAAAAGGCACTCAACATTATCAGTTTGCGCGTCCGTGGACGAGGCGCGGAGCGCAGGAATCGGTGACGTGCCGGTCACGTGGTACACAGTCCGCGGACGAAAATCGCGATTCGGTCCGTCGTGTGAATCGGCTATTAACGGCGTCGCGGGTTGCGGACGGACGTTGCGAGTGTTCAGGATTGCTAACCCTAATGACTTTTCTCCGGTGATGAAAACGCGTGAAAATTCACATCCTTTATACGGTACGCGCCAGTAATACCTTCAACTTGAGCACAGGCATGAAATGCTCCAAGTAAAAAATCCGGGCTATGCTCGAAAACACATGTGCTTAGAAAGCACCACTGTAGTCGATGTAAACAAACACGACGACACGGGCGTTTCTGCCGTCTTGAGAGTGCCGCCACGACATCGCCGCACGAGTATGTGGATCTTTCTTTCTGGTACGTGCTGGGTTATCATAGCGACACACAACGAAAATTCACAGTCAAGGATAGCGCTTTTATGCGGAACGATGAGCTTCCACCACGCCGTCTACGTCGACGATCACAACCGACGCCATGTTTGCGGATAGAAGAAGCCATGACCAACTGAAGAAGCTGCCCCGCGACCGGCATGCAACGCGCGCGAACACTTTTCCTCGACCTGCGATTGGTTTGTCGTTGCGGTTCTTTCCAACGCAGCGGAGGGACGCACGCACGTGAACGACACGTGCGTGAGTCCCTCCGTCGCTATGGCAACTGAAGCTTCTCTCTTCGCTTCTCCCCGCTTCTTCGAGCAACCTCCTTGCCCCGCGAGTGCCGCTTGCGGCTAGTGCCGTTAGTTATCTTGGTTATCTAGTGTCGCACAGGGAAGCGTGCTCGCTGCGCCGGTCGGCACGGTCGGCAGGCTGTTTCAGAAACCGCACTATAACCGGTATTTCCCTTCGCGCGCCTGCATTCTAAGCGGTATGTAATTACATGGAGTTCTATGGGAGGCAAACCGGTGGTTGAAAAAAAGCCGCGTTATACCCGGTCCTGCACTATAAGCGGTTACGTAAGTGGTCTATACTGTATAATGTACGTTGGAGGTTCAACTGGCACTAGTGTCTATGCGTCTTCTGTGACGCAATTTGAAGCAGAGAGCAACCAGTCTACTTTTGCAGTGCTCCTGTGCATTCCTATGGGAAAATGCGCGTGCATTTTGTCTCTTCTCCAGAAAATAACACAGAACACGTTGGTTATTTGGGTCGTACCAAATAGTATGTACCTTGATTAGCACTGTAACAGTGCAATTGCTTTAGTTAGCGCATTTTTCTTCATCGGTGAACAATGTTTAACTTCGCTACATTTCAGTCCCAACATGTGTTTGCAGCAGGTGTGTAAAAACAAGCTACGATTCTAAGCAAAATAACAATCGAAAGGAATATAGAGCGTGTTCAAGACTCGCCAGCACTCCGGTGACGCTTATATATTGCTAATATGCCAGTCTTGTCCCTATATGAAAATGACCCCTTCTTGCATCTTTACGAGCATGTTAAAAACATTTAAAAGGTAAAGAACAAAGTACATGGGCTATGAAAAGTGTCTCTTTGTATTGTCTTCTCTGCCGGGCAGCTTTTATCGGGCACTTGTCTAAGATTTTAAGGGTGGGGGTGATATTTTGAACATAGAACAAACATCTTCGCTCATAGCAGAAAGAATAAGGCGGTACTACTTATTTAAAGTCAAATATATTGCGTGGCCTTCAATTTATTTTGATCGTACATGCACGGGTAGTTACTGATCCAGTGTTACTGTGTAGTTCTTGCTGTCTCCCTTTGTTTCCAGACGTCCTTCATTCGTTTGGCACGTCCCTCATGCTGAAAAGTGCCGATGTCCTGTTCGCGCCAACAGTGTCCGACAGTGCACATAAATACACGTACGAAGCCGTTTCAGCACAGTTTTTAATGCGATGAATTTGAAAGAAAAACGCCCTAACTGACCAATTATTTTGTTGGCGTGACTGAGAGATGTTCCAAGCTACCTAGTACGTACAAATTATTTGAGATATTCAGGGGTGGAAGCGGGCTAGAGCCTTTTGTATCAGGGCTGGGAGCAGCAAAAGTCCCACTTTGGAGTAGTTTTGGAGCAGTAAAACGCTCGCTTTAGAGCAGCTCGGGAGCAGCAAAAATAAGTTTTGTAGCCGTCGAAGTAGGTTTTGCAGCAGGTCACGGAGGTCAAACAAATGTCTAAAAGTGATTTGTTGTTTCTAAATGTGAAAATGTAGCAAAAATATATGCATGCACATCCCAGAATAATTTTCAAGCAACATACATACACACATTTCTATTTCTATTGCATTGAAATATGGAATATTGGCAATTTATGCAAAGGAAAGGCTTTGAGAACCATTCCGGCAGCAGGCAGAGTCATGATAGACTTTATATGGGAGGCCCCGACAATAAAAGCCTAGCTTGAGCCACGCCAGTACAAAACCGTCTACTTAATAGACCAATTGTAAACATGTATCCATAAAACTAAACCACTGCAAGGTGTCAGATAAACTACCTTCGCTGACTACAGTTTTTGTTTAATAAAGAATACACATGTTCAATCACTATTTAAAAAGCCCTATATCAAGTTTAGTAACAAAATACAAGGCTACTGACATTTGACAAAAATTCAGATGCAAAATAAAATGTGTATTTTTTATCTTTAGACTACCACAGTCACTCGTACATATGCAGCTTTAAGCATCGACTAGAAGAGCAACGCAACCTTATGTACTCCATAAAATGCTGTGCATTGCGTGTCTCCATAAAAAAATTAAGGTACCACAACATGTCTCAGAATGAAGCACTCCTTGCTGACCTGTTTTCATTAAATACAAATGTTCTTAATCCCTGTTCATAAAATACAGTAATCCCTACACCCAAGTTAACATACAAAGCTATATCTATATTACTTTGGATGGAAAAATATATTGTCTTAAAGATATCACAGCCACTAATACATATGCAGCATAAACACTGACTAGAAGAGCCCACAGGCTCCATGTTCAAAAAAAAGGGGTTGTGACTAAGCTGAATCTGTGTAATTTAGGAACAACTGAAGTTCACCTTTTTTTTCACAGTTTGAAGAGCAGAGTCAATTTCTTTTATGCGCTCGAGTACTCTGGGCAGTTTAGAGTTCACATCTCTTAGCAGGAGGTGTCCACTCCCCACCTTGTCCATGTCCTTAACTGCCTCACCCTTGCTTATGAGTTCTTGTGCACTCAGTAGAAGTGCTTTAAGAGAAGACAGTTTGAACGAGACTGAAAATGAGATGTAGCTGATGAGGCGCTGATCCCTGCGGGGCAGGCTGCCTTCTTACGTGACAAAAAGCCCACCAACTTCTCTCTACCCTACCCTACCCAACCCCAACCCCCCAACCCCCCCCCCCCCCCCCCCCCCAACCCCCCCCCCCCCCCCCCAACCAGATACACCTATACCCGAAACTTATACGAGTAGGGTGGCTATAACAAGTTAAGGTACGTTCTTGACAGGAATCGGCAGCGCGGGAGTGTTCTACGGCATTTCTGATGTCACCCCCACTCCTCCACGCTAAAGGAAAGAAACAAAAAAGTGTGTAGCACTGCCAATTAACCAACTCGCTTAAGATCGCGGGTATTGTTTTCGCTAGTGGTCTGACGGCGGGAGACACCGCACTACAGCGTGCACATTCGCGCACACAATGATGGTTTTGGTTTCGTTTTGATAAGAAAAATTGAGCTCGAAAACGGATGTGCCTGTGCTCGCGATTCTTCACGGCTAAGCGTCCAAATATGGTAGGCTACCAAATAACAGGTAAAGCTAGTAAAGACCACTTACTTCTGCTCATGTTAATGGCCAAGGTAGCCCACCGGTGCCGAGGCACCAACTCCCACGATCACGGCAAATCGGGACCACGGGCAACTGCATGCGCGCTCCAACCGCGCCAACCAACTATGCCCGAAACCAAACCGATGTGTTTGTTTATCAAGCTCTTTGTAGTAAAAAACGACATCGCACTCTCGATGAACTAAAATCGGCGCCTCGCCCTGAGGTTAGACATGGTTCGGAGCCCCAGTCGAGTTGGTACGAGTCACCCGCAGTGACACCTAAGCAAAAGTACACACCACATGGAGGCACGTGTCCAACCGTTTTTTCGCAAAATTTAGAGAAAACACACAAAAAAAAAAAAAAAAAAAAAGTTGAAATTGGCGTTTTGGAGCAGGCTGGCGCAGGGAAGGGAGTTGGCGCAGGGTGGCGCAATTGGCGCAGCGCTTCCACTCCTGGATATTTGCTCTTATGATCGAGCGCAGGGAGAAAATGCACTCACTTTTTCCCATAGAAATGCATTACCGGAAGTCAATTTTCGGCTGGTTGCTGTCTGCTTCAATTTGCGTCAGCACACTAGCGCCTCTTGAACCTCTAGCGTACATTATAATAACTCTATGACTGAAGAATACCAACCAGACCAACTGCTTGCCACATGACAAAACTACTCTTCGGCAAATTATCCGGCACGTAAGCTGGAAGTCCCTTGAGAGGGCACCACTCACCACCTGTCCACTCTGGGGATCATAGAAGCGCAGGAGCAGGTCTACCAGAGTTGACTTGCCGCATCCGGTGGGCCCCACCAAGGCCAGCATCTCTCCGGGATTCAGCTCCAGGTCCAGGCCTTGGAGTACGGGCAGCTCCGGGCGGCTCGGGTACGAGAACTGGACCGCTTTCAGCACGACACGGCCCTTCACCTCCTGCAGGATCGGGAGCAAGAGAGACGGCCTTTTTGGTAACAAAATGCGAAAATGAAACTTCGTGCAAGCCAATCAAATTTCACTGGTAGTTCAAACTTCCAACTTTTTCCACATTCTCATCGAGCACCAAGCGTTAAAGCATGAACTGTAAAGACTGAGCGAAGAGACGAAACTGATCTGGACAAAGGTGGACAACTCTGATTGGTGCATAGTCGATTTTTGCATGATTCTTGAATGACAAATGTAGCAGCTGCAATGCATTTAAAAATCCGAGAAGATATCTTCTTTGCATCTGCAGGTAGGAAAGTAAAATGTTTGCATGATTTCTTCAACTCAAATACTAGTTTCTTGCACTTTACTGGTGTCGCTAGAAGTCTGCTACAACTGCTATTGACTTGCCGAAACTTGCTTCAGATGTCTCTATGTCCTTTGCAGCTTTTAGTGTTTGACACTGGCTCATACGAGTAGGGCACTGAAGCTGCAGTGCCAACAGTTAGTGCAGCTGAATCTAATGTATCCGTCTCTTCACCTTTTATTATTCTAGTGCCAGGTTTTAGTAACAAGCTTGCAGATTCATAATAGTGCACGCAGAGTTGCAAACACAGATGCCATATTTCACGCCCACCTATGCACCCCTCGTGCACAGGAGCGTCAGACTGCAGGAAGAAGCTGGTCAAGCTATCTTGCCAATGTAAATGCAGAGTCTCAATTTGAAAAGGGTATAGACTATAATGCAGTCACTCAAGAGTGATGTAGCTCGTGTCACTTTTCTTTAAAGGGATACTGAATCAAAACTTGAAATATACAGAAAACATCAAGAAATAAGTCAAATGGGATCAGCTAAACCTCTAATTGATAATCGCATAATTGTATTTTAAGCAGATAACTATATTTCTTGTTCTAAACGACGGGAACAACAGTATTTCAGCGAGCGCTTCAATATCAGCCATTGAAGAGCGCGATGCGTCTCGGGAGACCCGGCCAGTTCTTGACGTCACTGGGCCCTGAAGGGCCAAGCGTACCATAGTTAGATGCTTTGCCACTTGGAGGAATCAACGTGTTACAATCTCACTTAGTGTAAGTACCTGAGGGCTGTAGAATATCACGGGGCCGGCGCAGCTAGCAATGCTGCCGACCTCCGGACATAAAGCAAGTTGAGCGGCGCAAACGCGGATGGTGCCACCATCAAGGTGTACAGCAGCGCTCGTGTGGTGGGAGGCGCTAATAACTAAAAAATAGAAAAAACAGTAATGAATCAAACTTCATCTAGCTCTAGTTTTAACTGCATATTATTTCACTAAATACAAAATATACATTTCTAAAAATATATTAAATTTTTTTTTTTTTTAATTTGTGTCAACATCACATTTTTTAAATATTGTCTTTTTCCGTTTTTTGTGCTTCTAAAACTAAACCACTGCCTGCGCGCCAGCACTCTGCACGCTTTGAAACCAGTGGATCATTGCGGTATGGCTTCCATGCGTCTGCTCGGTGCTTTCGCTCACCTTCGGTGCGTCGACGCGTCGATAATAGCTCTGCACAAGCTTCGGACTTTCGAGCGAGTATAAAGTTCTTCGTGTCTTTGAACACCTCATTCGTGCGGTTATGCAAAATGGTGTGCAAGCAGCGTCGGGGACAAGAAGCACCCGTTCGTTCAGATCCCAACTGACAACGGTGAGATTGAAATAATTCACCCCGATTAAAACTTTTTCTAAGCTGATCTTCCAGCCTCAAATTGCACCATTTGAGGGTTTTGTACTTTTTAGACAATTGAATACTATATCGTTTCATTTTTTAACTTCACAAAATACCACCGTGATTTCATCGTATATTGCACACATATCAGCGAGCATTTTTAGCACGTGGTTCTGTGGATGAAGACCGTCCGGCAATTTAAGATTTGCTGGCGCAATCTCCCCTCCTCTACCTCTCGTCAATGTCTTGCACAGTGGTGTGAATGCCCATCGAGTAAATTGTAGTTTTAGGCATTTTCTTGTTTCTTGCACATAAAATAGCAACATTTGCCTTATGTGTTCCTTTTTGTGTCCATACAGATTTTCAAGGTACGAAAATCACTTCAACAAGCCTTTAGGGACAGGGAACCCCAATAAACAAAAGGTAGTGTCCAGGGTCACTTTTTTTTGTGAAGTGCACTTGATTGCAGTGGCCAACCAATCAAGCTAAATATGTAACCAGCATGCTAGGCTCTGTCATAGTGATCTATGCAGTCCAATCTACGGTCAACTGTAATGTAAAACGAGAATGGCTTGGGCAGTGGCGTCACGAGGGTCAGCGGCACCCGGGGCGATAGCCCGTCGCGAAGTCCACTCACTGTTGCCACAAAGGGCCGAAATGTATCGTTTGAGCAGCTGGGTAATTCTCGAAAGTCTAAAAGAACCGCTTATATCAGCTCAAGTTAGTGCGAAGTTCAGAATGTGATCCAACAGGGGCATGCCGGTGAAAGAAACTCCCCGTGGAAGGTTTCTGCAGTCGTTCACACTGCAAAGCCCTATCTTGGTCTCAGCAAACGCTACACACTTTTGTTTAGTCGAACTGCACAGTGGCTGCGCTCGTCCTCTTGTCGTGGTTCATTGTTGCCCCAGTCGCCCGTCAGGGTCTCGCACGTCTCGCCGGTCTTGCTTTCACGCCAGACAGAGAGGACGCAGTTCTCCGGTGCGCAAAGCTGGGACATTGTGCACCACGTCTGGTCCTCGGGTTCTGTTTGATCGAACTTTCCAGATGCATGATCGATCGCGATGAGCTCATCGCGGTACGTCGTCTGCTCGGTCTGCCCCTCAGTGCCTCACTTCCTTGGCCTTGCCTTCTCTTCGCTCACATAAACCCTACCGACAGAAGCGAGCGCGACGCTACGGCCACATCTCATACAACCAACCATTAACTCGCATGTGACAGAGTCACGTGCACCCCACGTGGGTTCAACTATAGTTTAAACTTGTTCTGGCTGGGCATAAATATTTTAATACTCACCTAACCAGGCAGATTTTTTGCCAAAATGTTTACTTTTCAACTCTTTAATGGTCTAGGTGATGAGTCAGTAAGCTCAAAATGTGCACAGAAATGGATATCACTAAACTGATACCGATGCTAACACCGGTATCTCGGTGTGACAATGCGGCAATCTTAGCCATTTGTTTCTGGAACAAAATTAGTTTGCTATATATATGTAGTCACTGACAAGGCGAGAACGGCAGGAAAAGCTTCACTTGTCCCGCCTGCAGCACCAGATTCCTACTTTCGTCAACAGCGTTTTGTGCAGCTCGATCGTGTGCACGTAGCCAAAGCACTCCGGAAAGCACAAAGCCCGTGCTGGAGGTTGGGCGTTTTAAAGACATGCCCCGCAATTCTCATTCCACCAGCGACTACGAAACAGATCAACATAACAGCGAACTGACAGCCCAAAACCGCAACGATTGAGCGTCGCATTTTTCCGGTCGTCGAGCAACTCCAGCCACCCCCTGGCAACGGGAAGGATCCATAAATGTCGCGGCAGAGCCGACTTACTGGCCTGACGCCGCCGTCCGAGTACCCGTCGATCTCGGTCTCGGCCTCGAGCAGGCTGAAGACAAGCCCTGCCGAGAGCCTGGCCCTCAGGTAGTCTGGCAACATAGACGTCCACTGCCCCACCGACACCGCGCTGAACGCCATGGTGAAGAAGACCCTGTGCACACGTCGAGAGGCCGCAATGTTGCGCTGTTGCGAAATCCCCGTTGTGCGCATTCAGTCTCTAACAACTGTAAAGGCTTGTTCACACACTTGCGACCTCTTAGAAGCTGGTGCCTTGGAACCTCTTAATATCTCTTAGACCGAGAAGACACACTGGCACCATCTATTGGGTAGCAGTGTAAACTTGGCGGTCCGGCATATGTTCTACTTCTCTTGCACATTATCCTTTCTTTCTTGGCTTGAAAAACTTTTGCCAACGTTATAAACGAGCCTTTTTTATAGGTATTACGCACATTTGACCTCGGAAATCCCGCAAAACCTTCGCTCTTGTGAAATGCAGTTCCAGCGTTACCGCATACATGGCACCAGCGTGCCAGTGTGTTCTCTCTTCCTAAGAAATTTTAAGAGGTTTCAACAGGTCTCGTCTCTCTCGGTCATACTCAGTTGCAAGAGAGTGAACGGGCCTTAACTGGAAGCTGCACGTTTTTGTTTATACAGTTGTGTTTCGTTAATACGAATACCCCGCTATAGAGGCAACATTTCTGGTAGGGAACCGGGTAAATATGAACATTTTTGTCCCATTATTTGGATGACTCTAATTATGGATGATTTTTGGGGGAATGGAGGCAACCATATTAATGAGACACGACTGTATAAGAACACCTTCCAAGTTATAGGGATCTAGCGAGCGGCTCCAAGATTTGGCTTAGATATGCAAGACGTGGCATTTATATAGTGCTCTGCAAATGGTGTCTCCTGCGAATGCCTGGTATTGATTCTTTATTGTTTACGCTTGTCAGCATGTGCTGACTTCCTAAGAAGGTTCACACTTTCCACTCTAGGGTCTTTGTGACCAAATGCACAGCATGTCTACCAGCTTATTAATGTTCTAATTTTATTTCAGTCCTTTTAAAACGCTTTATTTTCTAGGGCTCAATATTTCGTGAATTTTCCGTAGTGCAGGTTCTGGGAATAGTTCGAGGCCCCAAAATTTTACGATGAGGAGTGCTATATCCTACATATTTTCGCCTGAGGGGTGATGTATTTGCATGATTCATTTCCCACAACTTTTTCTTAAATTGCAAAATTTAAAACATCAAGATTTTCACTAAAATGAAGTTGTTTATATTATTAGTTTACTTGTCACTTGGCTGTTGTTTTGTTCTTATCTGCAAACCAAGCATTTGCCTGCTTGATTGTTGTAATTTTTTTTCTTGCTTCAACCGTTTTTTTTTTATTACATTGCTTTTGTTGTTTTCGCTTCGACAGCTGGGTTCTACATGATTTTTTGGGAGAACACGGCAGAATTTGTAAATACAGTAAAACCTCGTTATAACAAAATGGGATATAACAAACTAATGGATATAACAAAGCAATCATAATTCCCCTTGCTTGCTAACAGTGGGAAGAAATGGACATTGGCTTTTAACAAACTAATGGTTATAACGAAATAATTACAACCGCTCCTTCAACTTTGTTATAACGAGGTTTTACTGTAAATAATTAAATAAAAATGCTAAGCCACTTGAATTCCAGTTTCAACCAATGCAGAGTGCAAGTTCGTCTGCTTCTTTTGCAGGGGCTGTGGTAATGTCAGAACGCTGAGCTCTGATTGGCTCTAATTAAAGATAGTGGGTAAACCTCAAGGCAGCTTGCTCCGAGGTCTACTCACTATTGTTCAACCAGAACCAATCAGACTGCGGTGTTCCGACATCACCACAACCACTGCCAAAGAAGCAGACAAACTTGCATTTTGCATTGCCTTGTTCTGTCTGTCTACCTACAACTGCCATTTTATGAGACAGCAGTACGCATGTGCAAATAGTGGGCTTAGAGTTTAAGCAAATTCGAAGCAAATAGTGGTTTTGGCCAAATATTTACAAATTGAATATAAAAGAGCTTCTCCTAGCCTTCCACTACTAAACAAAAAGCCAGCTTAACCCATGAAGGTTGTTCCCAAGCGTTCATTTGTCTATTTATAAGCTACTATGATCTATAAATGTAATGTCTTTTATTTACTGCTGTGCTACCACACCCTGTAATTGCTTTATTGTGAACATTGAACAATGTATCTTTCCTACCTTGGCTACGCCATGGCTGCCAGTAGTATAAACAAATAAATAAAAGTAAAAAAAACGTGAAGTTTAATGTATGTATATTTATGAACTGTGAGCTCAAGAAGTCTAATACCTACATTGGGATGGCAAGAAATTATGCATCTGACATAAAATTATACTTAGAGGGATGCCCATCTATACCTAATCAAGGGGATTTATATTTCTTGCTATATGCAAATATCATTTTATCAAGCTCGAATTAAAAAAAAAGACAACCACGAATGATTACTACAGGTTGTCAGGGCAATTATGCCTAACATGCACTCTTGCATAATAGCCACGGTTTATATTTATAAAATTTTACTGCAATGTAGATGTCAATATTTACAAATTTTTTTTTTCTAAATACACCAGGTGCCTGCATACATTATCCTGCCTTGAAAGTGTATTTTTCTCCTAAGAACGCAACATCGACATTCATATTATTCAAAGCATTGATCATGGCGGGTTAGCCCCGTTGAGTGCACTTCCTACCGAGCACCGGTGCACTGTGGGGAAGCAACAACAGCAGAAGCGAGCTCCGCGGATGTTGCTTCTCTGCAGTGCACCGGCGCTCGGTAACAAGCGCGCTAAACGGGGCCAACCCGCTGCGATCAACACTTAGAAGAATGCGAATATCGCAGTTCTAGCCGAAGCGAATGTTGAATAGTGCATTAGAAAATTTGAATATTCGCACAATCCTAGAAAGCAGTATACTAACATTCTAGACTTTGCTTTATATTTAATGCGCAAGAAAAGCACTACAGTCCGAATTTGCTCGTAAAAAACAACCGATCAAGGTTTCTACCTCATACCTCCATGTATATAACTGCACAGCAAGACTAGAGCATCGTTATAAATATCACTCTATGACAGTGGCTTGTTGGACAAGCCGCCAAAAAGCCGGTTGGTGAAGCGTAATTTGGGGAGAGACGTCTCCAACCTGTAGACGTTGGTGGCGTCCATCTCCCCCCTGGAGACGAGGAACGCACCCAGGCGGAAGGCACAGCCGTACACTAGGAACATGATGCCCTGGGAGAAAGCGAAGGACAGGGCAAACAGCACGTTCCGCTTCTTGGCTTCCCTGCGCAAGACGGGGCAGGAGGTTGGTTGTCAACGGCGCAACAAAAGCTGCTCTAACTGCACGACCTATACCTGGTTCTTCGTAAATTACATTTACTTGAAAATAGCCCTCATATATAAAATTAGTCCACAAACAGCTTTCTTGTGGGGGGGGGGGGGGGGTAGCAAATCGTCACAATTCACGAAAGGCGTCGACTGATGAGTCATCGATGGTTCTCAATTCCACCTGTGCTAGAATATTACCACATCCAATTCCAGCACCCCTGTCGTAGCATAGATAGTGTACTAGGGCCTCTGCACAGTAAAGACTGATACGTTGAATATGTGGATATTATACAGGGTTTTTCTCAAAACGTGAGCCAAATCGTTTCTGCAAAAGATATGCATTGCACAAAAAAAAGGTTGATGCCGTAGTGGTCTCTACCAAAGGGCCCATTAAGAAAGATTATTAGTGTTCAGTGTAATTATGTCATTCATTTCTTTTTAGCAATCAAATTTCTAATTATTAATTCCAATGGTATGGTTTTCATTATAACTTTATGCGAATAATCTGAAACTGCTAAATCCACTCACATTACAATGCTATAAGACACGCGCAGCATTTCATGGCGCTCCGAAAATTAACTCACTTTTGACGCGTTTCTAGGTTTCGGTTTCTTATTGGAGCACATCTCCGCACCAGATATCCCGCTTCCCGTGGCCAAACATGCAACATGCATGTGCTGCCACACATCGCATGTAGAGGTGCGCCTTCACACTAGCATCGACGTCAAAAAGGCGAAGCACTTTATGTGGCAGTCTGGAGGCTTTCTTCTACATGCGATGTGTGGTGGCACAAGCATGTTGCATGTTTAGGTCACAAGGAGCAAGATTGCTGGCACGGAGGTGCGCTCCAATAAGAAACCAAAACCTAGAAATGTGTCAAAATTGAGCCATTTTACGGAACGCCGTGAAATGCTACATGTTCCTCATATCATTGTAATGTGGATGGTTCTAGTAGTTTTCAATGATTCACGTCAAGTTTCTCATTGAAAACATACCTTTAAAATTATTAATTAAAAATGTAATTACTAAAAAGTAATCCCTTACTTAATTATACTGATATAATTATACCAATATAATTATATCATTTTCCATTTTAGTACAGGAATTCGAAATACTGGTATTGATGCACCGAGGGTTTAATGCTGAGAAGCTGGCTTTGTAATAGAGAGCTTCAAGGCTACATCTTTTACGCCGAAACTTAAGTAGTGTCCTGTCATTTGTTTTGACTCTTTATCTGAGTTGCAATGATTGGTTCTCGCTTGCTTGCTGGGAAAAACAGATGCAACAGCTGTATATAAACGGTGGCAGCAAGAACAAAAATATATAAAAAGGCGGGACAGGTAGCTTAAACTTCCCGAGGGTCGGTTGCTCGTTAATCTCCACACCAAAAGCCTTTGCACGAAAGCTTGCATTTTTGTTTTGCCGAGTGATGTTGAGGATAAGAGGCAGTGTTCATCTCAGGAGCATACTCACAGGAAAGGCAGGAGCAGGTGGCTCACAAACAGGCCGAAAAAGGTGGGCTCCAGGTTGAGCTCTTGGACCGCACGGATGTTCTCCAGGCTCTCTGTGGTCACCTGAACAAGCCACGCATGGGTACGGTGTAATGAGGAGGTAAAGGGCAGCAAAGGTCGAGGCAGAGCCCTTCAATGCACTGCTGGTCACGAAAATTCGGCCAAAGTTTGGTACAAGGTCAAAAGCTGCCACTAGGTGAGCCACTTCTCGTCCCAGTCTTGGGGTTTTCAGTCAAATGCTTAACCACCAACAGCTCGTTTGCGCCCTAACCTTTTGTTCATTTATTTGTTATGCCATTTTATTTTAAACTTCGTTCTTTTTAATGTAATGTTGGACACGTCTTGGATTTTTTGCTTCATCCAGTCCTGTACACGTTACTCGAAAAACGTAACTGATTACAATTACAATTAATCTTGCTTAAAAAGTATTCCATTAGATTACTCGATTACTTGAAAAGTAATTGACTGTTACTTGAAGAGGTAACCGTTATTTCTCAGATTACTTCCGATTCTAAAAACTTCAGTTTTCCACTGTTTATACAAGTAATTGGATTACTGGTAATGAGTACCATTCTGGCTTCATCCCAGAAACTGTTCAAATGCAAACGCCGAACGCCCGCAACCGGCGTTCACATTCTAACGGTCAGTAGTGACAACCGCAGTAGAGACAAAGTAAGCTAGTTAGCACCCACTAATTGGAGGTAGAATGTCGAGCTCACAATCAAAGAGTCGTGGGCTCGATTCCCATTGGGGCACATTTGGAATTTCGTTCCTTCTTCTCAATTTACCACTCTTTTGTCCCCCTTGAAGTACAAGTTACACATTTGGTGGCGGTTTTCGTGGCGTTCCATCACACTCTAGTCGAGGACCCCGGTCCACATTCTGCGTGAAAAATGGCAGATGCTGGGTGCACCTGTAAGGCGTGGGACATGAGGTGCGCGTCCCTGCGTTGGCTCCCCCTCTCGACGCGCATCTGCAGTCCTCCGGCCAGGGCCAGGATGGGCACGATGGCCACCAGGGCCAGGGCCAGCTTCCAGCCGAAGACAAACGCCAGCACCAGGCTCGTCGACAGCGTGATCAGCGACGTGAACATCACAGCCAGCCGGTAGCCGGCTGCCTGCGGTGAACAGGACCTGATCCATTTCCAGGTTCGAAAAGAAACTCGATAGAGTTTCGGGGGTTTCAGACATACTACCATGCAGTTAAACTATTACGCAAAGAATTATTAACGAGGATCGATAGCGGCATCAAATGCCCCGAAGTTATATTTCTTTCTCAGATAGTATGTTCCGCAAGAGATGTTCCCACCCCTTGAGCACTGTTCCGTTGCAGTTCCCTATCTAATTGTTTTACGGACTCTTTCTTTCCACGCATGCTTGAGCTGTGGAATCGTCGAAATGGGCCTATAGATGCAAGCTTGTGTATGTGGCGTTTATTTCGGCAGTCGTCAAACTTGTTTCCAATAAGAAACAGGAGTAGGGAGCACTATGATTGTACTGTACTGCTGCATTTCCACTCCTGCAAACACCTCCAATGAAGCTCCAGTAAGTAAAAATAAATAAATAAATACATAAATCATTAAATAGATAAATACAACCACTTTTGCCAACTCATTTTGTTTGTTGCTATCACGGCACTGCGTATGATAATCAAAATGGTGGCCGACAAAGCCCCCGACATGTGGCAAAGAATTCGTGGGCTTCAATGTCTTGTTCACCTCGATGATACATAGTTTATTTTTGCGTCGAAAATGCACCATTTACAATTATGAAGAGCACAAAGAAATCGAGCAGATGCAGCAAAAGGTCGGTAAGATGAGAGTTTATCGCAACAGCACATTTTCGATGAGGCAACAACACGGCTCGTTGAGTGACCACACCGCGAAAACAAACCGTTTTGATGACGGGAACGTCGGTGGCAAGTCGTGCGGCCAGCTTGGCAGATGAGTGGGCGTCAGAGTCGAACCAGCCCAGGTGCTGTCGCAAGATGTTGGCCAGCACCGACACCCGCAGGCGATACGTCAGGTTCTCTCCAGCGATCCCCACCCCCAGCGTCTGCAAGCAAAGACGCGTTTGGAACACGGTGGGGCTGGGCTTAGAGTAAACATGTTTTGACGAAAGCTGTTCATTTAGGCACTCTGCTGCTTTCTACGCCAATTAAAGATGCTATTATCTCGATCCAGAAAACACTTCTACTCACTCAAGTCACGATCGTCTAACCAACACACCAAAATGCATCATCAATACATACTATAAGCACCGAGACTTCTGGGACATGCTCATCTACAAAACATCGCAAATCAAATTAAATGCATCCTAAAAGGTTAAAATCTAATCTAAAAATATATCTTTGCAGAATGCAGCGTACACAGAAGGTGGCAAGAAAGTCACCACCTGCAGCTTCTATATGCCTTCTCTAACTCGGTACAACGGAATTATTTTCTACTCGCCCCTAAACTCGCAGCAAAAAAGATTCTAGGCTTCCTCGACCAATCGTCACTCTACTTGCATCGTGCGACGCGATCTCCGCACGGGTGCAAGCATGCGGCGCAGTCACGTCGACGATCGACAGGGCAAGCCAGCGCGAAGCTTTAAACCGATATTGGCATAGGAACAAGGCTTCCGCAGGCAGCATTGCTAATGTCTAGGACCATTGGTGAATTGCTCATTTTAAAAGTAAAGACAGTTACAAATTTCTGTAACGCGAAATTTGAGTGCAGCTCTTGAGGAGGAAGGGAGGGTATGAAGGGTAGACTACGCCCTTCCTACTCCTCCTCCTCCACACCCTCCCCTCCTTCTCCTCCGTACCCTCCCGTCTTCCCACAGTTTCCCCGCTAAATATAGCTGAAAAACTGACGCCACTAGACCTCAACACCAATTCAGTTTCCCCGCTAAATTTAACGGGCAAAACGACATCAAATGACCTCGTGTTACATCACCCATGAATAAATTCAGTTTCTCCGCCAGATCTAGCGGGAAAACTGATGTCACGTGACCTCAACACCAATTCAATTTCCCTCTAAATTTAGCAGGGTGGTTACGCCGACGGCGATGCCGCTATACGCGGAATCGGGCGCTTAAGAGCTGCGCTTTATAACATTGCGAGAACAAAGTTTCAGTATAAAAAAGCAACCACTATAGTCACTGGCAAGACAAGAATGACCGGGATCTTTCAGCTGTCCTGCCCCCAACACTCGAGCACCTTGTGAGTTTCTAGCATGCATGAGCAGGTAAGGCACGACGAAAGGCAATGACCGCACGCTGGAGGCCGAGCATCCGAAAGAGACTCCCCGCCTTTTGTCCCGTCAGTGACTACAGTTGCCTGACATGACATTCCATTGTGGTCACAATACATACCCTCTGTTTTTCATGGCAGCACAAATATTTATATACGTAAAACACCGGGCAAGGGCCCCCTCAAAATTTGGAGATAATCGGGAAACAATGGGAGGTGGGCGCTTGTTTGGTCGTCAATTTTACATATGAATGTACTGTGCGTATTTTCTCCGATCTTGCAAATTCGGGAATGGGCAGATGCGCGGTATTTTACGGTAAGTATATCGTAAGTTCAGAAATAACTTAAATGTCAGGACCCAAAACAGCACCCTCTCCCCGCCTCACCCTGAAGAAGTGTCCGAGGCCACTGACGGCTGCGAGAGCTAGGAACATCATGGACCAAAAGAAGGCTGCGTCTTGCATCTCCGAGCCAACCAGCGTGAAGGTCTGTCCCAGAACCACGACCAAAAGAATGAGTGTTCAACGAGACTTTAAAAAAAAGGCAGCGTACAACTTGCTGTGCGGTTACTCTAAACCAGACTTACTGCGTAGACCCTAAGCTACGAGTAGAAATTTATATGCATAATGCGGCACGCTCAGCAACCCGGCAGAAGCATCTTCTACGCACCCAAACTTTAAATCCCCTTCATCGTTTACTAGGCTTCCTTCAGAGAGTGCCATGATTGGCTGTCAGTACAAGTCAACGGGAATCAGAAATGACTTCGCCATATCTGCTTCTTCGTCCTATCTAGAGCCACTGAATGAGCTGCGCTTAGAGTATCGGCACTCCGTTCCCTGGGATTCTTGTGGGCGCCGCCATTTTGGCTCATATGCAGAGCAGACGCAACTGCCGATCATCATGATTTGAAAGTGCGACTTCCTCAGCATTAGATTCGGTGTTAGGAAGCTCATGTAATATTGCTTTGCTCTGTCACGAACTGTTGAAACATTTGTGGAGAGCGGAAAAGTGTTTCCTGTGATTCCAGATAAAGCTTCAGACAACTGGCAACCATGATTTTACGACACAAAATGGCCAAGTGTCGTTACTCTGAAGCGTAGCTTATTTAGTGGCACTAGTCCTATCTAGACTCCATAAAGGGAACATGCAAAACCAAGATAACACAGAGATGGACCGTCAAAGGTACATGTTTATCGTGCCTGCAGAAAGCGGTTGAGGCTTTCCTGCACGCGCTCTGCTAGGTCGGAGCTGCTTCTGGCCAACTGCAAGAAGCTCCGATCAAGAAAAGGTCCTGCGAGCTACGTACGAACCGCGTCGACAGCTGCGACGGCCGCTGCGAAGGACGCCGGTGGTGGACGGCACTCTTTACGTTTATGCGCACTTCGTCGAGGACGGCGGCACGCTTCTGTTTCGAGGATATCGCCTTCATCTTCCCCGTCGAGGAGCTGGCGGTGCCGGGACTCGCCATTGCTGAGTGGCGGCGATTCGCCAAATCGGTGCTTGAGCGAAGCTAGACTTTTCCGCAGAGAGCGACCACACCGACCAGCGACGCCGGCATGGAACACGAAGCCAACAAAGAAGTGTGCACAGCACCAAGTTTGCACTCAAGTTTGTGTTTTGTCGGTATAGAGAGCCTAGATTTAAGAGGGGGGGCAACTGCTAGATCAGAGTTGCGTGGTTTGTGGGCCGCATTCGCAAAACGAGCTGCCGTCTGCAAGAAGTCAAAGGCGTTCACCGTTTTCGCCAAGCTGGCCACGTGGGCACGCGACAACCAAATGCAGGCGCACTTGTACCAATCTGTCCAGGAGGCATCCGCCATTATATTGCAAATGTTCTCCATGGTTAATGTTGCTCCCTCTCTGAAATCTAGGCTCTCTCAGTCGCTTTGTCGGTACATTGTTGCTAGCGCTCCGAACCGCTCCTATCAACATGCCACAACAGCTTCTCCACGTGCGATGTGGAAAAGTTGCTTCCCAGATAAGAAGCGGAGAGCGCACGACCATGCAGAGGCTGCCACCGCCCCAAGCCTTCATAGCACGTCTGCGGCCTGTTCTGCATGGCCGCTTGGCCGCGGCAGCAAAATTGCGTGGTCCGTGACTTGGTAAACTTTCCGAATTTGATTATTTTTTATAACAAAATTTCTCCTTCACTATATCCGTAAAGCCACTCAATTTTCTTCGCTAAAAACCAACATAAATACATTGAAAAAGTACAAACGGGAATGGGAAGTCGTGATCACTTTGCTATAGCCACCATTTTATTATAACTGGCTTCATTATAAGTGGGCGCGACTGTATGCTCAATCCTCAGTCAGTTAAACAAAATAATTGCATTATGAAATAATCAATAACATTACTTTTGGGATATACAAGCTAACAAAAATTGATGTGCCTCAAGTAAAGGAACAAGGAGGGGAAGAATACACAATATCTTGGACGGACATCCTTTATCGGAAAGATACGCTGGACAGGAGAATGTACTGTTGCATATTTTTCCCGTTGTCGTCCCTTATATTGGGGCTCATCAATTTTTCCCATTTGTACATCACATTTGTTCAAGAATTATTGTGCTGGCAGCACCCTCATTTATTTATTAACATTACATGATTAGTATATAAAGTTCAAACAAGATATGTAACTGGAACAAGCTTAGACAACAATCAACTACAATCAACAAGACAAGATTGGGGGCTACGCGAGCAACTGCTTCGACGAGTGGACAGAGTGAACGACAGCCTGAAACTCACGTTGAAGATCTCGCTGTAGAAGACGGCAAAGACGGGCAGGGAGGCTCCCACGACAATGGACGCCAGGGAGACCAGGAAGAACCAGCCCCAGTCTGGCCGCGCCGTGCGCAGGATCTTGCGTGCCGATGGCAGCTCCACATTCTCCTGCGCGTTTGAGCGGCATATTTTCGGACACACTTTTTCTGTCAGAAAGATGCTTACACAGATCGAAATACAGAAAAAAACCAAGTGTTTGCATCATTCTCTTCTTCATTACTCGTCCAGCGATTCTATAACAAACGTTCAACACTTGCACAGCCAGATCACTTCTTGACTGTGCAGGGTCACGCCTCGTGTTGAATAATAGATTTGCACCCGCGCTGTCTTTTTCTTCGTCTTCAGTCTCCATCCATGTTTCATCCCTAGGGTACTGTACTTACTGGGCTTGCTTGATTGGACTTCGAATTGGAGCCTGTTCCAAACCCCTGACCTATTGTCAAATGTAGGATTGTGGAAATATTCGAATTTTCGTATAGTAGTTTCGAATAATACGCTATTCGATATTCGCTTCGAGATAAACTGCGATATTGCAGCGTGCGTGGCCGAGTTGGGAATGTATGCAACTGCCGCAAAGGGAACAGAATTCTAACCCCGCTTGGCCCGGTTCTTTCTTTTTTGATCTTTGGTCTTCTGGGAAGTTCCAGATCATTCTCGGCTGACATCGTCTATTTTGGTTCAGAACATTCCTGAACCTACCGAATGTATAAAAGCGGCGGTAACGTGCTGCTTCAGAGTAGTCCCTCTTTCGTTGCCGTCATGTAACGTATGGTTCATTTAAGTTTGTCGGCACAAGTTTGTCTCATCAAATGTTTATTTTCAGTTTTACATTCATCTATTTTCCATCCGTGACAATATTCATACTTTTCTAAGAGTCGGATGAGACAGGTTAGCCCCGTTGCGCGCGCTTCTCGCCAAGCAATGGTGCACTGCAGGAAAGCAACACCCACGGAGCTCACTTCGCCCCAAGTGCAGCTGGCTGCTTACGAGAAAAGCACACCTTCAAAGAGAAAAGATGCATGCACATGTCTGGTGTATTAAAACGGCAGCTTCATGAATGTTAATAGCTACATTGCAGTAAATTTTCAAAAAATTAAACGGTGGCTAATATGCAAGAGTATATGTTATGCAGAGATGTCCTGACAACCTAGCATTCATCTTTTTTTTTTTTTTTTAATTATAGATTATAGGTTAGAGAGAGGATACTTGCATATAGCAAGCCAAGTTATAAATCCCCTCGATTAGGATAGCTGGGAATCTATATAGGTTTAATTCTGTGTCACAGATGCATTGTTTACATGCCATCCCAGTGTAGGCATGCACTGAACTTTCTGAGCCAGTTCAAAATATGATTGGATTAAAATAAAGTGAGAAAAATGTAGACCAGTGGAAGGCTAGGCAAAACCTTCACGAGTTCAGCTGGATTTTCGTTTGAGCATCGTGCAACATAGAAAAAGGCATGGAGGAACTGTATGATATTCGAATCGGCCAGAACCATTATATGCTTCGAATTCGCATCAAACTCCAAATCCAATATATGCACATTCCCAATCAATTGCAGGCCCGAGATTCCCTTCGGCGTCCCTTCAGGCAGGAGTGTCCCAGCGTGTACTCACGTTGACGAAGTCGTCCGCCAGGCGACTGCACTCCCTGTCCAGCGGGGAGATGCCTTCGAGGAGCACCGACTTCATCCGCTGCCGCTGGCACTCCTGCTCCTCCGTCTCCTCCTTCCTGGCTAAAACGGGGTGCCCCTTCTCAGACGACGCAGACGCTTCAAGAGCTTGGACATACAGGAAAACCTCGTTATAACAAAGCTGAAGGAGCGATCGTAATTATTTCGTTATAACCATTAGTTTGTTATAGCCAATGTTCATTTCTTGCCTAATAAATAGCAAGCAAGGGGAATTATGATTGCTTTGTTATATCCATTAGTTTGTTATATCCCATTTTGTTATAATGAGGTTTTACTGTATACTGGGCGATACAAATTTGTTTAAAAAAAGTCGTGAAAGCTACACTAATGTGGTCGGTGCAGGTGAGTTATATGGCCAGGGGGACGTAATACACGGGGCTAACTGTCACAGTAAGGCAATTAAGATTTGTTTAATTAAAATATTTAGTTAGTGAAGATAGACACATGGTTTCAATTAGAAACCTGAAGAGCATCATTGAAAACCAATAAATACATAAATTTTAGGAGCACTTGGAGTGATCAAAAGCACAATGGTGCGCTAAAGTTACCACTCATGCTACAGGCACAAAGCTAGTAGTGCAATGATGCACCCATTATTTTTTTTTTGTCCCGTATCATTTGAGGTTCTGCACCACCAGCCTTGAGCCCGTTGTACGAATAGTAACATTGGCACACTACTGCGCTTCCCACACGCTCTGTCTTTCTAAATTCACCGATTTAGGGGCTTTCAATGACACTATGCAAGTTTCTTATTAGAATGTTTATTTTCACTCATTAAAAATATTATTAACAAATTTTAGTTAATTATCTGTACATCAAAACAATTAGCACCCTAATTTATGTCCCTCTGCCTGTATATTTCACATGCACAGACCACACTAGTGTAGCTTTTGTGGCTTTTCGAAACAAACATGTAAAGCCTAAACAAACACACCTTGTATACAATTGGTGTTTGGAAGAAAGGAGAACCACAATCTCATAACAGTAAAAATGAACTATACATCGCCGAACGCTCAATTTCCGCCCTAACATAGCGCTGGCAGTTGGGACACAATGCCAAAGTTTCAAAACTTGCTATTATCCAATCCAAAAGGCAAAGCAATTTTTGAAAATTTCAAATGTTGAAATGGGGCCCATTCACGCCATTCTTCGCCACATATTTGCAAGCTCCTTTGGCTGCTACTTCCTCATTGAAAATTTGTAAAAATCGTGCGTAAGTTTTTAATTAGATAATGGTAAGTTCTGAAACTTTTGCACCTGGACTGTCTGGCGATATCAGGCCTTTAGGACTGTGCCAGGGGCATTTTTATGGGTCGGCGGGGTGGGGGGGGGGGGGGGGGGGGGGGTTTACAAAAATATGTAATCTCACAGACAGATTTCATGTCACGGATAGCCTCCATGACGTCACATAGCAATGTGCCGTCACGGATGCGATGTCACATAGCAAATAGTAGTTAGGTCCATGACATCACAAAGATAACTGCTATTTCACTAAAAACAAAACATTTTTTACAAAAAAAAAAAAAAAAGAAGAGTTGTTTTTCGGAGTTGAAAATGGCTTGCTAAACCCCCCCCCCCCCCCCCCCCCCCCCCCCCCCCCCTTTAAATTCGCCTTTGGACCGTACAATAGCGAGCGGCGTGAATTCTCTGGGAGCCCCGCATCCTCCCAGCGGCCCTTCGGCAAGACTTACGACACTGAGGCAGGGCAACGGCGGGCTCCTTTCCCTGCACCTCGGATTCGGAAAGCTGTCCCAGCACCAGCTGGTAGTAGAATCCCTTCTCAGCCACCAGGGCCTGATGGGTGCCCTGCTCCACCACGTGGCCTCGATCCAGCACATATACCACGTCCGCCTCCCGCAGGATCGACAGCTGGTTGGTGCCCACAATCGTGGTGCGCCTCGCACAGCCCTGCACCCAGTCCAGGTCGCAGCAAGAAACACACTTTCCTCATGGCGACACTTACGAAAACGCCGCCGGTGCAACAAACGCTAGCGGTGCACAAGCGATGGCACATATTCAAACAGTGCCAAACTTTGGGGCGTCCCACCCGCCCCTCCTTATTAGATGTCCAAATCTCACTAAATTCTCGACTCAGCTTTTGCGATGCTGTAGATAAACGGGGGTTTGAAAAATATCGATTTTTCACGGATTTGAAGCAATATTTTGTTAACTCACCTCAAATAAGTGGTCATTTAGAGCACTTGGAGATAGTTTTTAACGAAAATACTTTGAGAGGGCATAGAGGAAGAAACATAGATGTGAAATAGTCCGCTTTCTAAAAATAAACTTTTTTAAACTTTTTTCACGAGTTGATCCCCGCATCCTCCTTTAAAGCAGCTGCCCGCAAAGTATGCTCGCTCGCGTTCGTCACAGATTTGGCATGCCGAAATTTTCGGTGACAGACGCTCAACGCGGCACACGAACGTCAAAATCAGTCCAAGAACGAGCACCATATTAGAGCGCTACAGATTGGATTGTTTTCGCTGAAAACAGCTAACAATATTTATACTGATTTTAGATTGTCTCGTCTTAGCCGCATTGATTTACTTTGCCTTAACTATTATTTGTAAACAAAAAGTACCTGCTAAGCGCACATGCTTAACATTTCTGAAAATATATTTTTGTAATATGTTAATTGCATTGGTGCAGCAAGCGGGAAATGCAAGCGTGCCGCACCTCGTTGGTGAAAAGCCTACTCTATAAGCCGGCGGTGCCAATCTTGTTGCATTTGGGCCCTCCAATTTCTTAGGGGCACCTAAACGTTGGGGACCCTTAGTCTAAAAACTTTCTAATACTGCCTAACATATACTCTCGCATAATCGCGGCGGTTTGGCGCTGTTGAGTGCACCCCTAACAGAACACCCGCGAAGCCCGCAAACTTCGTTGGGTCACTTCCCCGCAGCGCACAGGTGCTTGGAGAGAAGTGCACTCAAGGGGGCTAACCCGCTGCGTTAACACTTCGAAAAGGATGATTATCGCAGTTCCTTGAAGCAAATATTGAATAGAGTATTATTTGATGCTACTAGTATAAAATTCGAACATTTGCACAATCCTACAACAAGACCAATAAAAGCTTGATTTTGCGAAGTCCAGTAAACGTAAAGACTTGAGCAAGCAGGCGAGCTGGTAGTAGCTAATCATGTTGTTTAACGCCTGATACTACTGTGGTGCAGAAAAGAAAATCCTTTAGTCGAAGGAACAGATACAGAAACGAACGTCTCAAACTCAGCTAACTAACAAGGGAGATCTCTGCGTAGAAGGTGGTTGAGAGCAGCTGTGTGAGTATATATAGGATGTTTGAGAAATAAACCAGTTAGCTGAGTTTGAGAAGTTCCCTTCCGCATCTGTTCCTTCGACGACAAGTGTTCCTTGTCTACACCACAGTCTCGGGTGTTGAACGACATAAAGATGACATGATGATGTTTGCTGCTAAGAACCCGAAGTTCTGGGTGCTATATTAGTCAGCAAATGTGACATGGAGTTGCGCTATGCAACGCTCACCTTCCGCAGCGAATGCAGCAGGTGGGCCTCCGCTGCGGAGTCCAGACCGGAGGTGGCTTCGTCCAGCAGAAGCACCCTTGGATTCTTAATGAGAGCCCTGGCCAGGGCCAAGCGCTGACGCTGGCCTTCACTCAGCTGGCAACCACGCTCCCCGACCTCCGTGTCGTAGCCCTGCAGAGCGCCAAACCACAATACGCCTTTGTCTCTTCCGTAAGACCTCTTATCACCACCCTTGACCATGAGCACCTTCACTATTAGATTCCCATCATTCATTCATCCTGATGCATCCCTGGCTCCATTGTTCTTTTTAACAACTCATTTCTTTCCTTTTCCATGACAGGATGGAAGAATCTGCTGGATCGCACACTGTGTATTAGTGACCCTAATCTTTTTGGAAATAGTAATGTATTATCTGAAATTGCTACACAACCGGCCATGTTCTCTCACACTGGCTGCCGTTTGGTCCGTTCCCGTATCTAGAATATTTTTTTTTTATGTTTTGCTTTTGTTGTGTGTATATGTAGTTGTGTGTGGATTTCACACATTTTTTTTCTGTGTTAGAGCATTCCCCCCCCCCCCCCCCCCCCCCCCCCTTCTTATAATATGCCCTTATTGGGGCCCTTAAGAAACAATAGATGAAATGATATGAAAGAAAGAGAGACCCAGGACATAGGTCTGGTTCAAACCGCACTGACAGTGCATGACCGATGAAGTTTAGTTTGCACTATTGCGATCTAAGAAGGGTGCTGCGGATTTCTTTTCGTTGCAGTCTACCTTCTATCTAATGCGCCCAAAGATAAACATGTGAATTTGAAGTAATACGCTGGTGAATGGTAATCCTTAGAGAAACTTTGAGACCAAGAAATGTGCAAAGAGGGTAAACATGGTCTCAAAGTATTTTGTGTTTGTTTCCTTTCGTGCGGTCTTCAGTCTCAGATTGTTTCTAAGCCCCAGTCTCTTTTTCTACAACACAAACCCTTCCCTCACCAAGGTTGTCTGCTAAATGCTCATTGCCACAAGCTATAAGTAGTGCCCTTTGACGGACGATGCTACTTGCATCCATGAGAAGTGCAGACGGGTTCAGACATTTGCATCGGTAGCATTATGGTGCCTGGAGTGCGTCTCGGACTGGTGTGTTTAGGGTCCTATCCCACCCATAGATCAAAAGTGGTTCGGAAGTGGCAACAAATGACGTCGCAGAAACCGGGGTGTCATGCTGCCGGATGTCGTGATCCTGGTGGTTGGTCGTAAAAATGCAGGCGAAAAGCACAAGCAAACGCAAATGTCACTGTTGTCATGGCGTCCCAACTTTTGGCTGCCGGAGCTTCCATGGCCTGAGCGACCTGCAGAAGAACAGCCATCTGCTACATCCACCACTGTTGCTGGAACACCGCCAGGATTGCGACCGGCAACAGCATGACACTTTTATGACGTGATTAGGTGGAAATCGAGGGAGCACATTTTGGACGCAGTAAACACACCAGTCGGAGACACGTTCCAGGCACCATAGTAGCATTCAAAGACCCTAAAACAAAGGCCACAGTGTTGCCGCGAGAATTGTGCTTTGTATACAGTGTGACAACCAGCTCAAGAGGTAGATGGGTCGGTCACGTCAATTAGAATTGACCAATCGCAAATGGAGAAGAAGAAAAGAATACACCCTTTGGCTCGTGATTGGTTCCTGCAGCCATTCCTTCAAATGATTGCCCTATGGTGTTCAGTGTCCGGTTGTCCCAGCGATGTAGCAAACAAAACACAACCGGTTATCCTGGTATAGAGACTGCAACCGATGCAAATGTTCGAACTAAGCGAGACATCAGACGTTGACTGCTTAACTGCACCAAAGACGATATCACGAGCGCCGCAGGGGTCAGAGCCTTAAATTAAATTATTCCCCGAACTCCGAAAGTTAGCAAGGTAAGTTTATGTAACAGGGGGAGTTAAATCTCCGACAAGCACCCCACCTTGGGCAGTGTGACGACGAAGTCGTGGATGCCGACGAGCTTGGCGGCCTCGACCACCTCGGCAAGGGTGGTGCCCTCCTGTCCGAACTGGATGTTCTCGGCGATAGAGTACCCGAACAGCGTGGGCCGCTGGCTCACCAGGCTCACGGTCGACCGAAGCCAGCGCACATTCAGCGCCCGCAGGTTCACCCCGTCCAGGGTCACCTGATGAGCAGAGGTCAGAAGGTCGTCGGAACTATTTTCTCAACTACAGCAGTTCGGCGGTGCTCCTTTCGAAAGTACGCCAAAGGCCGCTTTAAATATTATACAATAAAGAGCTTTCAGACTGCCAGGAAGTTGACCAATTCGTTTCCCACCCAAACTCAGCGTCAACTCATTTGTGCAGCACTGCTGAGGCAAGCGTAGTTTCCAGAGTGCTCCAATAATGTCAAAGCTACTTGTACAAGACCTTAAGGGGGGACACTGGCTAGAGCTCAAACTTTTTAACTACTCAAGTGATCGGAATGAAATTTGCAGGGGAGATTTAGCTTCAGATGTAGGTGTACTGTGCAGACTTTCAGCTCTTTAGGACAAATTTACATACCTGCATAAGATGATGTGTCACTTTTCATTAAGAAATCTATGATATGCAAATCAAGCTATTAAGCATCATTTTGACTGCTTGAATATAAAGTGGGGGATATGGGACCTCGGGCTATCTAGTTTTAATAACTTAAATGTTAATATTTCAGGAAGAGTTATTACCTCAAACTATGAGATGCATATCTGTCCTCTGTCAATTTTTGAAAACTTGGTTTTTTATCACTGAGGACTTCAACCTAAAACAAAATAAAGTAGATAGCCCGATTCCTAAGTAAATTTCAGTTCAGAAACATCTTGATTGTGGTATCAGAATACTTTCACCTTCGAACAAAAGATTCCTTCGTATGAAATTTGCAACAAAAAGTGGAACTGAGAAAAATGCATTCAAACATTGAACTCCTTCACTTTGTTACTGCCTCACAATGTGTTGAAAATATTTTATATCAACGTAACTATTTGCCATATGGTTATCAAATTTGGTGTAAGGGTGTATAATTAGTTTCTAAAACTGAAAACCTCAAAATTAAAAAATGAATTTTTTCAAAACAATTTACAATTTAGGCCCATGTCCCCCTTTAACTTTGTTTGCCACCTCCTTTGTACAAGAGCGCGTGCAAACGAAAAGAAAGACAAACTAGAACATCCTCTCTGCAGTAGTATGAAAATTACACTAGCCTCGACAATGTACCACAGAACGTGCGCATGTCGCGCCACAATTAAACTTACCATACTCGGAGCTTAAAAAACATGGCAGAGCCCACTAGTTTGCAACGTTACGTTGCAAAATATTCAAAAACATTGTCAAGCAATGTATCTTTAGCGGATGTTAAAACGGCAAAGTTGCTCAAATACTCCAAATGCCCCGGTGACCCTTTTCCAACGTTCGGAACCTTTGGGAAACATTTACGCAACACCGGATGCTAGGTGGGAAAGACCGTCAACGGGGGCGACCTCCCTCACCTCGCCATTGCAGGGGTCGTAGAAGCGGACCACCAGGTTCAGCAGAGCAGACTTCCCCGATCCGCTGGCGCCGCACACGGCCACCACCTGACCCTCGAGCGCTTCCAGGTTCACGTTGCGCAGCACCTGGAAAGGAACAAGAAAGAAACCAGACGCACATTTGACTGGTACTGTATCATTACTTAACCCTTTGCCTACTGATTATTTTTTAAACTTCACTTAGAACTTTATTTGAAACGAGCAATTTGCATCAAAATAAAAAAAAAGACATTTCCTTGACTTCCAGATGTGGTATCTTGCTCTAAATCAGGACTTCTGGTCTTCCCGTCCTCTTCAGTAGTTCTTCGCAGTGTGATAGAGCTGAAAACCTTTAGGAATGTGGAGAGCCAGTTCAGACTGTCCACATTACCACGTTTGACTCCGTTACTTGTTGGCTGCGCACACTCTGCATGCCCGCGTCGGGTTCTTCTTCTCAGTGGGTGCGATCTGTTGTGGAAAACCCCTTTCAAAAATAAGTTTTTGTATCTCTTCGTCTGCCAAAGCAGACCTCTGTGCCAAAGCCATGGGGTTTTGGCACAAACGCTTACAAGTGTGATTCTTTTTTTGGCTGAATGGAGTGCCCTATTTCCCTCAAACAGCAAAACAAATGAGCAAACAACCCAAAGTAAATGGAGCAACACAAGCAGCAGGGGTGGTTCGGCCATCTGCAGGAGACAGCGCTAAACAAGCGCCAAAACCGAAACACGAGTCACAGCTCGTTGTCGGGCTTTTTGATTTGCAAAGGATGGCACGGGTGGCACACATTATTATTAGGCAAGGGGTTAAGGGGAACAACTCTTAAAAAAACAAAAATTTAAATTTTTTTATAAATCTTTTATTATACGTTGCTAACAACAGATTTTCTAAGCACTACACTCGGGAAATTCACATTTATATACTAGTAACAGCGAATAATAATAATAATAATAATAATAATAATAATAATAATAATAATAAATATTTTATTGTCCCGTTTTCAACACAGTACATAGACCGGCCCGCAAAAGCATGGGTATGCTTGTCGGCGGGACCTGGCGTCCAACAGGTTGCTTACATAGTTATAACAAAGCATGCATTTTTTGCATGTAACTAAACAAACCCAAAACAAAGAGAACTATACCCGACAAGAGAACAAGGGAAAAACGTGGTTCATTACAGTCACCTATAGTCTGGCAGCACCATTCTCTCAGGTCTTGTTTTAGTCTTTTTAGGGAATCCAGGTTATGAAGCTCTTCTGGTAACTTATTAAAATAAAAAGGAACATAGTATGACCTTGCATTCTTTCCATATTTAGTATAAATTCTAGGAAGAATGAACTTTTCTGTTCGCCTCAAAATTCGCTCCTTTGTTAAAGGAATTTTAAAATCACTCCTGAAGTAATGTTTCACTAAAATTACATAACAGTGCAATCTCTCAGTAGTTAACACTCCCGCTGCATTCAATTTCTTATTTTTCTCTACTTCTTCGTACATTGTCCCATATATGATATTACAAGCAATTTTATAGAGGATATTATCGATTTTTGATTTTTTATAGTTAGAACACATTCCGTATAGCGAGATTCCATAACGTAGGATAGACTCACCCAGTGCGTTATATACCCTCTTTCTCAGAGAAACGTTCGAAACACTACGTAACCTGTACAAATAGGCTGATACGGTTCTCATTTTTTTGATGACATATTCTACATGATCATTCCGTAAAAGATTTACATCCAGATGATTCCCTAAATATTTGGTTGTTAGATCATAATCTAAAGGTACGCAGCTACAAGTTTTGCAACTATCTGAATGAAGAAACAGTGGAGTCGACAAGTTAACATGTTTGTACGGACTATGAAAGCACATCAACTTAGTTTTACTAGAATTAACAAAAATATGAATGTTAGAAAACCATGTCATTAATAATTCGATATCTTTCTGAAAAGTTGAAAGTGCGCTTGTTTCATCGCTATGTTCTAGTACCAGGGCTGTATCATCTGCATATTGATACACTTGAGATGCAAGAGATAGTGCTCCAATTTGATTTACGTAAATATTAAACAGTAAAGGTCCTATTGTTGATCCCTGTGGTACTCCCGATTTAATTCATATTACATTACTTCTACAGTCTCTTATTTTAACCAGTTGATATCTATCTGTAATGTAATCCTGCAAAAATGTATAGAAAGGCCCCCTAAAACCCATATTTCTTAGCTTTAACAAAAGTTTTTCATGATCGATTGTTTCAAAAGCTTTTGTCAAATCGAGAAAAAGGGCTAAAGGCCCGTTCACACTCTTGCGACTGCTTGCGACCTTTTAAACCTGGGTTCCTTAAAACTTCTTAAATCAGAAAACACACTGGCGCCATCTGTTGGGAAGCAGTGTAAACTCGGCGGTCCGGCATATTTTTTTTTATTTCTCGCGCAATATCCTTTCTTTTTGGCTCGAAAAACTTTTGTCAATGTTATAAACGAGCCTTTCTATGGGTATTACGCACATTTGACCTCGGAAATCCCGCAAAACCTTCGCTTTTGTGAAATGCAGTTCTAGGGTCACCGCATAGATGGCGCCACAATGTCAGTGTGTCCCCTCATTCTAGAAACATTTAAGAAGTTGTAAGAGACCTCGTCTCTCTCAGTCGTACTCGGTCGCAAGAGTGTGAACGGGCCTTAACGCAAAATGATTCTTGTCTAGACTGAAACTGACATAATCTGTAAAATCTTGCAGCAAAAGTTCAGTGCTCTTATTCTTACGAAATCCGTACTGGGATGAGCGTATTAAATCATACTTTTCACAATATGCAGTCATTACATTGAATATCCATTTTTCCATAATCTGTGCAATAACTGGTAGTATAGAAATAGGTCTGTAATTTGAAACGTCCTTTCTGTCGCCATTTTTGTATAACGGTCTAACTATAGCGGTTTTTAACTCCACCGGGACATGCGCCGTTGAAAAACTGTCGTTTATTATTTTTAATAAAACTACTTTTAGAGATTTCCTTGAAATTGAGATTTCCTTGAAATTTTACAAGATAGAAAAAAATGAGCTTATGCCTGTGCTTAGCTCAATTAGAATAGATGTGAGAGTTTAATACAAATTAGATGAGAACTGACAGAAGAAGCTTCAAGGCTAGGGTTTTTAGGTGACGATAAACTGCAGAGCCCAGAGATCCTGGATTCAAATCCCAACCCTGCCCGTCTCGCTCTGGACGAGCATTGTACCGGTGTGCAGTCGTGTATCACTACTGCGTGAAGCATGTTGAAGGCACCAGGCTAGCGGATGTACTGCACTGGTTAATTTTCTCATCTCCGATGAAGACACCAGGTGTCTACTGGAACTGACAAACTTCCCGCTCTAAACAAACACACAACACAATTACGCAACGAGGAATGTGGACCTCCATTTTGAAAAATTAGTTTGCTATAGCAGTAGTCTATTACAAGCCTACCTTCGGTCCCCACTGTACTACTGGCGGGTGTCTGGAAAAAATATTAGCTGTGCTCTATTTACTGCAAAAATAAACTATGCGTTGCCGAATGCTCAGTGTCCGTTCAAACGTAGCATTAAAGGGGCACTGACACATCAAAATCATATTTTTTTTTATTATCCGAAACGATTGAAAACGATGCCGGGACATTACCCTCAAAATTTGAAATTTGGGAGTTCAGTATTTGTGAAGTAAAAAAACAATTTCCAAATGCCGAATTCGAAGTTCCCGCGCGATCGGCGCCGGTGCCTTGACGTCAAAAATCGCGGAGACCTGAGAGTCGACTTTCTTTCACCACTCCCTGCTGTTGCCAAAGCGAGGAGGAAAGGAGTGAGCGGCGGCGTTACGGCGGACCGGTTTTGAGCGGTGTCGCCTGTTTTCCGTTGGAGGATACAAATCCAGGAGACGGCACCACAACGAACTCCCGATTTTTGGTATTTCAAAAAGAAGGGCCGTAGTGCGTTCGCAATCGCGTTAAAAAACATGTTTTACGATTGCCGTAATTAAATGTTATAGAGATGTCGCCTACAAAGCTTCTAAATTTCCTGATTTTTGACGTCACCGATCAAAAGAAGCGAGGAGGCGAGAGGCGGGAAAATCAAACGCCAAAAATAAAAAGGCGCGCGCGCGCGCGGTAAAATTTTTTTTCGCGATGCGGTTTTTTTTTGCGTGTCTATGACTGCAACTTGCATCGTTTTAGACAATAAAAATAAATACGACCTTTGGGGTGTCAGTGCCCCTTTAACAGTCCAGATCCAATGCCAAAGTTTCAGAACTAACCGTTACCCGACTTAAAAGCTGGTATAAGTACTGCTCTTGGTCCCATTTTCTGACTGAAAATTTCCGAAAATTACTTATTACTTTTTAATTGAATAACGGCAAGCTCTGAAACTTTAATTGGCATCTTCTAGCGCTCTATCTGGACAGAAACTGAACATTTGGCCACGCATAGTTTATTTTTGTAGGGGAAACAGCATGGCTAACTTTTTTCAAACAACCGCAGTACAAACACTGACTGGATTCTGATGTAATGCAGCAAATTCAAGATTAGAAGCGTGCAACAGAAAAAAAAAAAAGCTATTGTACTAACGTGCAGACAAGCCAGTGACTATAACTGGCAATCTTCAGGGCGTCAGTTATTTCTCTCCAACGCTTGCTTCTGCTACCAGAATAAACGTGGGTAATAAAATGCGAGACAAAGGGCTACAAATGTGGTGAGCATGAAGCAGCTTTTTCCCAAGATCGGCAATCAGTTTGGGAGAAGCGATTGGCCTTGTTTGACGTTGCACTCCAGCTAGCCGACTCACCAGATGACCCGGAGTCCTTGGATAGGAGAAGCTGACATCTTTGAAAGCCAGGTCTGCCTTGAACTGGTTCAGCTGCACTCCCAGCTCTGTGTAGGAGTCAATGTCAGGCCTCTGACGGAAATAAAAATAAAAAGAAAGATTGATAGTTACAAACAAAACAAAGCCAAGAATGCCAGAGAGACATGTAAATGAGCACGTGCCATATTTCTTTAATCATATTTCGCACTAAAATGGATGAAAGCTCATGCATTCGCTTCCCTGCACAGCACGCAAGGAGCTGATCACTGCATTGTACTGGAGGATCCTAGAAAATTATGACACCCAGAAGGCATTCGTTCTACGAAATCCAGTCGGCACTGGATGATTCTGGGCACGTGAAACATTGTGCTCAGTGCCGCAGCACAGGAAGTGCTTTTTTATAAACAATTTTGCCGCGATTCACCAAGCTTTGACCTCAGACTGCGGCTATCAGCTCTTGCACACTCCATGAAAAAGTGGGAGTGCTTTTCTTTATAATCATGAATTAGTGCAGAATGTTGTGACAAAATTTCAATTACAACAAAACTGGACTGCTATGTGAAGCATGTTGTTGGACGACAAAGCATTTGTAAGAGGAAAAAGTACCTAAAGAATCCCCAAAAATAGACATTATAATTGCATATATCCTCCATTCTCTTGGAAAAGCTACAAGTGGCTAGATAATTAGTTGACTCGATCAAGCAGTCAACCCAGATTTTGTCACCATCACAATTTTGGTTAAACAATTGTTTGGTATGCTAGGGTAAAACAAATTATTTTCACCAGGCATAAACTGCTTGTACTTGTAGCACAAGTGCTCCGGCGGAGAGCCCAAAGACTTTCCCTGCTGCTGCCAGTTTCGACATTGAACGACCATTCTACCAATTATATACCCCCTTTGCTGTTTACAAACAAGCCAGCGTTTGCCCACACCAGGTGTTGCCACTATGCAGGAAGCAGATTTAGGCGAGATGAAGCGCAGTGCCGACAGCAGTGCAACCGCACAAGGTCGGAGTTGGCGTATACTAGCATGCGGTTGCGCGGCCACCACTGCGCAACACACGCTAGAACCCTGGGTTAGCGAGTGCAGCAGAATGGCCACATAATGTCTCTACAGAGAAGAAATCGGATGCCATTTTCATATAAATAAATTGACTTCCCCCCTGAAATGGAGCGCAACCTGCGCCCTTTAGCCGACTGGAGGCCGCTGTCCGCCTGGTCTGGGATTTGATCCCGAGACTCCTCCAAGACTAGCGGAGCTCTCTACCAGCTGAGCTAAGCAGGAGCTCTGGTTAGCTCAGTTTGTAGAGCGGCAGCTGGTCTCGGAGAGGCCCCGGGATCGAAGCCTAGCCCAGGCGCCAGTCGCCCGGAGCACACAAGTTGCACTCCCTTTTAGCTGGAAGCCAACCTCTTAGTACGTAAATCTTCTCCGCTTCTGGGACTTCCCCCAAAACTCATTATATTATGTCGGATTTCACTTTAAAGGCCCGACGTACACTTCGCGCTTTCCACTTTTGCCCACCTCCTCCTTCCCTATATCCTCTCCACTTTTTACCTTGCCCCAAGTTGCCTCCCCTCGTGGCTTAGGAGAGGGGGAGCACTAAGAGGATTATCTTCCCTGCAGAAAACCGAGGCTGTACGTCGGCCTTTAGGAGAGACCAATTTTTTGGTGACTACAGCTACGTACAACAGGTCCGAGCTCGAAAGAGCGACTGACCCGGTCGATGATGTCAAAGGTGCGCCTGGCAGCCGCTTTTGCCACGGCGATGCTGCCGAGCTGAGGCAGGGCGTTGCCCAGGGAGAAGGAGCCCACCATGACTGCAAAAAACACCTGGAAAGGGGGGAACCGAGCTCTTGGCACGCTCCCGCATGCATGAGTCACGCACGGGGGAAACCGATCGTGTCAGGGTCCTAAACAAACCGCACATACCGGCTCCACACTGCACAGTGCCGCAGTTCACTAAGCGCGTGCGGACGCGCAAAGAATCTGCCGATTGTGATACAAACTTCAAGTTTGCCTAAATCAAGGGTTACGAGCAAATCGGATAATCCCCCTGGCTAAGCATGTAGTATCTCTCGTTGAAGGTCGTTCGATCAGCTAAGAGGAATAAAGGTTATTTACAAAACGTACAGACACACATAGTGTGCTGGAAAGTGTCATGCATAAGTAACACACTGGGACAGCTGTGCCACGCCAGTTTCCTTGCTTGCCCAGATTTCATCGCACTGAACGGCCTACGGTGAAGTTTTTTTACTATGACGAGAGATCACCCAAAAAGCTTCTTTGCCGAGTATGACTTTACATTCGAGGAACATTGCCCTCCGCATCCTTGCAGGAACGCGCAGAATGTTGGTGCGACGCACAGAGAGACTGACGTATATGGTTCGTTCGAGATAGGGACTATCGATCTGGCCAGCCCGGTGGAGAGAAGGAGCACTCACAATAAACGCCCGGCCGGCATCCAGTTTGGCTGCAGCCACCAGTACCGAGCTGTACCTGAGGTGGAAAGGAACGTGCAAACACATCACTTCCAACCTACAACATGCTGCGTGAAAAACCCGATTTGCCTGGATTAACAAAAAAGTGACTTGTCCGAACCAATCATCGAATAAAGATCTAGGATGACTTGTTCTGCAGAACACAAGTTTCCGCCAAGTCTCCTGGAGATCTTTAAGTATATTCAAATCTTCTCTGGAGTACAGTCCCAAACGGAAGAAATGCGAACGACGGAGCAAGAGGCTCTCATCATCGACGCATCACTCAACGGTACGGCAAAAACTCTCGAGCAGCCTGCGATGCCCTTCAAGAGTAGTGATGGCGTCGAGTGACTGACCCTTTCGTTAAATTAAATATGCGCCTTGCTTCAGCCTTTGAACACATTCGGCACTCATTGGGAAGTCTACAATCCAGCACATGCATTTCAAATTCTTGGCGATGACAAACAGAAAAAACTAATATCAGTCTTAGATCCACATTACAGTGAAATCAAAATTCACACAGTAGTGTGCGACTAACAAAACATTCATTTGGGGCACACGAAATGCCCATACCGCATTGTCGACACTGAGAAGGCGCGACGATTAGCACTGCATGTTGTGGTAAAAGTCAAACCGGCGTAAATTTTATTAGCTGAAACGACCGGCCACTTGGCACCGTCACTGTTCTTGAAGCCTTCCACTGACGATCGCTGAGCAACGCGACGAGAGTGCGAGGCTTTCTCTCTGTCATTCGTCCTTCTTTCGTTCAGGACTGTACATTGCAGTGATAATGATGCACTCACCAGAACGCAAGAGCGTAGGCACCGTAGAGCACCACGAAAGTGAGGGCAAACCCAAATGCCATGGCGGTGTATTTGCGGCGCGAAGCGGTCCGCCCGTCGTTCAGCGCTGCCATGTACCTATAGCAAGGCAGGCATAGAGTAAGGCATCATTTAAAGATCAGGAAACTGCTGTTTATAGCATAAAAAATGCTCTTCATATACATAAAAAAATGAAAAAAGTACCCTTCGCTTAGTACCAGAGCATTAATTGAAGTGGTCATGACTATCGGGTTGTAATGTTCATGACTTTGCAGAGGCGCACTGGTCCTAGTCTGGCCCAAGTATGCTCGCACAGACCGCCACTGATTCAGTAGCTTCTTTGTGGCGGTCAAATTGCGAGGATAAAATGGACTACGCTTTGCAAATAAAACTTGTAACATTAACAAAACTATTTGGGTTACATCAAAACATCAAAGCTAAGCACATAATATTTGTAGTCAAATTGTAAAGGCAGACAAGCTATATAAATCTCGTTTGAATTGGATCACGAGTCATATAAAAAACTTTAGAAGCAGTGTTGACCCACTAAAAACTAAAGTTCATGCAAAAAAATATCCTTAAATTACAGTCTTTTTGAGTGTGTGCCTAAACTTTTAAAGAAACATGATCTGCAAGGTCCCAACTATAAAAGAAAAAAAGACATTTTAAAAAACATTTCTCGTTCAGTCATGTTTTTTGTTTTTTCATTCGAATTGCGCTATGGCAACACAGATTTCGGAATTTTTGGAGAAGTAAGCCATCTTAAGTACATTTTCTTCATAAAATTAAAAAGAATAAAACATAATTCCTGGGATGTGGCTTGACATGACCATCGCAAACTTCACACAGAAAAATAAACCAAACTTTTTGGCACGTTAAAGTTTTTCTAGGCCTTAAGCTCCGTTCTCACGCTTGCATTTGCTCAGAACCAAGTTCTTGGAATCTCTTAGGACAAGAAAGCACACGGCATGCTTGGCGCCATCTATCGCCGGTGACCCTGGAACTGCATTTCACTAAACTAGAGCAAAGGTTTGGCGGTATCTGCAAGATCAAATGTATATTCTCCCTATGAGAAATGGTAGCTTATGAGATTGTCAACAGTCCTTGAGCCAAAAAAGAAGGTGTTCCACCCGATAGATGGCACCATCAGTGTGCTTTCTCGTCGTATGAAATTTTTCACAACTCTGTGAACCAGCCTTTAGAGAAGGAAAAAGAAAAGAGCATTTGTGAGCTTAACAGCTTCAAACCGTGCAGCAAATATCCAGAAAGTCTAGTTGAGGATGGCAGGGTGGCAGGCAGCCCACTGACCTTCGCAGCTCACCGTACTGTGCGCAGAAAGCGGCCACGGTGCGCACCTTGCTGAGCACCTCCAGGGCCACGCCCCCCGCCTGGGCATACTTCTCCTGCTCCTGGGCCGCAGACTGGGACACCATCTGGAGGCCACGGGAGCAACACAATCGCGACCCAAATCCTTGCAGTAAACGCACCCGACACCTAGTCGAAATGCTATTGACGACGAGATGTTTTGGTGGCGCCACTTCGTGGGCGCCCTCCTGTGACGGAGCTAGTGGGATGTGAGCAGATGATGCGCTATGTCCAAGCACAGAGTGGCTAGGTTAGTTTGTATCTAGGCCGATTAAAAATGGCTTATTCATTAAAGAAACGTGCAAGACGTTTTCACGAGTCATCTTTCTAATGATTAACAGTGCCTCAAAGCTGCTTTTTATATTTAAAAAAACTTTACACTATTAAAAAACAAGCCTGGAGCTTCACATATTACAGCTTGTGCAGCACGCGTCATGGCTATTCACAACTTCTCTGATTCTTGTTTCTTCGTATCTGTGGAGGCCGCTGTAGAAAAAGGTTTTGCATTCACCGGAGTAAATAATGTGCTGTCTTCCTAGCTCTGCACGTGCACACAGTTGTGTTGCAAAACGCCGCATAATTGTTTTAGCTACATTGAGCTTGCCGATACCGACACATCCATCCAAGTGTGACTCGACAGTTGCTGCCGAGCAAATGCTCGTCAGCAAATGATGCTCAGCTCCACCCGCATGGATTACGTGGCGAAGAACGAAGAAGTTTGTCACATCGCGACCTCTGCTCAAAAACAGAAATTTTTATAAATTCTTAAATTGTCGGACATGGCCTGGCAAATTCAGGTGATTGATTAATTTGTTCTATCCTATATTTACTAAGAATTGTTTACAAATTCAAAACATGCTCGCTGAGAAGCGCATTGCACCTTATAGGTATTCGGGTCCACAAAAATTAAACATATAAGCGGTAGTAATTCATAGCAGGTGTAGTCCTCATTTATTGGGACACTAAAGTATCACCGAACTACTACATTTAAGACTTCGATCACGAGAGGGTCTCCCATGTTTCGCGTCGACCGGGTGAATAAGCAAGGATTAAACTGAAACGACTCCTGAAGCCAGCCACCGTTTCTTCCTGTCAGTTATCTTGAGGAAATGTTTATTGGTTTACAAAATTCAAAAAGGAATCAAGTTGAAACTAAAAAGCGACCAGCACTCACAGAGTGCATTGGAACCAACGGTATACACGGAGTCACTTTCACTGAAGTGTTTACTACACATGCGAGAGGTTTTCGAATTTTGCTCTCACTTGATAAGACATTCCTTTCTCAGTTTTATATTGTCCGAATCATAATAAAAAACACACCCCATTTGCAGCGGTAGTCGTTGTAGTGGGGGTAAAGCGCTGGATATTCTATTTTCATCATCCAGCTTTTTGTACTGGGGTAGAGAACAGCACACCACCATCCCAGCGCGTCGACACATCAGCACCAAAACTGTTTGTTAGTGCGACTATGCGTGCCACGGTTTCAAGCTTTGCTAAATGTCCTACTACAGATATCACTTCACCAAATAAACACAACGCATAAAACAGGCTTTGCCGTGCGTTTCCCAAAACAGTGCATGAAGCGAGCTGACGAGCCGAGGGATCCAAGATCTGCGCGGCCTGTCCCGGTCTGTCCCACCCGTGACTTCACAAATGACAATAATAGCTAGAGAAGCGCTCCCTGTGGTTTGCACGTGCCACCAATGGAGTTGTTCCGCGAAACGCCTTTTCTCTTTTGCTCAGCCATATTCCACCATGTCGATGCACATGGAAGAATGCGGTTCACCAATGTGGCTGCTGACCGAGGTTTTGTTCTCGTATAATAAAACTTTTTTATTTGTGTCCTTTTTTTCTTTTCTTCGTACCACTTTTGCTACAGCCTCAATGAGGAGAGCGGTATAGGTAAATAAATAAAGTTATGTGATTTTCCGAAATTTTCAACGGGAAAATTGGGTCTGTTCTTGGTAACTGTTGCCCTTTAGCCACCATATTCCTATAAAAAAATTTCAGAACATCACAATTGTAGCTTTTGAATAAGATAATGGCTAATCCTGAAACTTTGGCATCTGGTTTGGACAGCTAGGGTACATTTGCACGGAGAATGAGCGTACGGCAATGCATAATTTCCTTTCGCAGTAAAAAAAAAAAACATTTTGTTTTTGTCTAACAACTTGTACATTTAGTATCAGAATATTTCGGCCAGTCAAAAGCGAAAAGGGTGGAACAATCTTCGAACTTTAGAAGCGTACCAGAAACCGTGGGACTCACGTTGCCGAGGAAGGCGGAGGCGAAGGCTAGCAGTGGCGTGACGGACATGATGACCAGCGTGAGCTCCCAGCTCTCCACGAAGCCAGTGGCAAAGCCCGTGGCAAAGGTGGACACGTAGTGCACAAACAGGCCCACCTTGTCCCCCATGCCCTCACGCAGGCGGTCCATGTCCCTGCCACGCGAAAGCAGACGACAACTTGTGAGCAGTTGTGCAGTGCCCATCCAATACCACTTAGAAGACAAGCCCTGTGCCTTTCTCCCAAACGCTAGTGGATCCCCGCAGCTCTGCCAAGCCTACTTCAGCATCACTACCAGCGCGATTTGCAGCGTCTCACAACAACAAGTGCGATGCACGCGCAGCCGTGGCGACGCCAGGAAGGACGCGTCTGCCGCTTTACGCCGACTCTCGTCGAGTTTTAGCGCATTTGCCGCTTGGGGTGGGTTCGGGAAGCACTAACAATGGCGTCATGCGTAGGCTTTGTCTTTTAGGTGGTGCTGCCCCAGCATGGCCGCTTACCACTCGTTATACGTTAGGTGCCAAGCCCCCTCCAAAGCCGAGGCTTTCCTCACCATGGACAATTGCAATCTGACGCTGGCCTTTACGGCGGCTCCTAAGAAGTTCTTATGAGGAATGAAACCATATATTCTGAATCCTTAAAGGGCAACTCCGCTCAATTCCGAAGATTTCGGGATAATGAGGGATTTCGAATTAAAAAGCCCTAGTAAAAGACACTACGTCGTTTGCTTCCCAAAAATTGGGATATATACTTTTAAATCTAATTTTAAACACGAGCGAAAATCGAAACCGAAACTTCGGCTCCGTCTGGCAACATTGGCCTCGGGCCGCCAAGTACATGGCCATCACGTGGTACGAGATGTCACGTGATCCTCGGCCCAACGACGGACGGGATGGGGGCAGGCTTGCGGCAGGCGCGAGTGTCGTCTGCACCGCACTCTTCGCCACGTTTTGGTGTCTACGGCATTCGACGACGTCTGCACAACTGCGGCATAAGTCTGCAACTCTGCGCATGTGGTGTCCATAGTGTGGACGAAACTCAGAGAGGCAATAATCACTAACGGTGAGACGACGACGGTGGTTGTGACGCGGAAGACGGCGGTAACGGCGGGACCACGGCGGGCGGTGTGTCTGCTCCCAAGAAGCGCGCTGCGCAGGCGTGTGCCATTCACGTGGACACCGCTGAGCGCCGAGAGACAACGTTGCTGACGTCATGCGCTACGCTCGATCGGAGAAGTAGAAACAAGCAAAAGGGGGCCATGATGATGACGTTTAGCTCAACGTTGGCTCCGCCCATGCCGTAGCCTTTACTGCGCTGTTGGTTGTGCCTGAATTCGCCCGCTCCAGTCAGCCGATTTCGGCAACTTGGCGAGTTGCAAAGTTTGCCGGACTGTTTAAGAAACATTTAGACAGAACTGCGTCGTAATATTTGACGTGTGGTCTTCCTAGGCGATACTGAAGAGGACTGCATTTTTTTTAAAAACCAAAAATGAAGCGGAGTTGCCTTTTAATGCAATGCTTAACCATGGTGTTCAACTTCGCAGGTGAAAACTACCTTCTCGTTATTCGTACGGGCGGGAGGCCCCCATTACAAAGCGTGGCCATAGAAGTTTGACTTAAAATTCGTCTGCATTGATACAGAACTCCCAATGGTTAGTTTCGACATACATTTAGCTGCTAGCGTAGCTTCAAGTATTATGCAATGTAACTGTCCAACCACTAGAGTTTCTGAGAGCACCCTGAATTTCTTTTTCACACACTAGTTGCACGCCTTGCTCCCCTGCCGGACAATGCTCCATGTGGTTTTAGTCGCCCAGAAATGGGGAGCTTATTATTATTATTAACATGATTAACTTTCGAGTGCCGTGGATCCCTAGAGCGCAGCTCTTAGGCACCTGTTTCCGGGCTGACCAGCATCGCCATCGGCATTAGCGTAATTACACACGTTGCATTATGGGACGTGTCCCCACTAAAGTTAGCGGGGAAATTTTCCTTCTAAATTTAGCGGAAAACTTTTTCCGCTAAATTTAGCTGGAAATTTTTCTGCTAAAGTTAGCGGGGAAATTTTCCCGCTAAAGTTAGTAGGAAAATTTTTCCACTAAGTTTAGGGGGAAAATTTTTCTATTAAGTTTAGAGGGAAATTGACGTCACGTGACCTCAACACCAATTCAGTTTCCCCGCTAAATTTAGCATTTAGCAAGGAAAATGACGTCACGACTTTGTGTCACGTCACCCATGAACAAATTCAGCAGCAGGACGAGAGGAGGAGGAAAGGAGGAAAGAAGGAGTAGGAGGAAGAAAGAATAAGCAGGAGGGGCATACCCTCCCCTCTATACTCTCCCCTCCTTCTCCTCAAGAGCTGCACTCTAGTTTCGCATTACAGAAATTTGTAAATGTCTCATTTTTTTTTTCGCACTCAGAAAGCCGATTTTAGCCTCAGTAATGCTGTAGCATGCTCTGTGAAGAATACTTATATATAAAAGACACTATTTTATGGGCAAAAAGTTAGTTGATGTCAGCATGCCTCCAAGCTACGACACAGTTCTCATTCTGTACTTTTCGAGACATGGTATTAGCATGCAGTGGCACCTCGACCTTGCACTTCTGAGGTCACTTTTTTTAGCGACCCTACTCGGCCTTTGCTCACTCAAAACTGTGATTTCCTTGTTTTCACATTGTTCAAATAAAGAGTTCATTAGTAATTCTTAAATCTCGGCGTTTGCCACGAAGGGCGAGGTTGAACGACATTGGTTCACAGAAAAAATCGTAAAAATGAAAGAGCACATCATAACAGAAGTTGCCTAAACAAAAAAATATTTAAATTCTATCAAAAAGTGACATTACAAGATAAAACATTGCTTTCATCGCTTGCTCATACATTCTGCTACACGTAAAAAAAAAAAGAAAAAAAGACAGCCACGTTGGGGGGGGGGGCAGGGAGCAAACCGAAACCACACAGGAATGCACCTGAGCAGTGCTGCGGAATGGGCACCCCCCTCATTCCATTCCAATTTCATTCCGGGAATTGAAGTTGTTGATCATTCAATTCCTTTCAACTCCTAGGAATGGGGACACTGGGCCCATTCCCACTCCTGGAATGGCTGAGTCGTTCCATTCCATTCCTCTAATTCCTAAACGTAAAAATTGGCACTTGAGAGCTACATTGTGCAATGTTTCCAGCATAAGCAGCATAAAGCTGACATTGTCAAATACATTTACAATTGCAAAAAAATGCTAAATGCCTCGAAAAAGTACTGATCTTACTAAGCTCACAGTGCTGGATTGCCTGGGGCGACTCAAAGCGTCCGCAGCGGTTCATCGCAAGGTCAAACGAAGTATGTCGAGGCTAAAGTCAAAGGAAATGAGTGGGCATCCGCTAGGTTACTTGTAACCCTAACCCACTTGAATGTAAGACATATAACACAGAAAACAAGCATCGAAACAAAGACCAAGTAAAAGGAGGACTTACACGTAAAAATACAGTATAAAAAAACAAGCGTCGGAGCAAAGCGCAAGAGGAGAAGAGAGAAGTGAATCTCGCTTGGTTTTAATGCCGAAGCAAACCCAGATTTCGCACTTCAAAGGAGTGAGCGCGAATGAACGTGGAAGGCAGCAGGGTTGGCCGCCTGCTAAACAACGCTCCTCGAACTATAAGAAAACAATAACTGATCATCTTTTGGTGGCGCGCCAGTCAACGAGTTATCAGAGCTCTGCGAGTTATGAATCGCCCCCCACTCCCATGTCTCAGTCTGTGCGCGTGCCTGCAATCTCCATGCCAACGCAAAAGAAGCTAAAAAAGAAAAAGAAAAGGAAGTCGAAGGACGATGAGGAGCCGTACAAGGTGGTTTCTCTCTTTGCCGCTCCCTTGGTTTCTCTTGCTTGGTGCTCGGTTTCTTGTTTCGCACTCGTGTAACACCAGTGAAGCCCGTCGCCTGCATGTCCGTGAAAGGTGCCACCGCCCCCCCCCCTCCCTCCTCTGGTCTTTGCTCTGACGCTTGTTTTTTGCATTGCATTTTTTCGTGTATAAGTCTATGGCTCCACGTGGGATAGCAGGTTCCCGCTCATTTTATTTCGGAGCAACTGCCTCGCTCACTGGCTCGGTTTAGCTAAACGTAACCCCCCCGCCCCCCCCCCCCCCCCCCCTTCCCCTATAAAAAAATGAAATAAAGAATTGGGCCCCCTTCCATTCCCATTCCATTCCAGGCAAAAGGAACCTGATTCCATTCCCATTCCATTCCCCTCAATGTTGCCGCCATTCCATTCCCATTCCATTTTAGGGTTGCGAAAATGCAGAATGATTCCAGAATGATTCCAACTCCGGAGTGGCAACTTCGCGACACTGCACCTGAGTGTACTCGGGCACGGTGCTCAAACAGTTAAGAGAGCAGTCCCTGGTAGAAAGTGTCCGAGGACAACTCACTCAGTCATACGGTTGGCGACCTCTCCCGACCGGTGTCTGTCGAACCAGGCTGCGTCCTGCCGCAGAAGCGCGTAGAAGAGCTCCTGACGCAGCCGGTACAGCTGCCGATCACAAGCACGGCTGAAGCACCACACCTGGCAGAGAGGCGACGCCGGCCACGTTCACGTCTGCACGTGATCTCGCGTGTGCCATGCAGGGCCCGTGTCGCGTATCACTTAACTGCCACGTTTGATATCACGGTCCATCGCCCACATTATCTGAAGCTGCGCTGCTACCCCACCCGGAATGCATCTTCGACTGGTGTGTTTAGCGTCTTATTCCGCCCGTACATCAAAAGTGGTACTGAAATGGCAACAAAATGACGTCGCGAGAGTCGGCGTGTCACACTGTCAGATGTCACGATCCTGGCGGTTGGCAGTAGCAACTCAGCGAAAAAGACGAGCCAACTCGAAGGTAGTTGCTGTAACAACGTCGAGACTCCTTGTTGCCGAAGCTTCCGTAAACCGTCAAGCTGGAGGGCGACTAACTGCAGAAGGGGCGTCTGCCATATTCACCTTCGTTGCTGTGCCATTGCCACGATCGTGGCGGGCAACAGCGTGACATGAGTGTGACGTCACAAGGTGGAAATCAAGGAACCACAGACGAGAATGCGACGAACACACCAGTCGAAGACTTCTTCCAGCCGCCATAGTGCTGCTCAATGACACGGGGTGGAGTGCAAGCTGGTCTCAATACTGCAATCTTTGAACAAAGATTGAGAAGGAATCTGCGGAAAAAAATATGAGGTCACGTTTGACCAAGAACCTTATCTTTTTCGGGACTCTGGTGCTTGGGAAAGGGGGAGAGGTTAGTACGCTGAATAGGAAAACAGAAGGCAAGGAGAGAATGTCTGATTAGGTGAGAGGGTTCGTGGCTACGGCTCAAGTTTTTGTCGTCGGAAGGCGGCAGTGGCACTGGCTGCGGAACAGTTCATATAAAGATGCTTTGGTCTTTAAAGAATGGGTTTCTGCGCAAGCACAGCGCTGTCGTAGGGCTGGACTTTTAACATTGCCTACCGGAGGCCAGCGCGGGGCAGATTGAGTGAGAGTGCTGCGTCGGCGTTTGGCCGGTACTCGCGTGCAATTGGCGAGACACGAGCTCTAGCAGCACGCTGACACAGCACCCGTGTAGAATCTGTGCCTCGTGCTGGCCATCTGTAGGCGATAAAAGAAATCCAGCACTACATCGCATCTATAGACCCTCTTCGTAAAACAGTGCCTCCAAAAAAAGGCGCTGTTGGCAATTTACATCCCCCGCAAACTTCCGGTCAAATATGAGGACGGACAAACCTGCCCATAGCGCCGCTTCTCGTGACACTCACAAAATATTTCATGACCTATTCTCTGGGTGGCTAGCTAAAGGACAAGTTAGCGAGAACTTTGTTGGAAATTTTTTTATTACTCCCGTAAGACGACCGATCTACTCTCATACGTCGACTGGTACGACGTAAGGACCTCGCAAAATCCTCACCTCAGTGATTTCCGTAGAACTTCGAGGTCCCGGTAATTTTGACGTCAACAGGCTCAAAAGGCCAGCCAAAATGGAGCAACCGGAAGTCGGAGCGACCGGAAGTCTCTCGGGAACCGAGACGGCTCGTGTTTGTAAACAGTAAAAGGACCTCTAGTCACCGAAAAGACACAAAGGTATGTGAGAACGGCAGGGCATCTCAAACGCCTGGACTCCAGCACGCACTCGTTGCTTTTCAGCGTGCTTTGACTGCGCATGCACGCTCAAAGTCCACGAGATGTCCAAGCAGAAAAGCTTGCGCTGAAGGCAACCCCTCCCTGCCATTCTCATCTCGGCAGTGGCCATAGGAGGTGCCCGTTAGCACATATGGAAAAGGTGCCTTTTTATAAAACAATAAATGCCCGTTCACACGATCGTGTTTGGTTAGGACCGAGCTCTCGTAATCTCTAAAGTCCAGACAGAAGAGCCGGAGGACAGGGACAAAATGAAGGAGGTAATGACAACACAGAGCATTACTTCCTTCATTTTGTCGCTGTGCTTCGGCGCTTCTATCCAGTCATGAACCCAACTGAACATTTTGTTCTAAAGCCCTCCAAGCAACTTGACGTCGCAACACCAGCAGCACGAGCCGCCTATGTTCACTCGCAGCAACGAAATTGCTAAGTGTGATCATCATTGCAAAATTTTTTTTCTTTCCTATCTAGACACGCAGTTACAAGCTATAAAAGTTTCTTTTTTTTTAAATTTTTAAATGGCATTGAGAATACCGACTAATCTTTATGAAACGGTTCCATTGCCAAAAACGATACATTTCGAACCAGAACCAAGTCTTTAGTTGTCATCATCACCGACGTGAAAATACAGCGTCCCTAATTGGCTGCTGCCGCTTCCAACATCTCCGAGTTATACGAATTGCTTGTCCGTTTCGAGCTGGAACCGATCTCAGCAACTAGTGTTGATCTATAGGGAAAGCTAGGAAACAAACCGCCAGCGACCCCTAACTTGCTGGGAAAGTTGCCGCGTCTGAAGCGGGCCTTACGAAAACAGAAAACATTGGCACCATCTATGTGGCCCTAGAGCTGAATTTCAAAGGTTTTGTGGTATTTGCGAGATCATATCTATGCACTGTCTACAAGAAATGGCCTTTTACAACATTTCCAAAAGATTTTTGAGCCAAGAAAGAAAGAATGATGCACAAAAAGGAGGAAATATATGGAACTGCCCCTACCCGATAGATGGCGCCAGTGTGTTCTGTAGGAGATTTTAAGGCAGATGGTAGTAAGCAGTAGCAAGTGTGTAGTTTTTAGTCATTGCATATACACACCAAATAGAGAGGAAACGGGTGTCTAAAAACACCAAACGACTCACGTGCACGAACGAGGCGATGAAGACGGTGGCCGCAATGATGACGTAGGTGAGCGCGAATCTGTTCATGTCCACGTTGTAGTCCAGGACCGAGACGGGGTCGAAGATGGACCCTGGTCCTTGGCGCGACGCCGCGTCGTCCAGCGCCGCGGCCGGTGCCGTCCCGTTGGCGGTCCACTCGGAGAAACCCGCCTGCTTCTGGTGGATGAAGGCGTTGGTCATGTGACCGAAGACGATGGCCAGCAGGGGCCACCCTGCCCCATGGATGACCGCAAACAGAACGCCCAGCACCACCAGGAAGACGTCTTGGGCCGTGGCATAGCGGAACTGCGAGACATCGCGTCGAGTCGGCCAAGTGAAATGCGTCCGTTTATTTATTTAGGGATACTATCATTTCCCGTAAGGAATACAATACGAGTGGCATACTATGAAAAGGAGCACATTAATAGCAGAAACAAACAAATGAGTTCATCTACCAACATTGGATGCACTATGATTAACACTGTATCGCAGTTTATGGGCGATCAAACCTCAAAAATTCAAATACAGCGCGACACTTCTTGGTGCCAAACGTAATGAGCAGCCGTTACATATACATATAAGCAAAAAAATTGCGAAATATTTAGACAAAGAGTTGGAACAGCCGCATTCTCGGGAAGTCACAGATAGGGTTCCATGTTTTCAGGATTTATGAAATGTTTTCGATTGACGTTTTTGACATGCATTAAAGCTCTTCCTGATGTTTCGGTGTGCGTGTTTGCATATACGTTGGCCAAAGTGCAATGATGGACGCACAGGCACCTTCAGTCAGCCAGGACCGTGGAGCCGCCGTGGCGATTGAGAAGCTTGCTCGTCTCTCACCCCAGAGGCCCGGGTGTGATTCCCGCCTAGACCGAAATGTACCAAATTTTCTTTTCAAAGTCATTAATTTACTTTGTTTATAGGAACCTTCCTGAGAAATTTAACGTCAATCCGAGCATTTTTGACGTGTTTTTACTTTTTGTGTTGTCGGCCATTTTGGTACCATCGCTTGGTCACGCCGCCACCGCCGCCGCCGGAGTTTCGCGTAATGGGGCATATAAGGGAGATAAGCATTCTCCGAAAAAGAAGCAGTATCGTGGACAGTCGAGTGAGGGCTGCATTTCCGGTCAGCACAGCACAATGCTGCGGATAAAGGTTTCTTGCCGTAAAACTTACACTTTTTTAACCTCCTCAATCCCTGGGTCCCCAAACGGGTACATTTGGAAAGCATGCGCCGTCAACTTATATTAAATAGTATAGACACGAAACCGAACGCACCCGTTTGGGTACTAATCAGTTCTCAAAACTGCCGCTAGATGCCACGAGTTGGCCGCGCTCAAACTTGTCAGGACGTGAAGATATGGCGGGCTCCAGCAGCGAAAACGTGCGTCGCCGGGCGGGTAAGTTAAAGTCATCGTACAGTCGGGAGCAAAAGTTTGCGGGGCACCGGAGCGCGTGCCGAAATGCATCGCCACGCCGTGCAACGGCGCGCCGCCGCATTAAAAAGCCGCGCTTTGCGCATGCGCGCCCTTCGTGATGGCAGTCATGTCTCTTTCGCTCGTTTCTGTCCGACTCACTCCTGATAACCGGAGTCGGCGCCAGGGGCGCAAGTTGCCGTTTCGCTGGCTGTCATGCCTGGCGTCCTCTTCAGCCGCCACAGCAGCCGCGCTGGGTGACGGAGCGCCTGGTTAACCCCCTCCCCCCTTCCCTACGCGAGCTCCGTGACAAAGCGCGGCGGCTGAAGCAGACGCGCAGCATGACAGCTAGTGAAGCACTAACTGGCGCCCCTGGCGCCGACTCCTGTTATCAGGAGTGCGTCGTAAAGAAACGAGCGAAAGAGACATGAATGCGAACACGAAAGGCGCGCATGCGCAAAGCGCGTCTCTTTAATGCGGCGGCGCGCCGTCGGACGGCGCGGCGATGCATTTCGGCACGCGCTCCCGTGCCCCGCAAACTTTTGCTCCCGACTGTACCTTCACAATCGCGCGTAAAATTTTGTTTCTTTGTGTTGACATCGCTTCATAACAAGAATGTCCAATCTCACAGCAAACTGTAGCACTTTAAGCACTTTATTATTTGAGATATCTTCGATTCATTATTGAAGTACCCAGTTGGGTACCCCAGGTCACGACTCGGCGTCGAAAAAATGTATTGGATGTCGAAACTACGCAAACTTGCTTCACCCGATTTTATTTTTTTTTCAGAAAAATTTCTAACGGATGAAGAAATAGAGCAACTACTCAATCAGAGTGATGTAGATGTGTCGGACGACGAAGACACCGTGGACTATTTCCACGACAGCAGTGACGATGAAACTGATAGTGGTGACACTGACACAGAAGTCCCACGAAGCAAGGGCCAAGAAAAAGACAAAAGGCGTGATCCTTTGTGGAAAGTCAAAGAGTAAGAATCAGACTAAAACTGTGTTTTCTGTTTGAATCTAACAATAACGCCTTGTTTTCAGCTTCCCAGCCCGCTTCGCGGATTCGCCAGTTTTGCCTGAAGTCCACTCGAACGCCCCCAGTTCAGCATTCAACTATTTCAAGAAGTATTTTCCAGAGAGTTTCTGGAAGTTATGCGCAGATCAGACGAACCTCTACTCTGTCCAAGTGCGAGCTCACAGATCAGTGAAGACAACTTCATTGGAGTTGCAGAAACTGGCCGGAATTCACATGATCATGAGTCTTTTTGGACTTCCGAGGGCTAGGCTGTATTGGTCTAGTACGTTGGCAGTGCCGCTTGTCACCGAGAACATGGTGCGCGACCGATTTTTCGAGCTGCGTAGTATGTTGCACTTCGTCGATGTGACAGCAATCACGGAAGCCCAATCGCAAAACAAGTTGTTTCGAGCAGAGCCTATTTTCGAGTGCTTCCGAAAGGCTTGTCTTGAGCTTCCTCGCCCGGAAAAGCTCTCCATCGACGAGCAGATGATACCCTTCAGTGGACGGTGTCCTGCTCGTCAGTATGTCCCCAGTAAGCCAAACCCCGTTGGCTTGAAGAACTTTGTCCTGGCCACAACTGAGGGGCTTGTACTTGACTTTGTGATTTACACGGGGAAAGGAACCGTTCCCGATCATGACCTGAAGGAACTTGGACTTGGTGGTGCAGTCGTAAAGCGCCTTCTTGAAACAGTCCCGACCGAACAACCCGTCCAAGTGTTCACAGACCGATTCTTTACAGGTCTGAAGCTAGCAGACTTTCTCATCGAAAGGAACATTTACTTGACCGGCACAGTTATGTCCAACAGAACAGGAGGAGCACCAGCAAAGCTGCCGAGCGACAAAGAAATGGCGCGGGGCGACTCATGTTGCGTTGTTCGCAACGACGATAAGGTCTGCATTACAAAATGGAAGGACAAAAAAGGAGTCACCCTGCTTTCGGCTGCGCTCGGTATTTCGCCGGAAGGAAAATGCAAAAGGTGGTCCAAAGAAGAAGGAAAAAAGGTTGAAATACCTCAGCCAGCATGCGTCAAGGCCTACAACACGGGCATGGGCGGTGTGGATCTAACTGACAGATAGGTCTCCTATTACAGGACCAAAATACGTACAAAAAAGTGGACCATTAGGGTTTTTGCTCACTTTCTGGACCTGGCGACGATAAACTCATGGATAGAATATCGGAGTGACTGCAAGCGTTGTGGCGTTGCAAGGAAAGACACTTTGGACCTTTTCGAGTTCAAGAGTAGGATCGCCGAAGCGCTGATTCGTTCATGTCCGAAAGTTCAAGCTGATGGAGAGGAAGATGCTCTGGAGTCAGATGAAGAAAGTGAGTCCGCTCCCCCAGCCAGAAAACAGCGGAAGGTAGTTCCACTTCCGGTCGATGAGGTCCGCTTCGACATGTACGGACATTTTCCTGAGCACGTACCCTGCAAGTCGCAGATGAGATGCAGAAATCCCGGCTGTACCGGAAAAAGCCGCATCCGGTGCACAAAATGCGCCCTATTTTTTTGCTTGCAAAACAGGAATTGTTTTCGCGATTTTCATACTTCCAAGACCTGAGGTACCCACTTGGGCACAACGTTTTTCTCCCTTGCATGTGAAATGAATGTTTTTTCTTTCTGGGCAAATGTATACCAATACCACTCTTGACATATTAAATGAGTTTCATGTTTTTTTCTTTGGTACTTTTCTCTCAGGTCTGAGGAGGTTAAGTGAGGACAGCTACAGTTCGGGATGTTCTGGTTTTAGCCCATTTTGATAAAGCCGGCTAAGGGGTCACTTTTCAGTATGAAATTGAAGTTGTACATTGCATGGTTACAACAACACATATGCAACTAGGTGCTGTTGAAAATTGGGCGAGTTGGTTATGCATAGTTACAAAGAGGGAAACAGCGCCTAAAGTATGGAGGACAAAGAACAAGGAACACACAGACTGAGGGCACGTGTCACAGCTCTTGAAGAGCTGTGACACGTGCCCTTAGGCGATGGTCCGATGTATGTTTGTCTGTGTTTTTATGCCTATGCCGGTAGATGGTTTTCCTGAGAAAAAAAACAGTTGTCAGTCAGCACTCGGTCTGTGTGTTCCCCGTTCTTTGTCCCCCATACTTCTGGCGCTGTTTCCCTCTTCGTAACTATGCAACTAGGCAGGTGAGAAATTGTAAACAAAAGCTTCACAAATGTTTTCGGGTATGAAGTATGAATTCCGTGCATGTCACTGCAGCTCATTAATGATAAATAGTATGCGTGAAAAATCTGCAGTCTCTTTCCTCCCTACATAATGGGCATATTTACAAAACCATCGCAACATCTAGTCTATATACTGAAATATAGCATTGTAAAAGTGTAACACATACATTACTTGCAACTTTTTTTTGGAAGAGGGGGGGGGGGGGGGGGGTCGAATTTTAGGTATGAAGCCTGTCAACGTTTGAAGAAAGAGTAGAGTCGTTCGTCCCTTTTTCGTCCATCATCTCCGTACTTTTTTTTTTTTTTGCATGTTTACGTTTTCTTTTTTTTATGTTGCGTTTTTTGGATTTTGTTCACTTGGAAATCATGTACCAGCTAAGGAACTGAAAAGGGGAAATTGCATTCACTTTTTATGCGCATATCATAGGAAGCACACGCGAAAAGAGCGGCTCTGCAAACTGAAAGCACCATGTAGTACTTGCTCGAGACCCCAAAACAAAGCGGTACGGTACACTACGGTACGGTACTACGAGGCGCATAAGCGAAAAAGCCTTTTCACTTACCGCGCCTCGCAAGTTACAAACTTACCAGTTTCCAATAAGGAACCTTCTTGTACTGCGGCAATTTTTCAGCGCTTCTGCAAACGAGAAATAACAGCAGGTTTGAGGAACGCGCTCCACGAACCCGCCCACGCGCGCATGCCGTAGGCACCGTAGGCGTAGGCGTCGACGGTCGACGGCGTCGGAACCACGTCGGAACGACTGCCGCGCGTCACAAAAGCGCACCGCGTTGTTGCTATGACGACGCGAAGGCACTCAGTCCAAAGTTTGTGAGAAGAGCGTGTTTAATACCAGTGGCGCGTAAAAAAGCTACGAAGATACGTGGAACAAGGAGCAGACGGCGGCGCTTTCTGGTTTTATCGGTGGAGATACAATGAGGATTCAAACATTACCGTCGCGTCGTCGCGTCGGCAACGTCGGGCCGTCGTTGTACCAGTTGTACCGTTGTACCAGGCGGCGCTGGCGGCGCCAGCAGTAGACCTGTGCGCCGGTCAGAGATCGCCGGCGGCGGCGCGCCGGTGTTTGTACCTCCGGCGGCGGCGTGTTGACGGCGCGGGGATCAACGGATCGGCGGCGGCGTGGCGCGGAAGAGGGAGGGGAGGGTTGGGGGAGGGGTGGGGGGATGGGGGAGGGGGTGTAAATTAGAGAGTGAGGGGGAGAGAGAAAGGAGTCGTTTGAATTTGGAAAGCAAGATGCAAATACCATTAGAAGGAAGGAACACACCTTTTTATTTTATTTTATTTCTGGAGAGGTATGGACATTGCCTTCGCTGTGAAGAGTGCGTCCGTTAGAAGAATCAGGTACTTCGGCGTCTTGTTTATTCTCGTTTGTAAAAGAATATGTCGCCGGCTGGCAGCCGCGGCGCAAGATCCTCCGCAAGACGAGGACCGACGGCAACAGGCATTTTATCACCGCGTTCCGCCTCACCACGCGCTTGTCGCACGCCCCGTGCCTAACAAGTCGACCGAGCACGTCCTTCGATTTATAGAACTCGTACTCATTCGGTACGCCGCAAGCCGTCATCACCGACAACGACAGGGTCCTAACCTCTCGTTCGGCTTCGCGGTACTTCGCCGACAGGCACATTCAGAGCATCCCTAACAGTACCTTGGCTCCCGAAGCTAACGGCTTTGTCGAACGCGCCAACGGAAAAATCCTTCCATGTCTGCGCGAAAGAAAGTCAACGGCGACATCGACCATTGGAGCGATTATCTCCAGGCAACCAGCTTTCGAGTAAACCAGCAGCCGTACGCCAGACTCCAGAAATCACCGTTCGAACTCCTGTTCAACTTTGTCCCACGTCGACCAATGGAATTTTCCTCGCTTCCCGACGAGGTCGGTGACGTCCGCGCGAACTGCGACGCTGCAAACGCGAACCACGCTTACGGCATGAAGCGTTCCTACGATGCAAAATATCGACCAGCTCCATACAGCGTCAGGGACAGGGTATGGTACACGAACGGCCTTCCTACCTCGAAACTTGGCCTGCTTTTCCACGAACACTTAAGTCATCACCAACGTGAACAATCAAACCTACACCATTTCCAGGTTTACCCCACAAGGCACACCGGATTGCCGCCAAGCTGCCGCACGATAGCTCTTTTTTTTTTTTTTTTTTCACGAACAACCTGCAGCGATTGACGTCGATTTCAACCAACTCGCCTTGCACCGCAGCAGATCCTCCGATTACAAGCGCATCACGCCGACGCCGCCCTCCACGATGGCTAGACGCATAACAGAGGATCATGACAACATTAACAAAATGTGCGAGGGCGCAAGGATTTTGAGCTCGGGAGTGTAAGCAAACACGCTGGCGGGAAAGACCCGTAAGGAGAGCCTCCCCTACTCGACCGGATGGGAGCTCGACTTCGACCCCCGATGCTGGATCCCGGCGTGGAAACGAGAAAGAAGGACCCCTAGAAACACGACGTGACACGAACAAGCCAGGCGTGTGGATCAAAATAAAATACGTTTGAAAGAAGCCTGAAAACGGACGCGAATATAGCCCTCTTATCAAATTATTTCACAAAGTTTTCATTAAACCGTTTTACGGTCTACAAAACCGTTCAGTCCGTTATAGCACTTTAACAACACAGGCGAGCTGGTGAAGAACTTCCATACTAACGGGAGACACGAAACGATAAAAATAACGCACTAGACAACAAGTCTCAAACACAGCTTTTATACCCGTTTTCACGTCAAGAACTCTAGTAAAAAGAGTCCGACTCCTTGCGAACCACTACTAATTTCCACCTTTATCTGGAGAATTAAGATATATGTAGCTGGATTCCACTATATGTGTTATCAAGACGTACACGTTCCAGCGCCAAAATCATTGCTTCTTTCTTCGACAACCAAATCTCGTAAGACTTTGCGTCGCGTATACGAACATCTTTGTTTCGTGTATGTGCTCTCCCCCTTTGTAATGCCTTCGGGCCCTGAGGGTACTTTAATAAATAAATAAATAAATGCTCGAAACTTCCTTTTTTCTTGAAAAAACGGATGTAGCTTATTTGAACAAGGAACGCTCCTCACCACCAAAAAAGAACTTTTAAAAAAAGGGTATCACCATACACCCTTTTGTCCCATATAACGCACCCCAAAACTTTAGTTTGACGCACAGCGCACAGACGGCCATACATTTAAGAAGGGGCTTGATAACGGAGCGATATAACTTCTGAAATAGCTAAAGTACGTATCAAAAACCACAGAAAGAAAGCACTGAGGTTTTGCACTAGGGCTAAGAAAACCTCGATTATCTTTTTTGTAGTCAGTAACACGTACATTAGCTATGTTAATAAGTTGTACCACACGGCTATCAAGCCTCTCGTGAAAGTTAGTACCGTCAGATCGACGTCTGAAGTGTTGGGTGTCTTATAGAAGACAAAAGGTGTAAGAATACACCCTTTTTTTAGAGTGTATACGTCACTGAAAGCCGGACACTCAGACAGATCCAAATGATTCATGGTCACACCAACCTGCCACCCAGACGACCCCGCTTGATGACTGACCAGCCACATGCGATAACAGGCAACTCCATCAGAACCCTTACTAATGATACACGCGTGACGAGATGTCCCTAGACTCCCTACAGCGTTCAATTCGCTTAATGAAACGATCGTGTCGACAAAACGTGTGTCCGTGAAACGTGTGCCCATGAAAAGTTGTCTGCAATACGTAATTCCACGAAACGAGTTTCGACGAAATGAGAGGGTCCCGTACACCACTCCTGCCTGAAAAGTTACATTTGGTTTCTTATGTTTTTTTCTGGAGCCCCTGAATACCACCAGAAAGGGGGTTGACCTTTCTAATTTGTGCTGAGCTTTGAAAACTAAATTTACACCGAACCTATTTGCCACTGATATAAAGTTATGAGAGATTCCATGGCAGTAAGGCACACCCACACCATTCTTCACAACCGGTTTTTTCACAGGAGCCGGATTAAACCTTCAGCACCTTGAGCACAACTCTAACAATTACATCGTGGTGATGGCCCGCTTCCAGACGACGCATCTTTTGCAACTCAACTGCCTCACCAACCCAAAACATACGGGATTCTTTACAGGCGTTATTTATCGCAGACGCACTTACACCACTCTTAACTATTTTCAAGTGACAGCTGTCAGCTGCCAACATAGACGCTGCCAGCAGAGGCTTGGCTGATTCCTTGCCGTACCTCCAGCACAGGCCCTTTTCCGTGTGCAACAGTAGGTCTATAAGTACTCAATTCGACTGCTGCGATGGCAGGGTTCTGCAGTCCAATCAACAAGGACCGCACAACCGTGTCAACGTGTACATAAGTCTCGTTTAAAAAAATAAAAAAAAAAAGAAAAATCTCGGACAACACTGAAGCAATTCCCGACCCGATACGCACACCCTGTTTTTGAATAAAAAGAGAACCATCAAAGTCTACGGCAGTGGACTCTAAATGAAACTCCAGAATGCTGATAAAACTATCCCAGTGGCAGACTGCAACTTCACTAGATTATCATCACACCACCTCCTGACCCTTATTAACAGCTCCGACTTATCCATAAAGTAACATAAGTCCTTGATGTCTACAGTTGTCACATCGCACCTTCTCCCATGATGTGGATTCAATATTTCAATCAATTACTCAGAGTTTTTGAGTGACAATGGACTGTTGCTCCACTTCTGTCAGGCATTTCTAGATAAAAACAGACAATACCTTCTACCAAGCTCAATTTTCGTTCACAACCATTTTAACAATTACACCAGGATGGGATTGTTATAGTCGGTTACAAGTCAAGAAGGTAGGAGAAGCTCCTCCCACAACTGTGATGCGCCCGTTTTAAATCTCTCCGCGGTCGAAAGAAGAGTTCACTGGAAGCGCTCCTTGTTCCGCTTCAATGGATGTCCACTTGTCTCCGATCCCACTTTTTCAGAAAGCGACCTTTGTATTCATCGGAGAGGGAACCGAGCCCCTGAAAACAGCCTTTGTATCCATCGGGGGGAAGCTAATCCCCGAAAGTCGTATTTGTTTCCGTCGGTGGGGGAGAACTCTAATCTCCCTCTCGTGGCTTCCACAATGCTAAGTCAAAGTCGAAAGATAAAGCAAATATGTACAGAAAGGCAAGACCTGCCTCGCGCGTTGGCCGCGACGTCACGGAAACGGTGGGACGCTATTGGATGCGGAGGTGGCGGAGGGATATCTGATTCCCTTTGAGGGGCATTTGCCGCTACCTTCTTAACCTGTAACTGACTATACAGTTGTGCTGAAGGTGTAAGGAACGTACGTTCAATCCGGCTCCTGTGGAAAAAACCGGTTGTAAAGAATGCTGTGTGTGTGCCTTACTACCTTAATTGGAATCTCTCGTAACTTTATATCAGTGGCAAAGAGGTTCGGTGTAAATTTAGTTTTCAAAGCTCAGCACAAATTAGAAAGGTTAACCTCCTTTTCGGGTGGTCCTCAGGGGTGCCAGAAAAAAACACATGCACAACACGTGCCGGAACTATTGATGGCGTCCGCCTCAGTTATCTCTCTAACAGTCTTATCTTTGTGCCTAGCGAGAACAGTGGAAGAAGCAAATAATGGTTTGCACCTGCAGTCATGCGT